TGTGCCAACTGGCCACCGGTAAAGTATATATTTAAACACATTGTCCTGCGGAGGGAGCTGGTAGGAACGTTGGGTTGCTCAGTCAATGGCCAGGGTCAACGGCAGCGTGGTGTATTCCGCAAATATGCCCGACTGTGAGGGCAGGCACAAGCCGGCGTGAGTAGCTTAAACGTTGAGTTTTATAAGGGCACCACTCGATGTAAACGGCACCTGGGTCTAACAAAAAAGTGTTCTCGTGCCCCCCTTTAAAATTCATAACCATTTCAATAACCGAGGTCATTTGCCCATCTCCTGCCGTTGAGCTCGCGTGAGATTGTTAGACGTTTTAAGTTGGGCACCGTACGACCGCCAGCTGCAAAACCGGGGTGAAGAGAGACGCGAGGACGATGCAATCGAAGAGTGCCGTCACCCACTCCAGCTTTGTGCCTCAATAATAATAATGATGAAAGTTAGATTTCTCAAGCGCCCTCAGACGATCGTTCTAGTGGCTTGCGTGGGTGGTGGCAGTGTCATTTGCCCAACCCAAAGTCTTGGCCAGTTAAACGGCTCACTGCACTCTGTAACTGCTGCGGAGAACGTCTTGCAGAAGATATTTCTAAACAACAACAAAAATTTACACCATTGGAACCTCATTTGCCAGTAAAAAAATATGATAATTGGTTTTTTACCCTCCTATCTGGCAACAGACGCGAGGACAATGCAATGGTGTAAATGCTTACCCCGAGCTCTCAAACTCTGATGGTGCATTGTCTTTGAGTTGTGCGCCTTTTGGCGTCATCTGGTCCAACACCATGTGAGACTAGGCTCTAAGGAAAGCTGTCTCGGGTGTGGACCAATCAACTTCAAGGACAGTGCACATTATCAGAGTTATGTTTTTTGTTTGCATTATGACTGCAGGTATTGTGGTCTATGCAAACATGACTCCTTGTAAAAAAAGGTGTTAGTTTTGTTGCCAGATAGAAGGGTAAAAAAACAATTATCAACAACAGAACAGTTCTCTTCGGTAGACAAGATATAGTATACAAAATAGAGGGGGTGGGGGGAATTGTGCTGGGTTAGATTGCGTAAATATAAACGTGTCGTTAAACCCGCCACCTACCCGACACAGCCAAAGCAGTAAGGTTTGTCACTTAAACAAAACACGACAATTAGTTACGAGTTCAACACGCCTCTTTGATGGACAATATTGGTCGCGAAAGCTTACGAGTTAAACTAAAATATATTGTCATAGGCACACCCACCCCCACCTCACCCTCCACTCCACCATCCCCAAAGAGTGTCTTATAATGTGGAAATAATGGAGTGCACTAATAACCAGGGGCGACGCGTCCATATCGGCAAACGTGACGGTCGCCTAGGGGGACCAAGTTAAGTGGGGTGGGTTTGCGCCAAATTCGAGGACAAACATACAAGTAAAACAAATATAAATATAAAATAACGACGATGTCATCACGTCAATTCCCCCCCACGCGCGCACAGAGGGTGTACATGACTTGTAATTAATTTCTCGACATTTCTGAGAATGTATTGGTTGGACAGACTGACGGACGGGATAAACCGTTATAATTATGCGTCTGTTTTTAAAATATATATACACGCTTACAAAAACATTAAACGGAAAATTGGGGGCAAAATGTTTCCCATTTTACAAAAAAAAACTCAGCATAGATCTGCCCTTGGGGGTTTGGGGGCGCTGATTGCATGGTTCGCCTTAGGGCACCAGGGCCGCCCCCTGGCAAACACATTCCTGCTGCGGAGGGAGCTGGTAGGAACGTTGGGTTGCTCGGTCAATGGCCAGGGTCAACGGCGGCGTGGTGTATTCCGCACTGTGAGGGCGGGCACAATCCGGCGTGAGTAGGTTAAACGTTGAGTTTTATAAGGGCACCACGGGGTGACCAGCCGCTCACCACCCAGCCCCACCCCTCCCACCCCCCACCCTCCCAGCCCTCCCCACCCAGCCTTTCCCCACCCTCCCCTCCCCACCCAGCCCCACCCTCCCCACCCAGCCCCTCCCCTCCCCACCCTCCCCTCCCCACCCAGCCCCTCTCTCCCCACCCAGCCCCTCCCTGCATGACAGACGGACGGACGGACATAATTATCCCCTGTGGGCTGGTGTAACCAGGAGGTTCCTACCAGTATAACGCAACACGTGGACGTGACTCGTGTTGCTGAAGTTGCCGACGTGCCAGTGACTGATGACGGTCGTGAGTTCAGCAAAAACTCGGGGACTCGGACGTGAGCTGGTAAGGAAAACGCCGCGCGACGCACTAATGAACACGAAGCTCCCGTTTTGTCAGAACATTAAAAATGCATGCTAAGCAGAGTGGGGACAGATGTGCATGAGCAGGAGGTGCGTTGCACATTACACGTGGAATTGCAAAGGAGGCTGAGTAACGGTGCCGTGTTTTATTCAACGCGGTGACTGATTGGGTTAATACATAGTGGCCTAATAAGTCATGGGATGTTTTGGTTTTTTTTAGTTGTGCATATGAGCACCATCAAAACGGGTTCACTTAAACAAATGGGTCCACTAAATCACAAATATGTCTACAATCTAAATCGGCGCCGATCTCCCTAGATTTAGAAATCTAAGCAGCGTTGAGCCTGGATAGTGACTGCCATGTATGACAGGTGCTATAGGCTGCAGGGTTACGTGATGGGCAGCATTTGGCAGCGTGGCAACATACATTGGTGCAGAGTACATATATGTCCACGTGTCCATTCTACTACCCACCTTCTCCAACCCGCACTAGCCAGCATGGTGAAGTATGATTAAATAACTGAGCATGGCCATCCAGCAGTGGTTTGATGAAAGGTCTGTAGATGAACGTATAAATACCCAGAACAATTGCAGATCGTTTCAATCGCAATGATATGATTTTTCTTGATCATTTGATAATAATTATACATTCATATATTTAATTTTACATGAACTAAAGTCCCAGCAAAACACTCCTCAGGAGTTCACTGGACAAATCTATAAACGTAAAGCAGATCAAGCCTCCCGCAAACCACGTGACCTCCGCGTGGCCACCCCCACTCTGAATCCCTCCCCTCTCACCGCCGCCTGCTGAGAAAACAGACGCCGCTCCGTGCAGCACCGTTGAGGCCCTTCTGTTGCCTTGCCCATGTCCTCATCACTCCTGACCCCTTCGCTCCTGGTTTTTTTCCATTCCCTTTCCATCCTTTTCCTCTAAATGTTCCATTCTTTCTCTTCTCTCTTGCAGCTCCCGTTAGTTTTTTTTTTATTTTCTCGTGCATGAATACATCCACAAATACGAAGGAGACGTCACATGCTCTCCGCTGCTGCTCATGACGCGGCTGTCCGGCTTGACCACCCTGAGTGTCACATTGTAGTTATCGCTCTGCATCTACATCAGCCGTGGTGTATTCCGCAAATATGTCCGACTGTGAGGGCGGGCACAAGCCGGCGTGAGTAGGTTAAACGTTGAGTTTTATAAGGGCACCACGGGGTGACCAGCCCCTCCCCACCCAGCCCCACTCCTCCTACCCCCCACCCAGCCCCACCCTCCGCACCCAGCCCCTCCCCACCCTCTCCTCTCCACCAAGGCCGACGCCTCCCATTTTTGGATGCACGACAGACGGACGGACACAATAATCCCCTGTGGGCTGGTGGAACCAGGTGGTTCCTACCAGTAAAATCACATCCTGGACTCCACTCCTCTTCCCACAGTGCACCACGGGTGCAGGTTTGCGAGCAAGGTCCATTGCAGCGCGTCACTACCTGCGCTCCGCAAAGCCACGTGATGGGAAGTGGTCCGCGAAACTGCTGCAGATGTGATTTGTATTTTCACAAATAACCCAATGTTTTGCTACGTGCTGGCCGTACAGTTTTTTTTTTATTTGACAGTTCTCCACGGGTCTAGGGACCAATTGTTCCGTAGCCTTTCAGGACTTTCGAAACCTCAGTTATAAGGGGTAAAACGAACAGTCAAATATAAGATCACAGAGCTTAGGCAATTGTTGATGCCGTTCTGAATGCCTTCCCATCTGTGATTTCCCGTGCCTCTAAATAATTCCCTCTCAGGGGGTAAGAGAAAACTGCTCGTTACGAATGTTTAATTAAAACAGACAGGGTTCAAATTAATCCAAAATCCTCCCAATGTTCATCTTGTATCCCGATTTGTTTTAGGTAGGATACCTACCACCTCCTAAACATATTTTAGGTTTCATTTACGGTTTCTCGCCATGAAATGAGAAACACTTGTTCTATATGTCCCTTCCCCTACCACTGATGCCTCGTTGGTTACTTACATTTCATTGTACATGGAGGTAAACGCAGTTGTTTTTTCATGGACTCTTATTTTTAAAAAAACTGTGTTGTGTATAGCACGATATTTTTTCATATTTGAAAGGTTCAACGACAAAATACTTAATCTTTGGTTCTTTCGGTAAAGTCACGTAGCTATAAAATAAAATGAAAAATAAGTGATTTATTTTATTTTCTACCTACGTGACTTTACCGAAAGAACCAAAGAGTATGGATTCCTGCAGTCACGAAAGCTATATATTATCCACCACAGAGGTTTTCGATTTAAAGCTTTCGTGACTGCAGGGATTCATCTTCTTGGTTCTTTTGGTAAAGTCACGTAGAAGGGAAATATTAAAATAATTAAAATAAAACATAATAAAATAATTCTCACAACGTTTTGGCCACAACGCAAGCAGCCGTCCTCAGGTGAAGAACAGGTCTGTCGGAAAGACAGCATCTGAATTTCAGACGCTGTCTTTCCGACAGACAGCGTCTGAAATTCAGACGCTGTCTTTCCGAATTATTTTATGTTTTATTTTTATTATTTTATTATTTCCCTTCTACGTGACTTTACCGAAAGAACCAAGAAGAAAAAAACACAGAGGTTTTGTTTGGTTTGATCGCGTGAATATAAATGTGTCGTTAAACACGCCGCCACCACCACCACCTAACACAAGTCAAAAAATAGCAGTGCGAGTGATGTTATTTTAATGGAGAGTGGATAACATGTCCAGTGAGAGTAGGGAGGATCATTCGTACGCATTGCCCCATCCAATATTATCCATAATAGTGGTTTGGTGGGTTAGAGCGCGTAAATATAAATGCGTCGTGAAACTCGCCACCACACGAAACAGCCACCGAGTAAGGTTTGTCACGTAAACGGACGTGGCCAATTCGTTACTAGTTCAGCACACCGGTGTGTTAGAGAGTAAACCCACTACATTTACAATTCGATTACTGTGACGTTTCGCCAGTAATTACAACAACCAGCATCACCAATCAGCGAACACCGGCATGCTGAACTAGTAACGAATTGGATATGTTTTGGCGGATTTATGGACACATTGCAATTTATGCGATCTAACCCAAAAAAAACATATTTTATGGATATATTGTACTTCTAGGAAACGCACAATGATGGTTGTTCGTGCTTATATTGAGTGAACTGCAGTTGAAGATCTTTTCAAGTCTTTATTTGTACTTGGTAGTACAGCAAAGCACAAAAACAAGACGATAACATGATAATACAAAGTTATGGGCAACGGATATTGCAATAACCAGTTTAATACGTAGAAGTTGTTTGGGTTAGATCACTTAAATATGAATGCGTCGTTAAACCCATAGCCACCCGGCACCATTAATTGGTAAGGTTTGCAATTGTAAATTCTGTTCGTTTACTCTCCAACACACCGCTGTGTGCTGAACTAGTAAAGAATTGCCACGTTTCTTTAAGTGACAACCCTTATTGATCAGCGGTCTAACCCCAAAAAAACTCTATTACGGATCGCAATAATCATCTAAAAAAAATATTACCATTGCATTGCAGCAACCTTGCCGAGTGAGTGGCGAGTGTCTGGAAGAGTGGCAGTTCGATTCCCGCTCACGACCAACATCAGTGGCGAGTGGTATATGAACCGGTCCTGGGCCTTCCCTAGGTAGACTCAGCCTTAAACCAGTGCAGTACCTGGCGCGGTGTGTAAACAACACACCAATGAAGGAGACATGTGTGGTTTTGGCCACACCATTGCCATGTCGGCCTTCGTGGGCAATCGGTAACAGCACTTGCGAGTGTGGATGGTCGACCTCTGTACAAAAGCAGGTTGGTATAGGGGCTTGCGAGAGCGACTTAGAGCACGGCGCAGCAAAGTCTGCTATGCTCCCTCACCTTCACCAAGCCATGCTGATGAGCTTGGGGAAGTGTAGTCAATCAACCTCCGCCCCCCAAGACGCACACAGCATGTGGAGGCCTTCATCCACTCGTGGACTGGCCATGGCTGACGACGATGATTTAGGTACAATCGTTAACTGTTAAAGATAACAGTATACATTCCTATCCTCAATCACGAATATAAACACGTACGCACAAAGTAAATCAGTTGAAAATATGCCTCCTTCGAATATCTGTCCCTCCGTTTAAAAAAAAGAAACGGTGATGTTTTGCACAACTCATCAGATATACCGCCTTCTGAGAATGCATCGTTTCATCAACATCGGTTCAATGCGGCAAACTCTAAACTGGTTTTTACATTCGGTGCCTCATCAGCGGCCAAGTTTGCTCGAGCCAATGCTTGTGACGAGAAGGCCATGTGGCTCATGTAATGCATTATCCGGTGGCTTCGGGGGGATTTGGGTGCCACATTTTATGTTTTAGGTGTTTTGTATATTTTTTCGCGTGTTTAAATGTGTTCACTATATGAAATTGGCATAAATAAACGTACAAATAGACAAGAAATGAATATCCTACTGTAAAAAAGTTACCGTATTTACTGTTGCAGTACTTGCCACTCCAATCTCGAAGACTACGCGTGCGGTGATGTAGGTACTACGTTCTTGTTTCAACAACCATGTGTGTTTGACGAATGCCTGACTGGAGCGGTTTTTGCCGGTTTGCCGGATCGGTCCGGGATCGCCGGATAATGTTGGAAGCCGGATAATCGATGATCAACTGTAATTACGTGGAGGAACAGATGTAAGGTCTACTTATTTATTTTGGAACTGAAAATTCTCCACAGTGACACTAATCAGGTACAAAATCATTATGGACATTGCAAATCAGGTTTAATAAATTATGGTGGTTTACGTGATAAGTACGCATGAGAATTAACGATACTAAAATTAAATAAAAGATAATAACATTTATAATGTACAAATAGAAACCCACGACATTTCGATCGAAACACAAGCGGTCTTCATCGGAGGAGCGAAAAGAGGGGGCAAATTAAATATTAAATAGTTTTCCTAAAATAATTTATCACTATCACAGTTCCTACTATACACACTTCGGCCTGAAATCACAAAAGCATATCATTCGCCATTTGCTAATTTGTACCCGTGTATTTGCTATATACATGTGCTATATATTGCAATGAAATGAAACATTTACTTAACATACATCAGGAATCCCGCAGCGCACATTCTACTGGGTAGGTTTCCGCGTTTGCCCCGCACGCTCCGACGTGTTATCGAAGTTGTTACAGCGTGTCGTTTGGCCACATCATCCCGACCTTCCGCTCCAGGCGCGTCGTGAACTGGACCAACAGTGACCGAAGAAGCTTCCACAAAACACGTGAAAGCGAAGTGGCCGAGACTTCGATGCCGAACAACAGGCCGCTCGGAAATATTCGCCTCCTGCAGAAGCTCCCAGTGCGCGGGCGGAAACGTCGCGCGTGTCAAGCAACAACGCGCGACGCCCAGCAAGAACACATCAGGACGCGCGCAGCTCTCTTAAAACCTTTCCCATTCCAATGACGCGCGTGTACGTACGCGCACGTCATTGGAACGGAATCGGAAGTGAAAGGCCACGCGGGAGGGCGTGCGGCACAGTGGCGGCAGGTCGCGTCGCTGCGGTTCTCTGCGGCGAGTAACGATACCTGAAAAAACAACGGCGCTACTATGCCCCCTCTAAATGAAATTAACGGCGAACCGCTCGCGCGTCCCGAGATTCAGCGGTAAACGGGGACCTCCCCCCCCCACGCCCTGCAAATTGCTGATGCCTCGGCAACGGGAAAGAGTTCAAATGAATCCGTGACATTCCAAGCCACGAACAGACGGATGGGTTGGAAGGACCACGCTCACCGAGCCCGGCGGTAAACAACCGTTAGTCCAATGGTGCTCTGTGTTTGCCGCGCGGTTAAGGCGGCATTGCTGCTCCCTTAGCCGCCTTTGAGGACGAGGGTTGGATGAGTGTGGGAACTTGAACCTCTCTCCGCCCGGTCTAGAAGTGTCCTCTGCGAGCGTGGGCTGTCGGTTCGCCTGCTCCTTAAGGGGACGCGATGATGTCAGTGATGACGAATCTGTACCTGTGGGTGGAGAGGAATCAGCAACTGTGAGTTCATTTGAATGTTTTCGTGCTCGCTTATTGTTTAAATGCTTAGCGCTTTTTGTTTTCGGTGCCATTTATTAATTTGTTTATTCATTTTTAGATTTTGCTTGGTAGTCGGGTTTTTCATTTGCCTGGCATGTGTGTGTGTGTTGTGCTTCTTTCGCGCCGTACGCCAAAGGCGTATGTGCGATTTGGTCCTTGTACGTAAACTAATGTACAGCGTTGTGGGATGCTGTCAGCATGAATGACGCTACATGAAATAAAAGTATTATTTTAATGAAGTCACACGTGTTTTTTTACGATTGGCGGTGGTTAGTTAATGTGCTGTGCTGTAAACCTGGCGGAGCCTGGTTTGATTCCCAACCACGGAGAACATTAATGACGAGCATGGTACAGGGCACAACCTCCCGCCAACCCCACCCCCCGCCGATTCACCCCCCCCCCCCCCACGCATTGACCAGTGTGGTGAAGTATGGTCAAACAACCCTCACGGCGTGAGGAAGGCCTTTATCCAGCAGCAGCCACAGCAGATTGACAAATAGCTCCACATTCTTATTTAACATCATTGCGATACTTTTTCATCAACACCATTTCATTTTCATTCAGCGAAGAGTAATGCAATGCCTGCAAAATGATTACCCATGTCTCGCTCCAGAGGTAACCTAAACCCATAGTCCAAGGGTGGCCAACCTTTTACAAACTGAGAGCCAAAAAGTACCCTTGAGTTCGGCTGAGGGTGTACGCATATTGACAGTTTTCGGCACAGCACGGGAGACTTTCGTTATTCCTCGCTACTGTGATGGTACGTTGTGCCTAATGCCCCTTCCAAAGAGCCGCATGGGGTGGGTTAAAGAGCTGCACATGGCTAATCGGGTAAAAAACAAAACAAACTATCAACTCTTTTTATTTTATCAGGTGAGGCCCACTGAGCTGTACAGATCTTTTTCAGAAGCGACCTGGCCACAAATGATATCTCAATGAAGGAAATTTGCAGCAGCGAAATACTCTAAACGCATGTTGTTGATTCTAAACGTGGAGGGAAAAACCGGAGGACCCGGAGAAAAATCCACGCCAGCACGGGGAGAGACATGCAAACTCCAAATAAACAGCAGGCGTCAGGGTCGGTATCCTACCCACGACCTTGTGCATACCAGGCGATGTAGTTAACATCTCGCCACCACGGCGCCTTATGCCAATGACAGCGGAACACGTTGAGAGCCTGGAAGTTAAACCGTCGAAGGTAAATATCTTCCAACGGCACCGTGCCCTCATTTTCAGTCCTGGCCAAATCACACAATGGAGTGCTATGCGTTGCAAGTTTCCTGAACTAAGTGGGTGCGGGGTTAAATTGCCTGTGAAATTGTGTGAGCCGTTCAACTCGTATGGCAGTTGGCCACCGCTGTGCCATAGACGGAGCGGGGGAGGAGGGGGGGGGGCACACGCAGAGACGCGGAACTCACGTCGTCCGGAGGGAATTTTTCCTGAAGAATACGGCAACCATGAGCGCGCCGCCGATGACGATGAAGGCGCCGGCCAGCCAGCCGGTGTACAGCGCAGCACCGAACGAGAACCTGCCGCGAGAGTAATCGCCGCACGCCGTTCAGCACGACACGCACGGGGATTTCGCTGCCCGAGCGTGCAGGCGGTGCAACTGCGCAGGCACCCAACGGGGCCGGACGGGAGGGGGCCCCCGGGGTGGCAGAATACGAAGTAGGGTGGGGGGGGGGGGTAGAAAATTGGACAGGGCGAAAGGGGCCGGGGCCCCCGTGCCATCTATACTATGCCACCAGCATCAGTGTTCATTACACACTGAGCCCTTTCGTAGCCATCTCGTCAAGGAGCATGAACCATCATCACGCGAACTCCGGTCATCCTCGCAGCAGCAGTGGCTTCTGGCTGGCCATCGAACAAAGATGGTCACTGTATCGAGCGCTTTCAGATGCGCCTCTGTGGCCGTCTGGAACGCTCTCCCTTCCCATATTAGGAAGCCACAGGAGCTAAGCGCTTTTAAATCTCGACTGAAAACTCATTTCTTCAGAATTGTGTTTAGTTTGTTGTCCTTCCCCCGCACCTCCGATTAGCACGGTTGGCTACGTACGGTACGAAAGAAGTTCAACATACATACGTCTGTGTGCGATGCACTTGCAGGCCACGTGCAGCGTAAAACTGCCACTGCCCCTGGTGTACAATGTTTACCAATGTTCCATAAATCCGTTTACCTGTTAATTTACAACCAGATTATATGGTGGTGCTGGATGCGGTGTAATGCCAACACCTGCCACCTTCAGAGCTTTCTCATCAATAAAGCGCACACACACACACACACTACCGTACAGGTGATATTGAACGTACACACTGCTGGCAGTTTGCTGTCGTCAAGGAAGGCACGCGTTCCGTCGCAAATTGCCCTCCACTTTTACAACTTGGCAAAAGTACATTGGAGCAATGCGACTACTGTGACTTACACCAGCTTTGCGATGAACCTTTGTTTTTTGTGTTTAGTTTATTGTCCTTCCCCCGCAGCTCCAATGAGCGTGGTTGGCTACATACATTGCGAAAGTTCAACATACATACATCTTCTTGGTTCTTTCGGTAAAGTCACGTAGAAGGGAAATAATGAAGTGATGAAAATAAATCATAATGTTTTATTTTTATTATTTTATTATTGCCCATAATAATGTTTTATTTTTTATTATTTTATTATTTCCCTTGTACGTGACTTTACCGAAAGAACCAAGAAGATGAATCCCTGCAGTCACGAAAGCTTTAAATCGAAAAATACATACATCTGTACAATCTGTAGCTTAGAATCAGATTCTTTATTTAATGTCGAGGAATCTGACGAGCTATGAAGCTCTTTTATACAAATTTCCAGTAAAGTTACCAAACATGCCCTGGATTGGTCCGTACAGCCCTAGGGGCAGAACAGCTGTCCCAGGTTTCCCATATCTTTTGGGGAAAAATGGGATTTTGTCCCGGTTTGGAATTTTCCGGTTTCACACTCGACTCTTGATATGGACAAAGGGCGAGGGCTACCCAAGGTTGTCAGGGGAGCTTTTTTTCCACGATTACTGAAAATCGTGCGTGTGCAGCCTAGGCAAACACGTGACTAATGCGTGGCCACTGTCCCAGGCGGGTGAGTCTGTGTGTGTACCCGCTGAAGGAAGACAAAAGTGGGGAGCGGTAGCGTAGCGTTTAGCACGCTGCGGTACGAACCCGGTAATCCGAAACCAATCCCCGCTCATGGCCAACACAAGCGACAATTATCTGAACCAGTCCAAAGCTTCCCCTAGGTCGACTCAGCCTGAAATGAGTACCTGGTGCGGTGCGTGTAAGCGTCGCCACTAGGGAGACAAAGGCGGCCCAGGCCTGGTGCTGGCCACCCACCCCCTCGTGTGCCCGTGCCGGCCTGCTTAGGTGTTACTCGCGAACAGCACTTGCCCCGACAGTCTGTTAAGGCTACACGGGGGATCTTCGTCTTTGTACCCACCGAACGCCGTAGGGCTCCAGCGGGTTGTACAGCTGTTTCACGACGAAGTTGGCGTAAAGGGACACGGCCAGCATCACGCAGAGACCTGCGGGGAGCACGGCAAAGCTTAGCACGAGAGAAAACGTCACGTGCAACATTCCACGCCATCGATTCAGTTTTTTCAAGCGCCGATTATCGAATCGATCGCACACGCACAAAGACAACCCACAATCAAGGTACTTGTTGGGTTAGATTGCGTACATATAAATTCATCGTCAATATAAATGTACGTAGTCTAACCCAAATAAATCTTTATTATGGATATGGGTCGGGAAAGCCGACGTGTGAAACCCACACAGACAACCCGTTTGTCAATCTACTGCTGGTCGGGGGCCAAACACCACGCCGTGCAGCCAGTGAGGCTTATTTGACCATACTTCACCACGCCGGTCAGTGTGCGTTGCAGAAGTTAGACGGAGAGGGAGTACAGAAGCACAATGGAATTTTGCTGCACTGCCCACAACGACGAACATTGGCCATGGTGGTTGCCCGTCACAGCATTTTCCAGGCTCAACACACCTGCTTAGCTTGTGAGGTCTGATGGCATTGGGTGCATTCCGGGTGAACTACGCGGGTCGTGTAAATCAACACCGGAGCCCGGGTTAAAAAAACAATGTTTGAATAACCGCATCCCATATCGTCACGGGAAGCTGCACAGAATGCAGTTCAGCTCGGTTGCCTTCTCATCGTGAGTGTACGGGTATCAAATCCCTGCCGTGGGTCTACCCGTGACCCCTCTCTCTCTCTCTGTCTGTCTCAGCGAGGTTGGAGAATCGCGAAGCCACCCTGGAAACTTCGTGACGAGGCTGACCCCCGGGGAGCTATGCACGGCGGAGCAGCGTGGCTGAATGGACACTGCTGCATTAATAATGCATTCTCTTCTGGTCTCAACAAAGGGGGAACAGGTTTTGCAGGGTACAGGGAAAGGCAACGCCGCTGCTCCCTTACGAAACAGACATGTACGTGCATGTGCAGCAAACCCTTTTTATTAATCCGCTACGGCAGGATGAGGGCCTCCCTACGCTACGCCATGCCGTGCGGGTTTAAATTACCATACTACACCGCGCTGGTCCGCGAGGAACATATACGCAAGAGCAATAGCATTGCGCAACGATGTATTTTGCTTATGAAAACGCCACATAATGACGTTTTATATCGCTGTTCACATATCCGACCTTTGAACAGATCTGCCTAAGAGCTCAGTCCGCAGCGAGTCGGATATGTGATGTTGCTCAGTCCTCCCATGCTTCCGCACATCCGCGCATCCGTGCGCACCTCCATCCATCTGCAACATCTATCCATCTGTCCATGCATCCATGTGTCTGTCCATCCGTCACCGTGTCCATACATCCATCCATCCGCCTGTCAGCGCATCCATCAATCCGCCCGTGCGTCCATCCATCCATCCCTGCGGCCGTCGCATCCGTCCATGCGTCCGTCCGTCAGCTGTTCGTGCGTACGTCCGTCCATCCACCCGTTGGTCCATGCGTCCGTCCGTCCGTCCGTTACGAACCCGAGAGCAGCCACAGGGCACCGCCAGCACAGGTCAGCTTGGTCTTGGTGCTGGCGTGCTCGCTGAAGCGGCGGGCGCACGCCGTGCCCAGCGTGGAGACGAAGAGCGCGATGGCGCCCACCGCCACGGCCATGAGCATCAGTGCACGCACCACCTGGAAGAACCCTGCAGCCCGCGCGATGGCGCAAGTCAGCATCATCGCACGCGGACTCTTGTCACGGCTGCTGCGGCCGTCTGGAACGCTCTTCCTTCCGATGTTAGGAAGCCACTGGAGCTGTACACTTTTAAACAATCTAGAATGAACACTTATTTATTGAGAACTGATTTGTGTTTGTTTGTTGTCCTTCCCCTACACCTTCGATTAGCACGGTGCGAAAGAAGTTCAACATACATACATAGGTACTATCAGCATTCTGTCACGAAATGTAGAATCCGTCCAGATCTCTCACAGAGCAGTGCAACCCCCTTCACGTTGGAGAACGGCCCACAGAAGCAGATATCACAAAGCAACCTCCAAGATGCCTCCTGAAAGTGACCTCTTACACATTGCAGGGAGCTGCGCTTACCCAACTTGAATTGAGCAAAAATGAAACGCAGAAGAAAATGTTACGTTGTGGATTTTTGTCATCGGTGACCTGGCTGAGATGATCAACTCGGCGCACTTGAGAACCCTACAGTTTAATCAAAGGGCGGTTGAGTGAATTCGAACACAGAAGCTCAGTTGTGTCAGCTTACCACTCTGATGTCGCAGCCACCTGTTCACCTTCAAAAAAACAGATACTGAACAAGTTGTTTCTACTGTGTCGAGACCGAATATGTTGACAGCCCAATGTAAACTCACTACGGCATAAAGGCCTGGCCATGCTGTGTCAATCGACGGAGTTTTTTTTATGTGTTGGACCCTACTTCACTCGAGGACACGGTTTAAACACGGATGGTTACGCCACCGCTTGAGAAGCAACGCCCATCGATCCTTGTCATCTCATTTGCCAGGCAGACATGAGGGCCCCCCCCCCTCCCGCTCTCCCCCGCAGTAAAACGTCCCAGACTCGATGTAAACGGCACCTGGGTCAAACAAAACGTTTTTAGTGCCCCCTTGAAAGTCACTACCTGGCAATAACCAAAGTCATTTGGCATCTCCTGGTCACGTGACTCGTGTGATATTGTTAACCATTTGAGTGCACACTTTACGACGCGTTGTAAAACTAGGGGTGGAATCTCCGCAAAATGCAAATCAACGAGTTTCATCACCAGTTATTACGGCTTTGGAGCCTTGGGTGGCAGTTTGTTTATATGCTTAACCCTAAGTTCCGGCATGCACTGTAAAATATGTTGGTATGATTATTGCCCGTGGCCAAATCACGTGGAATGTGACCAACCTCCTGACAGCAGCGACTTTTGGCTAACCGTCGAACGCAAGCGGGTCACCGCATTACGGGTTTTCAAAAGCGCTTCTGCGGCCGTCTGGAACGCTCTTCCTTACGATATTAGGAAGCCACTGGAGCGATGCACTATGAAATCATCTAGATCAGTGGTTGTTAACCATTACTGCAACCTTGCACCCCATTGGTTCTCAATCGTAAAAAATATGTATAATACTAAATACTTACGTTTGATAAAACAAAGTAGTCGCACTTACGTGCCTATGCTTAATTTGGGTTTCGGTGATTTGCTTTCGAAAAAAATCTGGCCACGTCTCGCACCCCCAGAAAGGGCATCTCGCACCCCCAGGGGGTGAGTGCACCCCAGAAGAAGAACCACTGATCTATGTTTAAAACTCATTCGTTGACCTTCTGCCGCACCTGCAACTAGCGCGGTTGGCTACGTACGGTGCGAAATAAGTTCAACATACAGTACAATGTCGTCATATTGCGGAAGCTAAATCGGATGAATACAGGCATGGCACAGGGCTGTGGGACTGCGCTGTGGACAAGCCCCCATGTTATTCCAGCAGTGGAATGACAAGGGGGCTGTGCATATTCATAATGGTTGTTGTTACCGATTACAAAATCGATGTCTCCCAAGCTCAAGCAAGCAATGGGGGTGGCATTCATTGGGTGAGCGCCCTAAATCATTGGGCAGTCGACGATAGTGTCTTTAAAAGTCGGACGTTTGTTATTGTCTAAAAACAACAAATAAGACGCTGCACTGCGTACAAATATAAAGGTTCACAAACACAATGGGCAGCAAAAATGGGACTCCACCTCCCTCCCCATGTTTGACCACTGCTACTGCTCAAATAAAGGTCTCAGATTACAGCGGCATATGCATGTACATCGGTGACGCTGCTATGGATTATTGTGCAGGTGGTGTGACACATGAGCATCCACTGGCCAGAGGGGAGCAGCCTAAGGGTTTCCCACCTGTCGTCTGGACTGTCTGAACAGTCTTTACTGTCTGGACTGGCCAAACTGTCCAAACTGTCCGGACTGTCCGGACTGTCCGGACTGTCCGGACTGTCCGGACTGTCCGGACTGTCCAAACTGTCCGGACTGTCCGGACTGTCCAAACTGTCCAAACTGTCCAGACTGTCCGGACTGTCCAAACTGTCCGAACTGTCCAAACTGTCCAGACTGTCCGGACTGTCCAAACTGTCCAGACTGTCCGGACTGTCCAAACTGTCCGGATTGTCCAAACAGTCTTTACTGTCCGGACTATCCGAACTGTCCAAACTGTCCAAACAGTCTTACTGTCCAAACCGTCCAAACTGTCCGGACTGTCCGGACTGTCCAAACTGTCCAGACTGTCCAGACTGTCCAAACTGTCCAGACTGTCCAGACTGTCCAGACTGTCCAGACTGTGCAAACTGTGCAAACTGTCCAAACTGTCCAAACTGTCCAAACAGTCTTTACTGTCCGGACTGTCCGGACTGTCCAGACTGTCCAAACTGCCCGAACTGCCCAAACTGTCCAGACTGTCCAAACTGTCCAAATTGTCCAAATTGTCCACACTGTCCAGACAGTCTGAACTGTCCAGACAGTCTGAACTGCCCAGACTGTCCGAACTGCCAAGACTGTCCGAACTGCCCAGACAGTCTGAACTGCCAAGACTGTCCGAACTGTCTGGACTGTTTGAACTGTCTAGATTGCCTGGACTGTCCGAACTGAGTTGACCCGGACAGTCTGGGAATTGGCACCTGTGTTCGGGTGGCAGTACAGTTGTTTACTTAATAACAAATACAGGTTAAAAAGATGACTACTAACAAAGATTACTTCATAAGGAGTAACTTCAGGGCTTCTTGAACGCTTCTGTGAGCTGCTTATGTGAGCTGCTTCTGTGAGCTGCTTCTATGAGCTGCTTCTGCACAAAGCGAATGACGCAGTGACGCCATCGTATTGAGTTTTTTTTTGTTACTTAAGAGTTTTTTTTATCATTGAAAAATAATTACATTTTACAATTTTTTACTTTTTTCCTTGAGCGCCTAACTGTGAAATGCACAGCGTAAGTGCGAAGTTTGTCCCCAAAAGATGAATCACGTAACTGCAAATTCGCCCTATAGGGTGGTGGGGGGGGGGGGCATTACGCCTCTATTGAGATCTGGTACCTACTGGGATTGTATTGCATTTCATTAATATTTATAGGGTAGTTTTAATAATACTCCCAGGCCAGGGGTCGGCAACCAAAATAACAATGAGGGGCATTTTTTTCTTTCAATTCGGTAACAAACAAACAACCTCCCCCCCCCCTCGATATTTCAATAGCCACAATGCAACGTGAATGCGAGACGGTGGGACCTGTGGAAATTGTACGGGTGGGGAGGTCCCATTCAATTCCTTGCACGTGGGCCCACATCAATCATTCTGCTCCACTGCATTATATACATTTACCGAAGTTGTACAAGACCATAATCTGTTAATCTACAACCAGATTATACGGTAGTTCTGAAGGGCAGTGTCACGGCAACACCTGGTACATTATGAGCTATCTCATCAATAAAAAAACCGCTACCCTACACGTGACATTGAACGCACACACCGCTGCCAGCTGCTATCGTCACAAAAGGTACGGGTCCCCTCGCAAGTTTCCGCTCTGCTTTTGCAGCTCGGCCAACAGTACACCAGAGTCATGAGACTACTCTTGACTTACACCAGCTTTTGAGGTGAACCTAAAGCGACCAAAATAGAGTTCCGGATCAAGCCGTAGCGCCACAAAGGCTGTCCCCAGCGTCGCCAAAGCTTCTTGTGAAAAAACGGCTTCACGCTTGACGCGTGATGTGGGCAAAGGGGCAGAGCGGGGTGGGCAGGAGTTTTTGTTAATCTTCACAATTACAGCAATCGTGCATGTGCAGTGTGGGTAATGCCTTAATGCAGTGTGGATCTCGGCCACAATGCAATCTTGTACAAAAAAAAATGGAATCCTGCCCTCGCCCACAACACACTGAATCAGCTATACCCGTGTTAATGATGGGGGTTTTGTCTAGAACATCGCTAATCGTCACGAACGCTGGCTTTGGGATATAATAAGCGGTCGAAGGTCAAGGTGCAACACTGTAATGTACTTGATCACTGCCACTGCTGGCAGATGGGCGTCAAGACAGAGGGAGCTCGAGAAAGTTTGCCTTAGGGAGGGAGAATCTTTGCCCACTCTTCCGTGCTGGCCGAATGTCTTGGAAGAGGTGCCCACCCAATGAGCATGTAGGACACTCACCCGAATCCCTGGACAAAGAGGACACTCATTGGACTTTAAAATAATTGGCAATTTAGGCCGCTTTTACTGGTCATGAATTAAAGACGCTTGGTGAATAAAATCACTAACTTTACACAAAGACCGCTGAACTCTTCATCACTCACAGTGCACTTCAAAGTCACTCACTGGACATTAATTCAAACACATTGGGCATCGGGGTTCACTCACTGAACATCATGAAAAAGATAATCACTGGCTATTAAGGTCACCAAAATCGTCACCGGATATTGAGCCGACTCGCAGGGGCATTCATCGCGGACGCTGGACATGACGGCCGCTCGCCGGTGATCAATCACCAATACTCGGCGAGACATGAAGACCACTCCAACTCGCGGGGAAGATGATCACCGAGTCGCCGAACGTCGAGGTCGCTCACCGAACACGCGACCTCACGGGGTTGGTGGGCACTTACTGGGCTGCGACAACGCCGTGTAGAACTGCCTGCAGACCTCGCCGCGCTCCGTGCTGGCATTCCTCACGCAGATGTTCCACAGGCCGCTCTGCATGTAGGTGCCGGGCCCGTGGCTGTAGATGCTCCAGCAGTTGAGATAGATGACCATCACCGTGAGGCCAAAGCCAAGCGTGGACAGTGCAAACCCAATGACGTGCATGGCCAAGGTGACCCCGCCGCCGCCGCCGCCGCCGCCGCCACCACCATCAGATCTGGTCCCGGCTCCCATCGTGGAATGTCACCGGGTCAGCTGTCTCACGTCCGTCTCGTCTGGAATTTTGAGATAGGCAGTGCGGACAGACACACACACACAGCCCAGCCAGATTGATCAATGATCCGGCATTCACTAAATCGAGCCAATCACTCACTCACTCACCGGCAGTCAGTTGCTTCCGTATCACTCGTCTATCGCTACTACCAGGGTTACTGTTCCCATAAACTCCCCTCATTGATTCCTACACAACTATTGGGGACTCGGCCTTCCAGACTTGCCCGTTTTCGTCTCATCCGAACTGCACATCATAGCAATTTCTCTCGCCAATGCATCCCTCTCGCCAATTCATCCCTCTCGCACTCCACCGCTTGGAATTCCCTCCCATCATGTTTGTGGGGCAGCAGTAGATTCTAGATTTGAAGCTTTCGTGACTGCAAGGATTCATATTCTTAGGTTTTTTCGGTAAAGTCACGTAGGTAAAAAAAATAATTATTAAAAGTAAAATAAAACTAAAATAAAAATCACGACGTTTCGGAGGCAACACAAGCTTCCGTCTTCAGGTGGTGGAACCGTCACAGCACGATAGCTGTATCAAGTGAGAGAAATTCCAAGCAGCAGATATTGTGCGCACCGCAGCGACACCGCCAGGATGTTGCATGGATCGCGCATTCGCCGGTGTTGTCTTGTTTGATGGCTTGGGTTTCACCGCAATCGCAGTTCAGAGATGATTTAATGTGTGTATCTTCAACTTGTTTTGCAGTGTACGTAGCCAACCGTGATAATCGGAGGTGCGGGGGCGGATAACAATCCAAACAAAAAAAGTGGTTCTAAAGACATGGGTTTTCAATCTAGATTTAAAAGTACAGAGATCCCGGTTTCTTCCTCATACCATCGTCTCTTCTCCCAAGTCCCACGTAACCTTGTTCGATTCAAGAAACGTGTGAACTATCTTCTTCTACAGTACTTTGGTTAGTGCTGTGTGTCTCTGGTCGTTTGACGTGTTGGGTCGTTGGAGGGAGGCGGCTGCGCTCAGGAAATTGTGTTGACAAAAACAACCCCACAACCGGAACAAATATTGATTGTTCCTTGGGTTACTACGCTGAAGAGACTCCACTTCACACGCTCTGCGAATAATTATCCGCACGAAAAATACCGGACAAAGAATATCGATTGCCACACTCCCCGTAACACATCGGAAGGTCGGGGCAACATCGCCGCAACGTTGGAGAAACGTTACCCCAACGCTGGGGTAACGTTGCCACAACACTGGGGCAACGTTACCACAACGCTGGGACAACGTTACCCTCAACGTTGGCATGTTTACCGGGCTGTACGTTGCAGAGAGGCGTTCTGAGCACACTAGTTCAGGGGTGGGCAACCAAATTAACGAGGCAAAAAAACATCCGAATTCGGTATTAAACAAAAATAAACGCAAATATTTAAAGAGCCACGATGGGTGTGAATAACGTCGAGCAGGAGCCGGTCCTTAAGAGCTCTCATGCGAGTCTTAGTTGCCTCCGAGTTATACGGCTTTGTTTTGATAGATTTATAACAACGAATCTACAAACGTTAGTGAGCATGAGTCACGATCATTCCACTGATGGATGAATGTCGTCCGTCCCCAAAGCACCGGTTCCCCACCCATCATCATACCGTGTCAACTCACTCGGTTGACCCCGTGTGCTTGTACAGAGAAAATGTTGTTTTCAGGTCCGTACGGCGTACAGCCCGTTTCAATACGGGCCTAAATAAAATATTTAAAAATATATATTTTTTAAACACGCTTTAATTAAATTTACCGTACTCGTAATGGCAAAACTCCACGACTCCAGAAAGTGGCCCGCAGCTTTCCATAACGTAAGGGGCCGTGGTGATTGAGCGTGGACAATTAGACCCGTAAAAAGGATTGTTTAAAAATATATTTTAATTTTTCACGATATAATATAGTATGGTCATCAGTATGACATACCTATACCAAGTTTGCAGTCGATACATTGGGAAGACGGTTGAAATAGAGTTACAAGATTTGAGGATATGACAATAGACAGAGTGAGTTAAATAAAAGCGTGTTAAATGTTTAAACATCTATATTTTTGTTAAATGATAGAATATAGTATTGTCATGAGTATGACATACCTATACCAAGTTTGCAGTCGATAGCACATTGGGAAGTGGGTACATTTTTAGTTACAATATTTTTTAAGGCTACGACAACAGACGGAGTGAGTTAAATAAAAGCGTGTACTAATAAAAAAAATAGTATGTGTCCATTCGTTTGTGTTTCTCCCTTGTGATGGGACTTTGTAGGATGAACGTTGAGATGTATAAGGGGCACGGGATGATCAAAAAGGTCTGAATTCGTCTGTAATAAGGTAGGGCACTGATAAGGGTTTGACAGGTATGCATCATCCATTAAACTCAGATGATCTCTCGGTTTTTATCTTCCACACAACTCAAGTTCAAGTTGATGTATTAGGTGTAGCCCTGTGAGCCATTCGGCTTTTGAATCGGGTGCAACCGCAACAAACAAAAAACAAAAACATGAACAAAAAACATCTTCAAGTGAATATGTGACTGAGTGCAAAGAGAAAATCCAAGAAAAGACAGCAAAATATTGCAGAATAAGCACCGTACACCAACACTGTGTGCAAAAATCCCAGTGGGATGCAAGTCAAACAACAACAACCACAAGACAACTTAGATTAAGGCCATCATTCTAACTCTGTACTACAACAACAAACAAACATGGCCAAAGCAAAAAACTTTTCGAAAATCACCAAAATAAAGCCATAAAAGCTTGTACTACCAAACTCTGCAGCCATAGCTGGCTGCACGAGTCACTCCACAACAGCAGGAGCATCAGTCGGAGTATCAGCCCTGTGAGCCATTCTGCTCATGGTCCACCCTAAATCGCATCACCCACTGCACAAACCATGGCAGAGCAGTAGATGCCGACAACCTGATGCACAGATGGAAGATTAAAAACGCTCCAGTCGTAGTGGTGCGAGCCTAGGCCTCGGCAAGGTAAAAGTGTAAAAACAACGAGCCTACCTTTACCCTACCTTTTACCTTACCACAATACAATCACTCTACCCTACCTTGTACCCTTTAGCAGGTAAGGTAAAAGGTAAAAACAACGAGCCTACCTTTACCCTACCTTTTACCTTACAACAATACAATCACTCTACCCTACCTTTTACCCTTTAGCAGGTAAGGTAAAAAAGCAACGAGCCTACCTTTACCCTACCTTTTACCCTTACCCCTTGGCATGTCGACACCTTTACCTTTACCCTTTTACCCGGTAAAAAGGGCAAATTACCATACCTTGCCGAGGCCTAGGTGCGACTGTGGTCATCCAGAACAGACCGTGTGTGTGTGTGTGTGTACATCAACGTGTAATGACGCAACGCCTCAATTCACAAAGACGTAGCAGGAGACATCGTAGCGACGACGACGACGACTCTGTTTGCCGGCTTGTCTGGGCTTGACCACCCATCCACCCCATCAATTGCAGAGCGGTGGTTGTTGTGGTGGTGGTGGTGGTGGTGGTATGAAAAATAAGAATGGGTTTAACCCTTTCCGGCAATAACACGGGAACTGTTAAGATGTTCAAACAACAAATAAGAAAACGTTGGCAAGGAATCAAGTCTGCATTTAACCATACACAGTACCTGTGGTGAACAGGCAAACCAACGTGGTCCGATCATTATTGACGTATTGTACCAGAGACAGCCTTGTGTCTTGATGGCTGAGTTTACATCAGTCTCAGAGCAGAGAACAACAATCTCTGGCTGTACACCTGATGATGCCGGCTGTGATTACTGACGAAACGTCGGACTCGGATTGTAAATGTTGTGGCTTGGCTCTCCAACACACAACCGGTGTGCTGTACTAGTATACTACACTATACACTACACTATACGCTACACTATACATTAGTGCTGTACTAGTATACTACACTATACACTACACTTATACACTACACTTATACACTGCACTATACACTACACTATAAACTAGTGCTGTACTAGTATACTACACTATACACTACACTATACACTACACTATACACTAGTGCTGTACTAGTATACTACACTATACACTACACTATACACTACACTATACACTAGTGCTGTACTAGTATACTACACTATACACTACACTATACACTAGTGCTGTATTAGTATACTACACTATACACTACACTATACACTACTACTGTACTAGTATACTACACTATACACTACACTATACACTACACACTAGTGCTGTACTAGTATACTACACTATACACTACATTACACACTAGTGCTGTACTAGTATACTACACTATACACTACACTATACACTACACACTAGTGCTGTACTAGTATACTGCACTATACACTACACTATACACTAGTGCTGTACTAGTATACTGCACTATACACTACACTATACACTAGTGCTGTACTAGTATACTGCACTATACACTACACTATACACTAGTGCTGTACTAGTATACTACACTATACACTACACTATACACTACACACTAGTGATGTACTAGTATACTGCACTATACACTACACTATACACTAGTGCTGTACTAGTATACTACACTATACACTACACTATACACTAGTGCTGTACTAGTATACTACACTATACACTACACTATACACTAGTGCTGTACTAGTATACTACACTATACACTACACTATACACTAGTGCTGTACTAGTATACTACACTATACACTACACTATACACTAGTGCTGTACTAGTATACTACACTATACACTACACTATACACTATACTATACACTAGTGCTGTACTAGTATACTACACTATACACTACACTATACACTACACTATACACTAGTGATGTACTAGTATACTACACTATACACTACATATACACTAGTGCTGTACTAGTGTAATACACTATACACTACACACTAGTGCTGTACTAGTATACTACACTATACACTAGTGCTGTACAAGTATACTACATTATACACTACACTATACACTACACTATATACTAGTGCTGTACTAGTATACTACACTATACACTACACTATACACTACACTATACACTAGTATACTACACTATACACTACACTATACACTACACTTATACACTACACTATACACTACACTATACACTACACTAAACACTAGTGCTGTACTAGTATACTACACTATACACTACACTACACACTAGTGCTGTACTAGTATACTACACTACATATTACACTAAACACTAGTGCTGTACTAGTATACTACACTGTGCACTACACTACACACTAGTACTGTTCTGGCACTTTCTGTTTACGTGACAACCCCTTACTAATTTGCTGTCGGTGGTGGCGGGTTTAACGAGACACTCATATTTACGCGATCTCACCCCCCCCCCCCAAAAAAAAAACCATATTATAGATATTGTTCGCGAAAGCCTACGTGTTAAACTGACATAGAATACAGCATCGAGTTATAGCTCTTGTATAAGCGAATCGCGCTCCACCGCTCCCTCGCAATTGTAGCAGTCGAGGTACACACACACACACACTTCCACACTACAGTACTTAACATATCGTCTTCATTGCTGAAGGATATCTCTCTTTCTCTCTGAAGTGCGTCTCAATACTTACGCCTTGACTTGGCCGCGTTGAAACGCAACGAGACGCCGATGGTGCTCGCCTCCGCTGTTGCTGTGAACTGCGCAGGTAAGCGTCCTGTCCGCTCAACGTGAGCGAGTGTGTGTGTCTCTCTCTGTGTGTGTGTGCCTGTGTGTGAAGGGGGATGATGAGGAGGGAGGTCTTAGCCCGAAGCTATGTTGGCACGGTGGGGTGGGGAGGTCGGCACGGTGGGAGGAGACACGTTTCATTTATTAGGTATAGCCCTGTGAGCCATTCGGCTCTTGAATCGGGTGCAACCGCAACAAACAAAAAACATGAACAAGAAAACATCTTAATGTGACTATGTGCAAACAGAAAATCCAAGAAAAGACAGCAAAATATTGCAGAAAAAGCACCGTACACCAACACTGTGTGCAAAAATCGCAGTGGGATGCAAGTCAAACAACAACAACCACAAGACAACTTCGATTAAGGCCATCAGTCTAACTCTGTACTACTACAACAAACAAACATGGCCAAACCGAAAAAACAGCAGCAAGAGACGGCTTGGCTTGGCTTTGGCGTGCAGGTGCATTGTCCATACGCCACTCTCTCATGTGACGTCGCGACCGGGGTTGGGTGGGTGAGTGAGTTGTGGGTGGGTGGGTGAGTTGTGGGTGGGTGGGTGGGTGAGTGAGTGAGTTGTGGGTGAGTGAGTTGTGGGTGGGTGAGTGAGTTGTGGGTGGGTGGGTGAGTTGTGGGTGGGTGGGTGAGTTGTGGGTGGGTGGGTGAGTGAGTGAATTGTGGGTGGGTGAGTGAGTTGTGGGTGGATGAGTTGTGGGTGAGTGAGTTGTGGGTGGGTGAGTGAGTTGTGGGTGGGTGAGTGATTTGTGGGTGGGTGAGTGAGTTGTGGGTGGGTGGGTGAGTTGTGGGTGGGTGGGTGAGTGAGTTGTGGGTGGGTTAGTGAGTTGTGGGTGGATGAGTTGTGGGTGAGTGAGTTGTGGGTGGGTGAGTGAGTTGTGGGTGGGCGGGTGAGTGAGTTGTGGGTGAGTGGGTGAGTGAGTTGTGGGTGGGTGGGTGAGTGAGTTGTGGGTGGGTGGGTGAGTGAGTTGTGGGTGGGTGGGTGAGTGAGTTGTGGGTGGGTGAGTGAGTTGTGGGTGGGTGAGTTGTGGGTGGGTGAGTGAGTTGTGGGTGGGTGAGTGAGTTGTGGGTGAGTGAGTTGTGGGTGGGTGAGTGAGTTGTGGGTGGGTGAGTTGTGGGTGGGTGAGTGAGTTGTAGGTGGGTGGGTGAGTTGTGGGTGGGTGGGTGAGTTGTGGGTTGGTGGGTGAGTTGTGGGTGGGTGGGTGAGTTGTGGTTCTGTGCTTTATCTCTCTCTCAAATTTAGCATTCTCAGGAAGAACGAAATCAACCAGGTAGGGTGTTGACTGTTATGTTATCCGACTCTCTGTTGTATTACATTCCATTTCTAAGTATACTAGATTTGTGTTTCTATTTAATTTATACCTGATGATGATTGCTTGTGTTGCAATCGAAACGTCGTATGCTAGTATTTAATTTATTATTTTATCTTTATACGTGACTTTACCGAAAGAACCAAAGAGTAATTGCGAGACAATTATGAAGACGATAACGCTTTAACATGAAAACCATTGCACGCGTCTCACCAGCCCGATCTCGCTCCAACACTCATCCCTCTGCTCGATTTCGAGTCATCGCTTTCACAATGTTCAGCAGACGCTTGTTGAGAAAGGAAGTGAGTCCTAATAAAAAAACATGTCTATAAACGGATTACCCTATCGCAACCTAATCCGGTTGGAGCGGTGGCGCAGTGATTGGCGCGCTGAGCTCTGAACTCGTCGACTTCATTGAAATCTTTGACTCCGGTTAACATCAGTGCCCCCACCCCCCCAGCCAGCCACCCCTAGTTCAACTTATAATTACCAGCGTGGTGAAGTATGGTCAACATCTTACACGACTAACACGGCATGGGAAGACCCCCCCCCCCCATCCAGCAGTGATTGACAGAAAAATAAATAAACGTTCTTGATACTGACACCATTGGGGAGAGATATGTGAATTCCCAAAGAATGAAACGCTACTAAAGTACATTAAATTAGCAGGTGCTCCGTGTATTATTACATCAATGTGGGGAGCGGTGGTGCTGCGGTTAGCGCCGCGCGCGCCGAACCCGGCCACCCGAGTTCGATTCCCGCTCGTGACCAACACCAAGTGGCGATTATCTGAACCGGTCCTGGGCCTCCCCATAGGTCGACTCAGCCTCAAATGAGCACCTGGTGCGGTGTGCAAACATCGCCGCTGGGGAGACAAAGGCGGCCGGACGTGGTGCTGGCCACCCACCCCTTCGTGTGTCGTTCTGGCCTTCATAGGTGTTCGCTAACAGCACTTGCCCCAGAGTATGTCAAGGCTATACGGGGACCCTTTGTATTGCAATTACATCAAAGGATTGCGAGATGTCGTGGTCGGATTTGGGAGGCCTTCATCCAGCAGTGGATTTGCTCGTGACTCTGCGATGACTAATGCCTGCCTTATCTTATCACGTAAGCCATAGCTGATAACGATCGCAGTGCCATTGAAGACGTAGTAGCACACGCTGCGTTAACTCACTCACGCGACAATGAGTCAGCTTTCCTCCATCCGTGTTGCTTACTCTGTCGGCACAAGCATGTCATGTGCTCAGACGCGTTAAAACACACATCGCATGCAACTGCACACACGCACGTGTAAGGAATGTGTGTCTGTGTGTGTGTGTAGGGGAGCGGTAGTGTAGTGGTTAGCGCTACGCTGCGCTATGAACCTGACGACCCGGGTTCGATTCCCGCTCACGGCCAAGACCAGTGACGATTATCTGAACCGGTCCCGGGCCTCCCCTAGGTCGACTCAGCCTCAAATGAGTACCTGGTGCGGTGTGTAAACATCACCACTAGGGAGACAAAGGCGGTCGGGCGTGGTGCTGGCAACCCACCCCCTCGTGTACCGTTCCGGCCTTCATAGGTGCTCGCTAACAGCACTTGCCCCTACAGTCTGTTAAGGCTATATGGGGGATCTTTGTCTTTGTAGTGGCACGTGGAAGGTTTTTATATCAGCCTCTTTGTGCCGCTAAAATCCTATTAGCGGTGATAGGTAATTGCGGATTCATGAAACAGAAATTAACACTGGACTCTTTGATAGCTGCTGGCTCTTATGAACGTAGTAATTTAAACTTAACCCAGTGGAGTGGCGTGGTGAGTTGGCCCTGTAAATCCGTCGTGTGCTGCTGTATACTGGGCCGTAAATGTAATACTGTTTTTAAAAATATATATATTAAGCATAGCATTAAAATGTTGAACCGCCACCTGTAAACATGTTCATGATGTAGATGGGGCCGTCCATAACTATTTTTTATTGTACCAGGTAAGGCCCCTAAACTGAGCTATATGACCTTTTTTAAATGCCTTTATATTAAGTTCACTTGCTTGCGTGCTTGCTTGCTTGCTTGCTTACGACCGTGCAAATCTTTCGGTCGTTTTTAACCCACTTCCCGTGATCCAATCGAGCTGACATTTTGCACACAGACTCGTTGTGCGAGACAATTAATGTTCGTGAAAATGTTTTTCCAAAATTTTAGCACTGTTTAGGGAAAACAAATTAAATATTTAATTACCAATTGCTTAATACTGGCAGACAATCATCTGACCCATAGGTGGCAGCCATCTCAAGCCAGAGGACGAGAGGACTCTAGCCGCCACGCATATAAAGGATTTATAGTGAAAAACTTTGTTTTTACGGGTTATACTTATTCAGAAGCGACCTGGCACACAAATGATAGCTCAACGAAGTGGCTCACGTGCTTATTTATAGCAACCGAATATTCTCGATTTGAAGCTTTCGTGACTGCAAGGATTCATACTCTTAGGTGTTTTCTGTAAAGTCACGTAGGTAGAAAAAATAAAAATAATAATAAATGAAAATAACTAAATTAAATCACGACGTTTCGGAGGCAACACAAGCTTCCTTCATCAGGTGTAAAAAAGGGACAGCAAAATAACTCGCTCGCTACAGTTATTTTGCTGTGCCTTTTTCACACCTGATAAAGGAAGATTGTGTTGCCTCCGAAACGTCGTGATTTAATTGAGTTATTTTCATTTATTATTATTTTATCATTCTTTTTTCACCTACGTGACTTTACCGTAAAAACCTAAGAGCAGCAACCGAATACTCTAAACGCGTGCTTCGAAATGTGGAGGGAAACACCGGTGGACCCGACAAAAAAAATCCACGCGACCACGGGAAAGGAACACACGCAGATTCCAAATATACAGCAGGCGTCAGGGTCGGGATCGAACCCACACCAGGCGAGGCAGCTAACATCTCGCCACCGTGGCAGCACCTTTGTCTCCCCCGACGCCTTCAAATTACACCGGAAACATTACATCCGACACGTGACGTCAAACCGCAGGGCTTTAAATCAAAAATTCACTCTGTGACTCTGTCATTCTGTTATTAACGCGCCACGGATTGGTTGAAGTGCGTCACGTGACCGCGAGCAGATAGCCAACCAGAGGTGCGGCCCTCCCAAACTTATACGCCCCCGGATTGGTTGAAGTGCGTCGCGTGACCGCGAGCAAAGTAGCCGGGTGAATGAGAATGAGGGAGAGCCGCGCTCTCTCCACTGCTTCCCTGAGGCAGAGCCGTGCTCGGTCCATTACATTAGTACTGGGGGTTTTTTGGGGCTTAAATCCACTGCTGGATGAAGGCCCGCCCGCACGCTGTGGGAGTGGATCGTAAGGATTTGCTTGACCAGTCTGTTGGGGGTCGCCGCAGGCATTTAAGGCCACTATTATTAACGAATGTGTTAAGTGGCTTTTCTTCTTCTTTGTGCTGTGCCATTGCAGGACCACGTGCGTGTGTGTGGCAGGATGCATTGACCGGTTTTTCTTGTTCGACTGGGTTTCATGTCCGCGCGTGTGTATGTGTGTACAAGTGGTTATAGGGGGGATACGCCCATGGGTATGACTTCAGCAGAGTTCGCTGACCATCGCATTCTTTTTCCAAATCTTCGGTCCCAGGAATTCAACTTCTTACGCCGAAACCTGCTCGATCCGGTTTCGGCAAATTCCGATCGGAAAAAGATACGCGCGCCAACCAAGCGAAGTTTGTGGATGTTTAATAAATACTGGACGTGATCAATTACACTGGTCAACAAAAACAAATTCTGGCCTGGACTTTTGCAGCTGTTCTAGACTAATTTCAAGGTACTGATTCCAAATCTGATCTCAGATTTGCTCTATCACATCTCATTTTATGCTATCGGCATACCCCATTTTCATTGATTTTACCCGAAATTAACTCTGTCACTTATGATTGCAAGTTGTTGCGAGTCAGTGACTGCTTTAGTGTTAACATATGGTGCTGTATTTTTAGGATAGTGTGTTTATAATATCATTTTATGTAGATATCCACATTTATTTAATATTTTTCTTCTGCAGTTTTTATTGAAAATGCAATATTTGATTTCTCAAAACCTGATGTGATAGACAAAAGCTGATGCCAGATTTGGAATCGGCACCCCAAAATCACCTTAAAACCATTGGAATACCTTATGCCAGACAAGTATAACCTGTAAAAACAAAATTTTTCACTATAAATCCGTTATATGCGTGGCGGCTAGAGTCCTCTCGTCCTCTGGCTTGAGATGGCTGCCACCTATGGGTCAGATGATTGCCTGCCACCATTAAGCAATTGGTAATTAAATATATATATTTTTCCTAAAATGTTGAAAATTTTGGAAAAAAATTTTCACGAAAATAAATTGTCACGCACAACGAGTCTGTGTGCAAGATGTCAGCTCGATTGGATCACGGGAAGTGGGTTAAAAAACGACCGAAAGATTTGCACGGTCGTAAGCGCGCAAGCAAGCAAGCAAGTGAACTTAATATAAAGGATTTTAAAAAAAGTGTGTTGACCAGTGTTATTTATGGAAACAGCGCCCTCTCCCAAACCCCGACCACCTGGAATGCTTAAACCGTGAGGTGTAGCCGGATTATTTACAATTCCACAGAAGCTGGTTTCGTGTGGTGTGAAATGTGCCCCCAGTTAATTGGTGAAGTTGGTTCACTGATTGCAAAAGGCCCCCACCCGCATCAACTGCCGACCCATGTCTAATGTAAGGAGCCCTCGCTTGTGTCACGTGTATGGCTTCAAGTTCAATCGATCCGATGATAATCGATATTATTATTTCCCGGTCTTGCTTTGTCCCCTAATGTACTGCTCGGTTTTGTCTCATTTACAATTTTGTCTCCGCTAGATTCATGTATCGTGATCAATTAATCTCTGCAACACGCCATGTAATTGTGCCATTGGGTGGTCTCATTTACAAAAACATCCGAATACACACAGAGACAAAGATACCCCGTGTTGATTTGAATAAACTGTTGGGGCAGGTGCTCATTCTGGAAAATTGCTCGATGCCAAGCTGGATGTAATTACCAGCGAAACGTCGTACTTCAAATTTAAAATGATGTTGATTCACTCTTCAACACACCAGGTGGGCTAAGGTAGTGAAATTTTTGTTCTTTGAAAAGTGACGCATTTTTTTACTGTTTGGCCGTGTCGGGTGGTGGAGGTTACGACCCATTTATAAATAACGCGATCTAACCCAAAAACCTTTATTATGAATAATATTGGTCGCGAAAGCCTCACACGTGTTCAACTGGGGCAAGTGCTGTTAGCGAGCACCTAAGGGGCCGTCCATAAATGACGTCACGCACCTGGGGGGGGGGGTCAGACATATGTGACGATGCGTGACGAGGGGGGGGGGGGTTGAGAAATGTGACGTCACATTAAAATGCGCAACTTTAAATAAATATAGACAACACGTTCTACTTAATTAAATAGACTTTTCAATAAATGTCTTCTCCTACAACATCAGAGTGCAGCGTCACATTAAATACGCACTACAATGGCAATAGTTTAAAGCGATTTGAAGCATGTTTAATCTTTTTGGGGGGGGGGGGGCGGGCAGAGCTTTGTGACGTCATATTTGAGGGGGGGTCTGACTTTTTGTGACGCCGTGTGACGAGGGGGGGGGGTAGAAAATCGTCCAAAATCGCGTAATGTCATTTATGGACTGCCCCTAAGAAACGGCACACGAAGGGGTGGTGTAGCCAGAAAATCATGCCCGGCCGCCTTTGTCTCCCCAGTGCTGATGTTTACACACCGCACCAGGTACACACCATTCAAGACTGAGTCGACCCAGCGGAGACCCAGCAAAAATCCTGATGTCAGTTGCCAAATAATGTACACAAACACGTACACACGCAAACACACACAATGGCATGAAGGCAGATACTAGAAAAAGCACACACCGACATGCCTATACATACCATGACGCACACAATCATGAACTGAAAAATCATACACACGTAAGCAGCAATAACAACAACCGCCGTTCACCACACGTGGCGGTGACGTCACGACGGCGCTTGTGCCAGGCTAGGTGCACTTTGACGCCACGTGCAGTATCGAAGGCCCACGAAACAGACCCAGGTAGCCGTGGGTTGACTGAGATAACTGGCAGATGCCCCCGACTGTGCTTCCCCACTGTGCCCAGCTGCGTCTTATCCGCCCGGCGCTCTGCTCGTTGTTGTGAGCGTCGCTCCTCTATAACCTCCGTTGTTGCTGGAGGGCGACTGCCTCCAACTCCTCGGCAGCGTTCTTCACGAACCTCCTACACAGAGGCCGATCTTGACACTGCTGGCACGAGGCACATAGGGGGCGTCCATAAATGACGTCACGTACCTGGCGGGGGGGGGGGTCAGACATTTGTGACGATGTGTGACGAGGGGGGGGGGGTTTGAGAAATGTGACGTCACTTAAAAATGCGCAACTTTACACCAGCCCACAGGGGATTATTGTGTCCGTCCGTCATGCAGGGAGGGGCTTTGGTGGGGAGGGTGGGGCTGGGTGGGGAGGGGAGGGTGGGGCTGGGAGGGTGGGGCGGGGCTGGGCTGGGTGGGGCTGGGTGGGGAGGGTGGGGCTGGGTGGAGAGGGGAGGGTGGGGGGCTGGGTGGGGAGGGTGGGGCTGGGTGGGGAGGGGAGGGGCTGGGTGGGGAGGGTGGGGAGGGGCTGGGGGGTGGGAGGTGTGGGGCTGGGTGGTGGGTGGGAGGGGTGGGGCTGGGTGGGGAGGGGCTGGTCACCCCGTGGTGCCCTTATAAAACTCAACGTTTAACCTACTCACGCCGGTTGTGCCCGCCCTCACAGTCGGGCATATTTGCGGAATACACCACGCCGCCGTTGACCCTGGCCATTGACCGAGCAACCCAACGTTCCTACCAGCTCCCTCTACAGGAATGTGTTCAAATAGACTTTTTTTTTATAAAGGTTTTCTCCTACAAAATCAGAGTGCAGCGCCACATTAAATACGCACTACAATGACAATAGTTTAAAGCGATTTGAACCATGTTTTATTTTGGGGGGGGGGGAGGCAGAGCTTTGTGACGTCATTTTTGAGGGGGGGGGTCTGACTTTTTCTGACGAAGGGGGGGTGGGGGGTCAAAAATAGTCCAAAATCGCGTGACGTCATTTGTGTACGGCCCCATGCGCGCACACACCAAAGACGAAGATCCTCCGTATAGCCTTAACAGACTGTTGGGGCAAGTGCTGTTAGCGAGCATCTACGAAGGCGGGCACGGCACACAAGGGGGTGGGTGGCCAGCACCACGTCCGGCCGCCTTTGTCTCACCAGCGGTGACGTTAACACACCACCCCAGGTACTCATGTGAGGCCGAGTCGACCTAAGGGAGGCCCAGGACCGGTGCAGACAATCACTGGCATTGGTAGCCTTGAGCGGGACTCGAACCCGGGACGCCGGGTTCGTAACCGCTCCGCTTTCACACGAACACACTGTTGTATATGCCGGGTCTTGAAAAAGTCAATTGTCAGAATTTATACTAATTATCAATCGTTATAATACTCTGCTTCTCGCTTTAACATTTTACTGATTATGTCTTAGTGTGTTTATGTCAGGTCTGCAAACTCAAATCTCACCGCACCAATCAGACATTTCTGTGTTAAGCAACTTTAATCTAAAAAAATCGAAACGTCGTAATATGCTATTATTTAATTTATTATTTTATCTTTAGACGTGACTTAACCGAAAGAACCAAATAATAATTCCTGCAGTCACGAAAGCTCCAAAATTAAGATTAAAAACATAACACTCTAATATGCGAACTCTTATGCTTGGAATTGGCAACACAGGACTCCTGGAGATGTTCTCCTCATTGATCCGTACATTTAACCCTCGATGATTACGTTTGTTAAACTGGGTAATAGAACAATCGATTATTCCTCGGCGTAAAGCGAGCATCCACGGCGATAGGAAAAAATCCTTAAAAATGAATATGACGATATTCATACGAGCGGTAATAAAGAAACATATCCCGAAGGCAAACGTAGTTATCAATTAATTAATTGGCAAGAGTATGCAATTAACAAAAACGAATGACTAAAATACTTCTAACAATCGTATTCATGTAACTCGACGGGCAGCAACTGCTTTTCACGATCAGTTGATATTTAACGCACCACCTTGGAATGGCAACCCTTCTTGAAACACAAAGATAACTTTTTGGAACAATCTTATTAGTCCCGATATGCGTGTTGTGTGCGTGTGTCTTCTTTGCCACTTGTTGACTTGGCGACTTACGCGGTACGGCCTTCCTTGTGCTGAAAACACCTCGGGTTCCCAGCAGGGCCGCTGGGACGTCGTGTGTGTGTGTATTAAACACACGGCGCTCCTGCCTGCGCCAACACTCTTCCTCTTGGCGTTGCCAGCTCTCTCCACTGCTGGTTGAGTTGGCGCGATGCTCGCCGTCGGCGGTGCGCGATGATTCCGTCGTTAGATAGCGCGCAGCTCGTCCGCTGGTCGCCGTTCCTCACTCTTGTCGTGGTTCCCAGCTGGTGCTGGTCGGTGTGTGTGTGGGTTGAACCCACGGCGCTCTCGCTGGCTCTGACACTCTTGCTCATGGGCGGCTGGTCAGGCTCTTTCCCCTGCTCCGTGCTCTCTTCTTGATCGTGCAGCTGCCAGCTTCACACGGACACCCGCCCTCACTTCAGGGCTGCGCTTGGCTCAGGCTCTTTCCACTGCTCCGTTCTCTCTCCTTGATCGTGCAGCTGCCAGCTTCACACGGACACCCGCCCTCACTTCAGGGCTGCGTTTGGCTCAGGCTCTTTCCACTGCTCCGTTCTCTCTGGTGATGAACGATGGCTCTCGTCGCTCATCCACTGCTGCTGCTTCTCTGCGATGCTCGCTTGGTCGATGCTTGGCGCTTTCCGCCCTTTCTCCATGTTGATTGCTTGTTGTCGCTCGTCACTCTTTCTCAGCTGCCAGTTTTGCACTGGCGTTCAGTGTTGCCTCTTCCACCCTTCCATCAGGGCTTCGCCTTGTGTCGTTGGTCAACTTTCGTGCTCTCCGCCCTTCTTCCAAGAGGGCTCTTGCTGTGAGCTGCTCGTCGCTGGCTGGATCACTCACTCTCAGTGGCGGCTCCTGCAAAATCTCTCAGGGGGGGCAAATGTCTGGATGATTGATAAGGATAAGGTCCACCCATGCAATGGATAAATTAACAGCTTAAGCATGTAAAGGCAACTTCACTTCTTTAATATTAATGAAAAATAAAGTGACTCTTACAATACATCTTGTTTGTTTCTATACTCACTATTAAAACAAACCACTCAAGTTTATTTTATTAAAGATTCCACGAGGTGGCCACAAATTATATTGTTGGATGAAACGTGCTTACGTATGATGACGTAAGCACGTATGATGACGTAAGCACGTTAGTGCGAGCCCTCCCGGAAGCCATAGAGAATGCATTGCAGCGCCCCCATTCGAAAAAAAACATCTTTGAATGTAAGTCTATGGGGCCACTCGGGGCGATTCTCAGCCGGAGTGAAATCGCCCAAAAAGAGGCGGTACTCCACAGAACGTGACATGACGCTGATTGGACTATATCCAGAGGCTGCAGTGATGGCTAGCGTGACTCTGTGGTTCAATGACATTGGTGGTGCGTCGCCCAATCGCCCTAATGAAGAAACCGCCCCTGCTCACTCTCCAAACTTGAAAATTGTATTAGCACACCTCTTACACAACTCTGATAGCTTAGTACAATACAACTTATTGCAATCCTCGATTCCGCAAAGTGACTCAAAACATCAGGATAAATGTAGAATAAAACTTTCAGCGATACTCTGTCGGTTCATGCCGAACTCGGCTCTTAACAACACATCGTCCCTTCTCTCTGCGAGACACGACACCCATGGTTGATCTAGAGGCCATGCCCCGGAGCCTGCCCCTTTGCAAGACTGAATTGCATGATCTGTGTCCGTGCTTAAATGTGAAATTCTCTCCCGTCTTTGCGCGTCTCTTGCGGGAAAAAAAACAGATGCCCTCTTTCTCGTTTTATCCCGTGGCCGCAGCGGCCTGGCTGCCCCCCCCCCCTTTTTGACCTTTGACTGGCTATGTTTTTGTTTGCACCCCCCCCCCCTTCTTCATAGTGTTTGTTATCTCGAGGCCAGACACCCTCCATACGTATTTTATGGCTACCATGTGTTTGTGTCAAATTGTTGGAAGACAAAGGTGGACGGGGAGGCTCTGATTTCATGGAATACATATTATCTAGTCTTGTGTGTTTTACCTATTTTCTTATATCTCTTATGAGTTACCCCCGGTCAAATATCTCGTGGTCAGGGGCGGTTTCTTCATTAGGGCGATTGGGCGACGCACCACCAATGTCATTCAACCACAGAGTCACGCTAGCCGTCACTGTGCCTCTGGATATAGTCCAATCAGCGTCATGTCACGTTCTGTGGAGTACCGCCTCTTTTTGGGCGATTTCACTCCGGCTGAGAATCGCCCCGAGTGGCCCCATAGACTTACATTCAAAGATGTTTTTTTTCGAACGGGGGCGCTGCAATGCATTCTCTATGGCTTCCGGAAGGGCTCGCCCTAACGTGCTTACGTCATCATACGTGCTTACGTCATCATACGTAAGCACGTTTCATCCAACAATATAATTTGTTGCCACCGAGTGGAATCTTTAATAAAATAAACTTGAGTGGTTTGTTTTAATAGTGAGTATAGAAACAAACAAGATGTATTGTAAGAGTCACTTTATTTTTCATTAATATTAAAGAAGTGAAGTTTGCCTTTACATGCTTAAGCTGTTAATTTATTCATTGCATGGGTGGACCTTATCCTTATCAATCATCCAGACATTTGCCCCCCCTGAGAGATTTTGCAGGAGCCGCCACTGCTCGTGGTTATTATTTGATTTATGTTTAACCAAGATTCGTAATGCCCCTTGTTGTTACCACCATTATTCCGAGGGTTTGCCAAGCTTTGTTATTAGTCTGTGTCACCAGGGATCGGAGTATTTAATTCTAGAGTTCTATTTTGATTTCCCGAGATTGGATATGTAACTAAGTTTCCACTTAAGCTTTCTTGACTGCCGGAATTCATATTCCGTGGTTCTCTTGGTGAAGTCACATAGATAGAAAGATACAATACAAAATAAAATAAGTAATACTGCAGTCAAAAATGTCGACTTATTCTCATAGCTAAGCTTCAAACTTTTACCGTATAAAAAAATATCAGTTATAATGTCCGTTGGTGTTTTATGGCTCTGGAAATTTGTTTGTGAACTCTCCTAAACGTCCGTTGGGGTCATGTCATATGGTCCTTTGACAATCTGGAGATTTTGCAGATCGTCGTTAACCTTCCTTTTCCCCGGAGTTTATTATGTAATGGCCTTTTACGACCTCCAGATGCTTGGTGCTTGTGGGAGGTAGCGGGTTTGAGGGTGTTTTTTTTATTGATTATTATTATTTTAAAAAATTGACAGAATTAATTTTAATATAAATTTTTGGAAAAAGCCCTATTTATATACAACAACACAGACAGACACACGTACATACATACAGACACACACGTACATACAGACACACATACAGACAACAACAACAACAACCGCCATTCGCCACTAAGTGGCGGTGACGTCACCACGACGCTTGTGCCAGGCCAAGTGCACCTTGAGGCCACGTGAAATGTCGAACGCCCGCTGGCAGGAGGTCACGGGGCAGACCCAGGTGCCACGGGTCGACTGACCGAGATGACCGAGATGACTGGCTGATGCACCACCTGTGCCCCCTACTGTACCAACTTGCTGTGCTTTAGCCACCCGGCGCTCCGCTCGTTGTTGTGAGCGTTGCTCCTCCGCCCTGCGTTGTTGTTGGAGGGCGACTGCCTCCAACTGCCCAGTAGCGTCCTTCACGAGCCTCCTCCACAGAGGCCGATCTTGACACCGCTGGTACCAGTCATCGGCAAGTCCACTCAGCTCCACGTCCTCCTGTACCACATCACTCCATCTCTTCTCCAGCCCGTGCCGCGCCCGTTTAGCCCCCTCGATCCGGCCGAACAAAAGCTGTTTAGGCATGCGGTGGCTGGGCGTGCGGGCTACATGACCCAGCCAATGCAGCCTTGCCTGCCGGAGGAGTTCACTGATGGGACTTTGCCCAGATCTTTCAAGGACTTGTGAGCTCCTCACACAATCCAGCCTGGTTAAACCCAGGATGGATCGTAGGCAGGCCAGCCTAAATGTTTCCAACCGGCGAAGATGCTCCACTAGGGGGGTCCACGTTTCGCAAGCGTAGAGAAGGGAGGGAATGACCGTGGCCGAGAAGACCTGAAGCTTCGTGCGGAGCGACAGACCAGGTAGCTTCCACACAGCGTTACGTAACCGATGAAAAGATATTGCCGCTCGACTGATTCGGAGTGAGACCTCTGCTGATAAACTGGAGCCGGTCATAAGCACACTGCCCAGGTATGGGAAACTCTCCACTCTCTCCACAACTGCCCCATCACCAATTGGGAGTTGTGGGGGTGGAGTGTCCGATGGTACAAAATACCCAGGCAGGTGCTTAGTTTTGGTGGGGCTGATGGTAAGGCCCCACCTCTTAGTGGCACGCTCCAGTCTCAGCAGCAGCGTCTCCAACTCCTCTTCTGAATGAGCAGCTATTACCAAATCATCGGCATACATAACGTGGTTGACCAATAGGGAGCCATCCCTTGATCGCACCCGGGCATCGATCAGCCTCCCATTATATCTGTACCAAATGGAAATTCCCCCGGTACAGCTATTGAAGGCTTCACGAACTACGCGGTCAAAATAGATGTTAAATAATGTGGGAGCCAGAAGACATCCCTGTCGCACCCCAAGGTGTACAGGGAAAGGCTCCGACTCCCGGCCACGTAGTTTTACCCGGGCCCGCTCACCATCATGAAGGTCCTTAATGATCGTGAGCAGAGGGTCAGCGACTCCGAAAGCACGAAGAACAACCCAGAGCCCAGTCCTACTGATGGTATCATAGGCCTTGACCAGGTCAATAAAGCAGAGATGTAGGTCTTTTTGGAATTCCCTACACCTCTGCTGTAGCAGACGGACAGAAAATATGGCATCTGTGCAGGACCGCCCTTTCCTGAAACCGCATTGGGGCTCCGCAAGCCTCTCCTCAGCGTGCCTAGCAAAGCGATGTTGAATAATCCTTGCCAGGACCTTACCCGGCACACTGAGGAGTGAGATGCCCCTGTAGTTGTTACAGTCGGTACGGTCCCCCTTTTTAAAGAGGGGGACCACCAGGGCATCCTTCCAGTCCTGCGGAACCCGTCCAGTGGTCCAGACTGTTGTTATGATGTCATATAGGGCAGTCTGTGCACACACGCCACCATCCCTCAGCATTTCGCTTGGGAGATCATCTCTGCCCGATGCCTTCCCTGGTCTCAGACTCCGGATCGCCCTCAGTACTTCCTCAACAGCTGGCACCTCAGCCAGCCACTCACAGGGGGTGACCTCTTCCAATATTTGAGGCACCGCAGCCTCAGCAGGGTTATCACCACTTTGTGCCATGATGTTTTCCTGGCTGAGAGAATTTCCCTCCCCCAGGACCTCACAGAAATGCTCAGCAAATCTGCAAACCTGTTCCTGGGGGTCGGAGATTGGATCACCGTTTTTTCCTCTAATGATGGTAATAGGTGTGGCGCTGCAGGTTACTTTTTTGATGGAGTTAAATAGTGATTTGTGATCACGGGCCACTGAGGCAGACTCCATCTCCTCAGCAACCCGCGACCACCACCCATCCTTACAGCGCCTTACGGTTCTCCGAACTTCCGAGCGAAGGCTGCGGTAAACCTCCTCATTCTCTGACGTGGGATGCTGTAGGCGATGAGAGTGGGCCTGTCGCTTTTTCTCAATTAACCTGAACACCTCCTCTGTCAGCCAGGGTTTCTGGGGAGGTCTGGACCGCGTACCCAAAGCAGCCATTGCAGCTGCATGAGTCACAGTCTTAAACCTCGCCCATTTACCCTCGACATCAGGTGGAGTGGGGGACGATGCCAACACCAGCTGCAAACAGACATACAGACACACATACAGACACACGCATGCTCGTTCTCGTCGCTGATTGGCCACAGTCGCCTTTATTAAGAGACCTCCCGCATCCCACCGGGCGCGCACCTGTGAGTGACGTCAGCAATGCCAGGTGGGAGGCGGTGGCGGCAGTGGCGGCAGCGGTGGCAGTGGCAACAGTGGCGGCAGGTGCGGCAGTGGCAGCAGCGGCAGTGGCAGGTGCGGCAGTGGCAGCAGCGGCAGTGGCAGGTGCGGCAGTGGCAGCAGTGGCAGTGGCAGCAGTGGCAGTGGCAGCAGCGGCAGTGGCAGCAGCGCGCTGGTGGTGGCAGCAGCGCACTGGTGGTGGCAGCAACAGCAGCAGCAGCAACAGCAGCAGCAGCAACAGCAGCAGCAGCAACAGCAGCAGCAGCAACAGCAGCAGCAGCAACAGCAGCAGCAACAGCAGCAGAAGCAACAGCAGCAGAAGCAACAGCAGCAGAAGCAACAGCAGCAGAGCAACAGCAGCAGAAGCAACAGCAGCAGCAGCAGCATCAGCAGCAACAGCAGCAGCAGCATCAGCAACAGCAGCAACAGCAGCAGCAGCGTGGTGGTGGCAGCAACAGCAGCAGCAGCGTGGTGGTGGCAGCAGCAGCAACGCGGGAAATTCAATTTAAGCGTTGCCTTATGGTGCGCCACAACCACCACCACAACAGCAACAACCACCACCACAGCAGCAACAACAACAACCGCCGCTGCCGTCGCAACCTGCCTCGGCGGACCTGATTTCTCGTGCAAGGTGATGTTTCTTGCTGTTTCACTGGCTGCCTCGCCCTGCCCCAGTTTGTGTCAATAGAATTGTTAAATAAGTGTAGCCCTTTCGCCAGAGGAGGGCAATACTCTACAATATTTCAATGCATTGGTGATCATGCATTGGCAGTGTTGTACCCAAGCAGGAACGGCAGCAACAGCGTGGTGGTGGCATGCTGCTGCAGGGTCTTGGTAGTACATGTTGTTTATGCCATTTATTGTGAAAATTCCGTCACAGTTCCTATGATTGTTTTTTCATTGCTTTCATGGCTTTATTTTGGTGATATCGAAAAGTTATTGGTTTAGCCATGTTTGTTTGTTGTAGTACAGTTAGACTGATGGCCTTAATCTAAGCTGTCTTGTGGTTGTTGTTGTTTGGCTTGCATCCCACTGGGATTTTTGCACACAGCGTTGGTGTACGGTGTTTTTTCTGCAATATTTTGCTGTCTTTTCTTGGATTTTCTGTTTGCACTTAGTCACATATTCACTTTAAGATGTTTTTTGTTCATGTTTTTGTTTTTTGTTTGTTGCGGTTGCACCCGATTCAAGAGCTGAATGGCTCACAGGGCTATACCTAATGAATGAACTTGAACTTGTATTGATAAACCGTCAATAACGCCACCTTGAAATGACAACATTATTTGGCGACGGTTCGGGCAATGGCCCTCCTTCACAGCACATAAGCCATGCAGAGAGGTAGTGGACTTTATCATTTGGATTGGCCAAAATATCTTCGTTCTGGATTATCATGAAAGTCTTGGACAAGGCAGGCTTATCTTGAATAAATAAATAAATATTCTTGAAACGGCTCGTGGAAAGGAATTGAAACGCCATCAAACGTATTTTGTTACTGACCAATTTGTTTCAAAGACGATGCATATATTACACTGGTCAACACACTTTTTCTGGCATAAGGTATTCCAACGGTTTTAAGGTAATTTTGGGGTGCTGATTCCAAATCTGGCATCAGTTTTTGCCTATCACATCAGATTTTTGAGATATCAAATATGGCATTTTCAATAAAAACTGCAGAAGAAAAATATTAAATAAATGTGGATATCTACATAAAGTTATATTATAAACACACTATCCTAAAAATACAGCACCATATTTTAACACTAAAGCAGTCACTGACTCGCAACAACTTGCAATCATAAGTGACAGAGTTAATTTCGGGTCAAATCAATGAAAATGGGGTATGCCGATAGCATACAATGAGATGTGATGGAGCAAATCTGAGATCAGATTTGGAATCAGCACCCTGAAATTAGTCTAAAACAGCTGCAAAAGCCCAGGCCAGAAAAACATGTTTTTTTTGTTGACCAGTGTTAACGCAGACTTGATTCCTTGCAAAGGGTTTCTATTTGGTGTTTGAACATCTTAACCTGTTTTATTGCCAAAAAGGGTAACGTCTAATCAAACTAGTGTTGGCGGATTTCTCGTACAATGCTCATAACTGCTCATTACCTGCAAAATAAGTATACAATACAGGAACACAATCTTGTATAACCTAATGGTATCCGTATATTTTAGACACCCTGTACTGTTTGAATTGCAAGTTATGCACTAATGATATCCACCATGGCAATAACATCAATAAACTAAACTATATTTTTAGTTTGGCAGGTAAAGCCCAATTGAGCTATTTAGCTCTTTTTAAATCCTTTATATTAAGTTCGCTTGCTTGCTTGCGTGCTTGCATGCTTGCTTACGACCGTGCAAATCTTTCGGTCGTTTTTTAACCCACTTCCCGTGATCCAATCGAGCTGACATTTTGCACACAGACTCGTTGTGCGAGACAATTAATTTTCGTGAAAAAATAATTTCCAAAATGTTACACTGTTTAGGGAAAACAAATTAAATATTTAATTACCAATTGCTTAATACTGGCAGACAATCATCTGACCCATAGGTGGCAGCCATCTCAAGCCAGAGGACGAGAGGACTCTAGCTGCCACGCATATAAAGGATTTATAGTGAAAAACTTTGTTTTTACGGGTTATACTTATTCACAAACGACCTGTCCATCACAAATGACAGCTCAACGAAAGTGGTTTGTCACGTGGAAATATATACAGGTAAGGAACAACAGGTTCCACACTGCCTACCAGGGATTGTTTGTCTGTTGTGCATCGGAATGCAGCCCACCCATACACCTCCCCCCCCGAACGCCGAGCAAAGCCGCGATTGGTTGAGGATGTCGGGGAGGGTGGGGGATGGTAAACACGCCCATTCATCCAACTCCCCCCCCCCCCCCCCCCCAAACGCCGAGCGGGGCCGCCATTGGTAGAGGTGGGTTGTAAACACGCCCACTCATGCAATCCCCTCCCCACCGAACACCGAGCAACGCCGCGATTGGTTGACGATGTCGGGGAGGGTGGGGGGGAAGGGTAAACACGCCCACTCATCCAACTGCCCCCCCCCCCCCCGAACGCCGCGCTGTCCAACCAAGTTCCTACCTGCCCACTCCGAAGGAACGTGTTGGCAGCCAAATTACCCTCGATGCATGTCGATTCTAAATGTGGCGTGAAAAACCGGAGGACTCGGAGAAAAATACAGAAAAACGGGGAGAACATGCAAACTCCAAATATATACAGCCGTTAGGGTAGGTATCGAACCCAGGACCTCCTGCAAACCAGGTGAGGTAGTTAACATCTGGCCACCTATGTGCCCATGGATTTTAACATTGCAGCATCATGAGATGGCCAAGGCTTGAAGAGGACACCAAACAGTGGATTGACCATGGCTGATGATTATGATGATGACGTGCAAATGTGGTGCATTGGTAAACGTGCATGTGTACTCAGGGTTATGTTTTTTGTTTGCATTACGACTGCAGGTATTGTGGTCTATGCAAACATGACTCCTTGTAAAAAAAAGGTGTCAGTTTTGTTGCCAGATAAAAGGGTAACAAAACAATTATCACAGCTTACTTTATTTGTGTTTTTATTTGGAAGTGATTTTGTTTACCTTGCCTATACTCTGCACTCTCTTGTATTTGTATTATTTGTTATAACGCTCTGACCCCGTGGCCCTACTTGAAATCTGAAAAAGAGCTTTGAATGCTCATTGGATTCCTCTTCCAGTAGAAATACACATTCTGATCATGACGCTGCTTTTCCCTGGGCAGTTTTCCAGAACGGCTCGCCCTCCGACGTTCGCCATGTGCCACCGGAGGCCCCACGATGATCGGTGCATCTTCAGGCCCTACCGGTGCCCGTGCCCTGGCCGTACCGCCTGCCCCTGGCAGGGCTCCCTGCGTGGTGTGCTTCCACACTGGCGAAGGCTCATCCCAGCGTGCCCAAGCTGTGTGGCACAGACGTCCTCTTCCAGGCGACCAACCTCGAGAAACCGCCGCCCACATTCTGGCTCATGGTCCAGGTATTGGCCCGACGGATGGTCCTTGGGTCGGCGGGTGTACGTACGTGTGTATATTCTTGGTTCTTTGGGTAAAGTCACGTAGAAGGGAAATAATAAAATAATATTAATATAATACAGTAAAAATTATCACGACGTTTCGACTGCAACACAAGCAATCGTCATCCGGTGTGAAATCCACACATTCTGATTCTGGTCTGTGGATTTCACACCTGATGATGATTGCCTGTGTTGCAGTTACGACCAAAAAATCACAAAAAAATGTAATCTGGTCACGAACGCAAACTCGGGTGACGATAAAACACGGCCGCAGCCGATTTCCCCTTCCGCGCCATTTTTTTTGTAAGCGCCAAATTATATATATAACTTTTGTTATATAAAATTCCTAGTAAGATATTGATTTTGTGAGTGTATTCATACCCCTCCCCCCTCATTCAAGCCGTAATTTAGAGATCGAAAGCGCTGAGTACATAAATTGCTAGCATAAGAACCCGTTAATCTCTTCTCGCATCATTAATACGATGATGCGGTGAAGTAAACGTTCATACGATATTACGGTGAATGCTTCCAAAAACAATACTGTACCCAAATATTACTGTTAACTTACTTTCAATAGAAACCTGAAATGCTCATGCGAATATTCTCTCTCTCAGAATCGACCGACTGATGTAGCAGACGAAACAATCATCTTGTTGAACGATTCTAAACCTTGACGCTGGCAATGTTAGTTTTCTCTGTTCAAGGTTTTCTCAGTGTTATTCAATGTTTTTACATTTAGTTTACTATTACACTGTGAATTTTATGGCATAATTAACAATTTTTGTGCTTAAAACCCTTTAAAAAACTATTTATATACAGTTCGTAAGAGTCTGGAATGGATTAATCGTATTTACATACAATCTAATGGGGAAATTAGGTTCGAGTCATGACCAAATCGGGTTTCGACCAAAGTTATGGAACGAATTATGGTCGTGACCAGAGGTTCTACTGTATGTTGCACTTTAATAGTGTAGTTTAGTTAATAGTGTAGTTTTACGAGAAGCAGTCCTGTTGAATATTATAGAAATGTTTAACAGGCTGATAATTATCTGAACATCGCAACAGTTCCAACAAGAGTTTGGCATCTTAAGCAAATGCTACTGGGAATTATTAGTCCAGCCACAAGGCCCATATCCCGATTTGCTTCATTTCTTACGTATTTATGTATGTATATTGAACTTCTTTCGCACATACATAGCCTACAGTCCTAATCGGAGGCGCGGCGGGAAGGACCACAATATAATCACAAAGCTAAATTTCGATTTAAATAAATATGCTAAATTACTCTTGATATGCACATTCTTTTGTTAAGGCGCTCTTCTTCCACCTCCAACCCAGCTTATATACAAGCTCCTAGCTTGGCAGTGTCTCATTCTTCACCCTGAAGACGGCTGCTTGCGTTGTAGCCCGAAACGTCGTGAGAATTATTTTGTTATGTTTTATTTTTATTATTTTATTACTTCCCTTCTACGTGACTTTATCGAAAGAACCAAGAAGATGAATCACAAAGCTGTTGAAGAAATGAGTTTTCAATCTGGATTTACAAGTGCAGAGCCCCAGTGGTTTCCTAATATCGCTGTGCTCTGGTCGTCTAGCCATCTTCGGAACAGACTTTTATACGAATGAAATGTATTTGTTTTCAACATTTTTTTTGTGTTATTATCCTACTTGTACATAAGAAATCAAGTGTTCTCTGTATTGTCGGATGAGTACATTCATGATGCTATAGAAACACGATTACATTTCCGAAAAACAGTCAAGTTACTCCGAGTTTCACGAACACATTTTGATTCCAGTAAACTGAAATTTTATCCCACTTATTGGACACCCAGCAAGTCTAAAATCCAGATCCAGTATATTGTGGCTTCGTCCCCATTTTTAGTTTGTGTGAGCCACCACATTGTATTCTAGCCAATCATTTTATTCTCCAAATGCTACTGTTAAATAATCTACGTGTGTTGGGTTCCATACCCTTATAATTGGAAAGCAACTTTAAATCAATGCATACATTTAGATTTAAAGCTTTCGTGACTGCAGGGATTCATCTGCTTGGTTCTTTCGGTAAAGTCACGTAGAAGGGAAATAATAAAATAATAAAATAAAACTTTAAATAATTCTCACGACGTTTCGGCCACAACGCAAGCAGCCGTCCTCAGGTGAAGAACAGGTCTGTCAGGTTGTGGCTGAAGAAGAGCTACGTAGCTCGGTGGGCTTTTCCTGGTAAAATAAAAACAATTACGTCTTCCCCGACAGACCTGGTCCTTCACCTGAGGACGGCTGCTTGCGTTGTGGCCGAAGCGTCGTGAGAATTATTTTATTTGTATTATTTTATTATTTCCCTTCTACGTGACTTTACCGAAAGAACCAAGAAAATGCATACATTGTAGTGCACGCTGCCATTAGTGGCCGAAACAAAGGCAGACAATTTTTGAGTCAAAATGCGACATTTGTTTTAGATTATATTTGGCTGCTATACATTTCCACGTGATAAGCTACTTCGTTGAGCTGTCATTTGTGGCCAGGTCGTGGCTGAAAAAGAGCTACGTAGCTCGGTGGGCTTTTCCTGGTAAAATAAAAACAATTACGATTTATTTTTCAAGTGATTTGATTACCTCTCCTCGACTTTTAACTCCTGTTTGTGTATTGTTTGTTATTTGTCGTTGTAACAGTCTGATCCTGTGCCTCTTCTTCTGGACATCTGTAGGTGTCCAGAAGGGGCATTGCATTCGTCCAGTATAAATACATATTCTGATTCCTGATATTGAAAACCCAGTACTGTAAATGAAATCCAGATGTATTGCTGCCTTCTTCCCCACCCAAGCACACATCTTGGTAAGGCTACTTAAAAATCAATGCATAATCGTAGCACACAAAGCCAGACGTTTTTGGGTCAAAGCAAAAAAAAATATATTCTCCTGCCTCATTGAAACCCCAGTACTGAAACTGAAATACAAGATGCTTTTGTGCCTCGTCCCCCCCCCCCCCCCCTCTTGGTTCGAGGTGTGCCTGGGCCACCAATTCCTCCTGGTCCTCGAGAAACGCACTGTGTCGCAGGAGGTTCGATTTGCGATCTCCCTGCTGCTTGTGGGGCCTGGCCACCTGGCTCCATCCTTCACGTACCGTGTGGAGCTTGGCAGCTCGCATCACCGCAGGTGGGCATCGATTTAAGCTGCCGGTTGGCAGTAAACCTACTTTATTCACTTTTCTAGCGCTTTGCACCTTGGGTTGAGCGCATGAACGCTTTGGTGGCTTTGTCCATCGGTCCGTAAAGGTTGGGGAGTGGGGAATAGCAAAAACTCTTGTTATTGAAACCTTTTTTTTTCACCAATACTTCTCCCATTATTTAGAAAAAAACTAAAACAATTTAATATTATTTTCTGTCCCTTTGCACATTAATGTAAAACGTCACCCCCCCTAACTTTAAGAGTCCCTAATAAATGGTGAATATTTTCACACTACAGTATAATTTGTGGGTGTTAAACCTTGTCAATGTTGCCGGGTCACTGTTGGTTTAGGATAGATGGGCCAGTACGTTAGGTCATGCCCTTCGTCAAATGCAGGTTAGTCAGACACGTGATTCGATTGCCAGAGCCACGTGGACCACTGGACAAGATTCCCTTGGGATCTTGAAGAGAGGGAGGCCTGTATCGGGAACCAATCGTGACGCCAACACATCGATATTACAGGTCCGTTGGCGTATCTATATGCTGGGAGCCGTACGAATAAACAGAACCTCGTCACCCCCGTAGAAAGTTCTTGTGTGCACGTGGCCGTGTTTGGGAGAGAAAGCGAGTCGTGTCGCAGCCAACGAAAGGGAGGATCAGGCAGTGTAACCAAGGAAAACAACGTAGGAGTGCTCCAAAAAAACTTTGATTTTATCATTTATTGATGACTGACTTCCCTGTGTCCTCGAAAAACGATCACGGCCAGCAAACATCGAGGCACAGTGGGCACGGGTCACAATTAACAACGTGGAGTCCCAACCGGTTGACCTCGTGCTCACTCGCCCGCCCACCGTTTCCCGTCGCCGCAGGATGAGTTACGAGGCGACGCCACGGCCTCTGAGGGACGGCATCGCGAGGGTCATCGCCGACAAAGATGGCCTCTTCTTCAGCAAGGAGGTCGCCCGGCTGTTTGCCGAGAATAACACCCTGGCCATCGCATCCTCCATTGACCGGTGCTAACGGTTGGGGGGGGGGGGAAGTGCGCGAGGTGCAATTGTGGTGGTGGTGTTTGTGGGGTGGGTGCCGAAATCAACTCTCCTCTAACTCAACACCGCTCACCTCGTCTTGCGCCTTGCCGGTCTCCTTCATAAGTGCTCGCTTAACAGCGTTTGCCCCCCCCCCCCCCCACCTAGCACCGCCTCCCAAAAGCCTGAAGAGGTTGCGGTGCGGGTGAGCGTTCTTTTTGTCTTTATTGGTATGGGCAGACGGGCTGAATTGTATTTGTTTTTGTTGGCTACGTTGGGGGGGGGGGGGGGGGGCGCAAGGGAGCCGTGCGAAGGAACGGTGAATGTTGGAAGAGGCACGATACAATGCCGTGGTTGCTATTATCCATCACGTTAGTGCTTTTGCAAAAACGTTTTCCCGAAGTAAACGACAGCATGAATGTGGTTATACGTGTATTTATTTATTTATTGCGTAACTGTTAGAGTGCATTACTGGCGTCTTATAGGTTGTCAACATCCAGCGATTTGAAAATACTTTGCGGCGAGGGTTACGTTGTGCGAACTGCAGCCGGAGGCATAATTTTTAAGCAGATCTCAATTCGTACTGGGAGTTGAGCGGAGAGCAAACTTGCACTCGTGAATTTGTGAAGCAAAATGTGCGAAGCTGACCGGCAAGTTGTCGTCACGACGAAATTTATATCGTGCGGACCCTAACGTGCAAAAAATGTACGTCGTGCAACCCTTGAGTGCCCATTTCACTTATGAACGGTTACAGCTCGCGGAAGCTGATTTCTGTATCGTGCCTGGCCACGGTGAGTAGCATACATTCGGCACATGTGCTACCCCCCCCCCCATCCCCACTCCCATACCACTGTGCTTTTTGGACCTGGCTTGATTGTTGTTTGTTTCTTGCCTGCAGTTGTTTTGCAAACTTAAAGAAAACCGAGAAGGGGGTGGGGGGAAAAATGTACTTAAGAATTACCACTTTTCAGTATAATGCCGTCTTGTGAAGCTGCCTTTTTTCCTCCCTGCCACGTATTGTTTCGGCAGCCTCCTGTAACCAAAAGAAAAAGTCCTTGGCAGCAACAAAGAAAAGGTTAAAATGCTCGCACCGAATGCAGAGTGTACCGTGTGTACTGAGTGGTATCGTTCAAATGAAAACTGACAGTAGCCCGAGACGGCTGTGAATTGGGGTAAGAGGAGCAGGGCTGTTATAACCAAACCAGTGCAATATGTTGTGAGCACCATCCTCGTTTAATGTATTTAATGGGTGCATTACTAGACGACGGTGTTCCGTTTTGAGATTTGCTTTTGGTGACGTGACGTATATTTATTGATGGCTAAATGCACTTTTTTGCACGCTTCTGTTTTGGTGTGAAGAGACACTGAAGAGGAAATAGCAGTGCATATTTTCTCAATTTGCTGCACTTTGTTGATGCCAATTTGCGTCTCGCTTGAATGTAATTGTTTGGGTGGAATTAACTTGGGTATCACCTTTATGATACTATCAAAAGTAATGACGGGTTTTTTTTTTTACTAATGGTAGTGACCCAAAGCTAAATTATTATTCTTATTAGCTCACATTTTTGTACTTTTTTACGACTGACTCAACATTTAGCTCGTATTTAATTTTAAGAACACGTTATTCCATTGTACAGAATCGTGGACAAAAATGAATTGTCACCAAAATAACAATGATGATGATGATGTTGGAACGAAGTGGTGCAGTTTATTCCGCGCGTTGTTTTCGGAAGCCTGTTCGAGTTCGACTCTCAGCTAGCAAATGACATCGGTTGGGATTGATCTGAAATCTCTCCCCTCTCCACTTCACCAATCCACAATTACCAGCTTTGTGTAATATTATGGGAGAAAAAAGAACACTCCACCACTTAGGTCTTCGTCGATATGATTTTTGTTTTGGGGGGGTATACCGCGTCGTACAGTTCTTAACGATGTCTGACGTTTCGTGGAGGAAAAATGGCAGCGTCCAGAACAACGTGCGCCCCCCCACCAATACGCGGTAATAACCCTCATGCCTCACACGGCATGGGGAGGCGTTGATCCAGAAGTGGATTAACAAAAGGCTGTATCGAATTGTTGTTATTTTCCCTCTCTGGTGAGGTTGAAAATCTGACATACGTAACTCTGGAAGAGGGAGCATTTTTGTGTTTTTTTTAAGGCTCTGAGATTTATATTCTCGAAGGGTAAAGTTGCAATAATCCCACCTCTGCATCATAATGAGATCGTTTGTTTCTGAAGTCTTAAGCACCGTTGCGGGTTAATGGGTTTGTGTTTTGTTTCACGTGAACTGAACACCCATCCTCTTGTCCCACCGTACGTTCTTGCGTTGCATTAAAACCTGATTGAGATGTTCCACCGGATGTCGCGATTCAGTTCCCTTTGTCTCGATCTGCTGTTGGAAACTCGGACAATCTTTATCTCTAGATCGACCAAAGGCTCCCGTAAATCACTTGAATTTTATTTAAAAGCTGTTTAAACTCTTTAACCATTTTTATTTTACCAGGTAACACTATGTGTGCATGCTTTCAATATCGGTCGAATTTTTTTTTTAATACGACTTTAATATTTTTTTTTATACTAATAAATAATCAATTAATTTGTGAGAGACAGATAATGCGTCGACGCTTTCAAACTTGGCTGGACAGCGCTATTAAAGGACCCCTTTAAAGAATTAATGAATGAAAGCACATGGAGACGTTCATGCCGAGCCTTTTTATATAGGCTGCGTGTGATCTCCCGGTGACCTTTTAAGGGAGGCAGTGGGTGGCCTCCGATTGACGAGGCTTGTTTTTTCGCGGTATTCCATAGAAAGGGGGACTTCAGGTGGGCCAATAAAAAGCCACAACACAACGTTGCGGTCTATGACCTCAGCCCGCTTTATTTATTTTGCTTCTCTTCCCCGCTCTCTTGCCTTTCCCCCCTTTGCTCTCTCGCTCTCTCACGTTGATCATTAGCAATAAAACTGTTACTAACAACAGTCCTGGCGGCGGCGGTGTGTATGTGTAGGAGTGACTGACGCCAAGGTTACAGCGCACCGACGATGCTCGCGCTTGCTTTAGAGAAGTGTGTCACACGGACTTAGAATGTGTGCATGCCGTTGCAACGACGAAGCAATTCGACTGAGTTGTTGTTTGTTGTGGCGCTTGTAATAATCTCATTGATCGCAATTTTTAGTCACTCTCTCACCTGAGCAATAAGCCTCAACTATGAACATCCAGGCAGGGCAGGTGGATATGCGACCGCAGTAGCGGGCCTCCACTCCGACTGTCGGCGTAGAAGGTCGTGTGGCACACTCGCGGCATAGCCGGGTGCCGTGCAGCTGAATGAATTGGGGAGCAGACTTGCTCCATAATTGTCAAGCTTTGCCATTGAGAGCGACCAGGAGGGCGAAGCGTTTGATCGAGGGCGGGTTCCGTGGGCAACGACGCTGTGGGGGGCGGACTTCACGGCTGGTGCGGTTCGAGCCGAAAGGAGACGGGCACGATGGCGGAGACGGCGGTGGACAAGACGGGAGGAGCGGGCGAGACGGACGAGAAGGTGGCAGGAGGGACGACATCGGAGCAACGCGCTGACAGCCCCGGGGCGAGCGAAGATGCCGCGTACAGCTTGGAGCAGATCGAGATGCTCACCGTCGTTGGTAAGTGTCCCGTTGTGACGTTGTTTCTTTCGAGGGCGACCCTGGGTAGGGCATATTGTGTGGCGGTGGTGGTGATGCGCTGGCAGTGGTACACAGGCAAAATGAAAATTAAAAAAAGCTCAATTAACTCGTCACCAATACTGTGCGGCCTTAAAATAAGCACATGTAATTGGGGACGTTTCAGGGCAATGGTCCTTCTTCATAGCGCGTTTTTTGTACGTTAACGAGGGTGAGTTTGTTGGGTGACAATCACTTTAGGCGTGGCGGTCCATCCATCCAAGCATTATCCAAGCTGAAAGCTGTTTAGCTTCCAAGATTTGATGAGATGAGGCGCATATATTCTTTGTGATCCGGTCATAAAATGGGCTCATATTTGGAAATACGTATTATTATAATAACCTTTTTTATAAATCGCCTTTTCATATTGAAGCATCTCGGCGCGCTGGACGTAAAAATACAACTACACTCACAATTATAGATACAATCTAAGTGAAATAGCTGATACTCGTAGGAACCTCCTGGTTACACCAGCCCACGGGATTATTGTGTCCGTCCGTCGTGCATCCTAAAATGGGAGGCGTGGGGCTGGGTGGAGAGGGAGGGTGGGGAGGGGCTGCTCACCCCGTGGTGCCCTTCTAAAACTCAACGTTTAACCTACTCACGCCGGCTTGTGCCCGCCCTCACAGTCAGGCATATTTGCGGAATACACCACGCCGCCGTTGACCCTGGCCATTGACCGAGCAACCCAACGTTCCAACCAGCTCCCTCCGCAGGAAATGTGTTAATAACAATATAAATGGCGACTCGAAATTCCAATAACAAGAAGAACTATGATAAAAGAGATATTAATAATAGCAGAGTAATTCAATCAGACAACAGTAGAGTGATTTTTTTTAAAGCTCAGGTTACAGGGAAGTAAGTACAAATAGGTGAGTTTTAAGATAGTAATTAAAAAAGTGACACCGACTCAGAACCCTCGAACGGACCGAGAAAGGAGTTTCTACAATCACGGAGCTTGGCTGCTGGAAGATCCGTCTGCCGTAAAACGAAATCATCACAGTCTTTGTAATGATGAGGAGACCAGAATCAGCTGGACTCCGAAGATTTCGCAGTGGTATATAAAACGTGGCTATGTTGTTATGAACTCTTAATATTTGTTTAGCTTGGGCCACATCCACATATCGTCCACTAGGAGTCCCTGGCATCACATCACTGGACTGGGCATCTTTGCTCTAGTGTGTGTTTATGTATTTTGAACTTCTTTTGCACCGTACATAGCCAGCCGCCTTAATCCGGGGTGTTTATTGTGGTACATTAATTTGCATTGTCGACCCCCATTGCTCTGAACAGCTTTTTTGTAACTTTTTTAGTGCAATGCTATTTCACGCGACTTCCCACCGTCAAAACGCCAGATACATTGACGAAACGTAGATGAATAAAAGACAGTTCTTTGAGTGGACGTCAGCCCACAGAGCCAATTTGCCGCTTCTTCTCCCAGCAAGTGCAGGGCATCCTGTCCGCCCGGCACTGCCTGCAAGTTATTTGTTCACGGGATCCGTGGTTGACATCGGAGGGATCGTGCAGCAAAAAAATCCGTTGTCCTCTGCAGTGGCTGCTGGTCGTGAGGCCGGGTTCCACTCGTGAAGCTGAAGAAATAACCCTCAAAATATGAACCTGCTCATTGTGTGTGTGTGTGCGTATGTGTGTGTGTATGTGGGGAGCGGTAGTGTAGTGGTTAGCGCGCTGCGCTATGATCCTGGCGACCCGGGTTCGATTCCCACTCACGGCCAACACCAGTGACGATTATCTGAACCGGTCCTGGGCCTCCCCTAGGTCGACTCAGCCTTAAATGAGTACCTGGTGCGGTGTGTAAATATCGCCACTGGGGAGACAAAGGCGGTCGGGCGTGGTGCTGGCCACCCACCCCCTCGTGTACCGTTCCGGCCTTCATAGGTGCTCGCTAACAGCACTTGCCCCTACAGTATGTTAAGGCTATACGGGGGATCTTTGTCTTTGTGTGTGTGTATGTGGGGAGCGGTAGTGTCGCGGTTAGCGCGCTACGCCACGAATCCAACGACCCAAGTTCGATTCCCGCTCACGGACAACACCGGTGACGATTATTTGATCCGGTCCTGGGCCTCCCCTAGGTCGACTCGGCCTCATGAGGAGCTGGTACTGTGCGTAAACATCGCTACTGGGCAGACAAAGGCGGCCGGGCGTGCTGTTGGCCATCCAACCCCTCGTGTGCCGTGCCGGCCTTCGTAGCTGCTCGCTAACAGTCTGGTAAACCTCTACGGGGGATCTTTGTATGTTGAACTTTTTCCCACCCCACGTAGACAACCGTGCCGATCGGAGATGTGGAGGAAGGAAAGATCAGTAACCACATCCAACCCACCCCAAGCAACATATTAAACCCACTGATTGTACTATACTTCCATGCTCCCCCCCCCCCCCCCCCATGTCTTTGCTTCGCAATTTAACCAACCGGTTTCTAACCAGCCTGGCGAAGTATGATCAAATAGTCGATGGTTTTTTTTTCTGACCTGGCCCTCCCTGGGAATCTGTGAAAACAAGCATAGCTCCTCGGATTTTTCCCAGGATAAATAAAAAAAATCCGATTCTGATATTTCAACACGTGCCATCAGTATATTACAAATGTAAGAATATTTTGCTCAAACTAAAGTTATATTTTGATTTAAAGCTTTCGTGACTGCAGGGATTCATATTCTTTGTTCTTTTGGTAAAGTCACGTATAAGGGAAATAATAAAATAATAAAAATACAACAATAAAATTATCACGACGTTTCGATTGCAACACAAGCAATCATCATCAGGTTTGAAAACCACAGCAAGAAATTTTGGAAAAAAAGTGGCGGTTTTTTACAGCTGGGATGATTCTTTGGTTACGTCGATTAATCGACTAAATATTTTAATCGAATATTTATTCGTAGTCTTCAGGAACTTGAAAGATTGGTTGTCACCAACACTGTTAAAATCGGGCATCGTACTCTGTAAAGTTTTCGACCGCAGTGGCATGAACTTAATAGATTATGTCGTGTGAAAAGGGACCATTTGCCTGACACTTTGTCTATTCTATAGTTTATACTTGCAAGGCTTCAGTATTATTGAACTTGTGGCATGCTTTGATGTTGTCTGCCGGCCGACTCGCGCCATTAAAAAGCGCTTCTTGGCACAATGGGCTTAACTCGGGGCGATAAACTCTGATTCTGATTGAGGAATGTGAGCTTTACTTCATCATCTGTGCTTGTGCACCGCTCCCAATGCAGCAGCAGCAGCGGCAGCAGCATCGCCAAATACTCGCAGAAATGTTTCTGCGAGAAAATTGTTGCAACAATTTTTTTGCTCGATTTTCTGCAAGGAGAGTGATAGGAAGAGCGATCGTAGACTGCACGATACCAGAGTAGACGAAACGCATGTCCCAGCCTGCCTACCCCGATCCCCTGACCCTCGGCTATGATTCACACATTTTCTTAATGGACAGTTTGTGATTTGAATGCACCCTACGTGTATACTTTAAGTGTGCATGTTTTTATGGCCTCTGCTAAGCCGGCCTTGTGCTTTCTGGTTGGAGAGGCAGACGTCAGCGGTAGATCGTGTTTGTTCTGTAGCAGCACGTCTGTCACTCGCCAAACCGCTTGGAATGCGTGCCCAGATCTCGTCTAATTCTAAAGGCTAAGCAAGTTCGTGCCTGGATAGTATTTTGTGCCCGGATGTCCACGTGTCCCTGTCGACGTCATCATCATCGTCATCACATTATTTACAATGGACCTCCCATGCAGTAATCAAGGCACCCTACGGCATTCTAACCACAGAGGGGCCATTACAGAGGTAGCCAGCTGTCCCTGTGCCTTACAACATGAATGCAGCGCCATTCAGCACATGGCTGCTTTCAGCAATTAACTATTTCCTTGCTTATAGCGCGAGGGAAAAGCAACAGCTTTTCGTTGAATCCTAGGTTTTTTCTACCAATCCAAAAGGGGTAGCTGTAGATGTTGTGCGCATCGCAGCGACAACACCAGAATGTACATGGATCGTGCATTCGCCGGTGTTGTGTTGTTTGATGGCTTGGGTTTCACCGCACTCGCAGGGTCAGCGATTCTTTGACGTGTGTATGTTTAACTTGTTTCACACCATACGTAGGACAACAAACTAAAGGCAAAAAGCAGTTCTAGAGAAATGAGTTTTTAATCTATATTTAAAGGTGCATAGCTCCAGTGGAGGAAGAGCGTTCCAGACGGCCGCAGAAGCGAATCTGAAAGCGTGCGATGCGGCGACCCCCTTTGGTTGATGGCCAGCCGAAATCCACCTCGAGGATGACCAGAGTTCGAGTGATGGTTTATGCTCCTTGACGAGATCAGCAAGGCAGTGAAGATTCTCATTTGATCTTCCATTTGTGGAAGGTGGACGGACGCGCGTCTCCCACACTGTTCGAGCGCAGTGTAGAGAGGTCCACGGTTGTCCTGGGGCAAGAAGCAATGGAGCTTCCACAGCGGGTGGCTCAATGACATTCTTGTTTATTGCCACGTCCATAGAAAATGTTTCCTGGATTTCGGCCGATGGCGTGGGGGTTTTCTCGAGGTCTTGTTGTAACGTCAGAGTGATGTTGTCCATAGTATTGTATTAGTCCCCGGGTCGTGACTCCATCGCGTCAGATGTTGGCTCGGGCGGTGTTCAACAGCATGGGAAGCCACGGGAGTGGAGTGCCGCTGTCTATTTCGGACGTTAATTGCGAGTAATGTAAGTAATGTTATCGCATTCGCCAAATTTGGACCATGTACGTATGTATGTTGAACTTCTTTCGCACCGTACCGAGCCGACCGTGCAAATCGGAGGTGCGGACCACGATGCCGGTGACGCGGTGTCGCCGTGTGTGTCTGTGCCCGTGTCACCCCGCAGGAACGGGCACGTTTGGCCGCGTGCTGCTCGTGCGCCACAGGCACAGCGCGGCGTTCTACGCGCTCAAGGTGATGAGCATCGCGGACGTGCTGCGGCTCAAGCAGGAGCGACACGTCCAGAGCGAGAAGGACATCCTTCGCGACGTGCAGCCCCACCCGTTCATCATCCAGCTGTGAGCCACTCGCAAGCACCGACGCGTCAGCTCTGTCCGGCGTCCTGTCGGCGTACGTCCATCTGTCGTTTGTCCTATCCGCCTGTCCGTCCCTCTGTCTGTCGGTTCGTTTGTCATGTGTCCGTGTGTCTCCTGCCCTTCCTTCTGTCCATCCGCCTGTACTGGGGGGGGCACGATAACTCTCGAAAGAAATATCGAACGCGAACTAACCCACAAGCACAAAGATGGGTTGCTATCAGTGGTCGCAACCGGGTACCCGATACCCGTACCCTACCCGATACCCGGCTACCCGTACCCGGCCAGGTACGGATACGGGTACCCGTTTGCGACCCTGGTGCGGCCGGGTACGGGTAGGCCGTGAGTCACTGGTGAGTAACCGTTTGTCGCTCATTTCGGGTAGGGTACAGATAGGGAACGGCTACCCTTACCCGGCCGGGTACGGGTACGGGTACCCATTTGCGACCCTGGTGCGGCCGGGTACGGGTAAGGAATCAAAACCCGTTTGCGACCTCTGGTTGCTATCGAGGGCGAAGCTATCAACGGGTCGCCCACCACTCGGCGATGGGGGAATATAAAACTCTCGTTGAATAGGCGGGCACCTTGGCCCATCGCGACGACATCGCGTGCCGTGCGCCCGTCACCCGAGGGGGGGGGGGTGAATCATTTACACCCCAGACCTACGTGCTGCTTGGCTGCTTGGTGATTCGTTGTTCTTTAACACGGGCGTTGGGGCGGTCGCACTGGGACGCTATGGTGTACCCGGTGTTCAGGGTTTTATTCGACGCCGCGGTGGCGAGATGTTAACTGCCTCGTCTGGTATGTCGGAGGTCGTGGACCCGATCCCGATTTTGATGGCCTGCTGTATATTTTCAGTTTGCGTGTTTTCCCCATGGTCACGTGGATCTTTCTCCGGGTCCGTCCGGTTTTTCCCCTCCACGTTTAGAATCGGCACGCGTTTAGGGTGCTGCTTGGCTGTTATACATTTCCACGTGACAAGCTACTTCGTTGAGCTATCATTTGTGGCTCGTGTTGCTTCAGAATAAAAGAGCTACTCTCCACCTGAGGACGGCTGCTTGCGTTGTGGCCGAAACGTCGTGAGAATTATTTTATTACGTTTTATTTTTATTATTTTATTATTTCCATTCTACGTGACTTTACCGAAAGAACCAAGAAGATAAAGTGGGCCTTACAGAAAAAAACGCCACTTTTTTCATCCCGAAGGAGCAACTTTCATGAGAATGTGTCATCCATCGAGTTGTGAAAACCCACATCGGCGTACTTGAAATTGAACTTGAAATAAAAAAAAAACATTGGTCAACATTCTACCAAAGTCAGAGGTTAATGCTAATGCCAGGGCAATGCTTCGTGGTAAAACTACCAAACATGCTGGTTTGACCAGGACAACCCTAATAGCTACAGAAACGTCTGCGGTCGTGTCTCAAAGCTTGAGAGGGAAAAAAAAAATGTTTTTCCCAGATTAGCATTTCCCGGACTCGCGCTCAAGGGGTGGGTGGCAGAGGACGCAAATGGGTTTTGATTCCTTACCCGTACCCGTACCCGGCCGCACCAGGGTCGCAAACGGGTACCCGTACCCTACCCGATATCCGGCTACCCGTACCCGGCCGGGTATCGGGTAGGGTACGGGTACCCGATTGCGACCTCTGGGATGAAGCCATGTTGCAGGCGCGGCTGGGTTGATTCTAGGAACTTGAATTGTGAGAAGAGACAAGACGTTGGGAAATGAGTGACAAACGGTTACTCACCAGTGACTCATGGCCTACCCGTACCCGGCCGCACCAGGGGTCGCAATCGGGTACCCGTACCCGGCCGGGTATCGGGTAGGGTACGGGTATCGGGTACCCGATTGCGACCTCTGGTGGGTGGGGCTGGCGTAGTTGGTGGAGCCTTGAACAGTGGTCAGGGCCAATGTCAGAACGGAGCCAGGAGGCCACTGTGTGAGCGGGGCTAGTGATTGAGTGGGCGTGGCTATGTACAACTGGGCATGGCTGATGGGGGACCATGTGTCCCGGTGGAGCCTCCCAGAAATGTGGTAGTTTTATATTACGAATAAATCTCTATTGTACGGTATGATGACAAACATCCCCCCGCTAAGCCTTTACGAGACTGTTGTGGCAAGTGCTGTTAGCAAGCACCTTTGCAGGCTGGCACGGCACGCCAAGAGGTCCTCGGCCTCTTTTGTCTCCCTTCGCACTTCCTCAACAGATGGCACATCGGCCCAAGGCACTGACAGGGAGCGGCTACTTCCTCCGATAAAGATCAGATAAAGATCACCCGTGTAGCCTGAACAGACTGTAGGGGCAACTGCTGTTAGCGAGCACCTATAAAGGCCGGTACGGCACACGAGGGGATGGGTGGCCAACACCACGCCCGGCCGCCTTTGTCTCCCCAGTGGAAATGTTTACACACCGCACCAGGTACTCATTTGAGGCTGAGTCGACCTAGGGGATGCCCAGGACCGGTTCAGATAATCGTCTCTGGTGTTGGCGGGATATCGAACTCGGGACGCCGGGTTCATAGCGCAGCGCACTAACCGCTACACTACCGCTCCCCAATAATACACACACACACACACGCAGACAAAGATCCCGCGTATAGAATTGGAATCAGAATCTTATCTAGACTGGAGGAATCCGTTGAGCTATGAGGCTCTTTTTCACAGATGTCCAGTCAGGGGCAGGTCAGACAAAAAAAGTAATCTAACAAAGTGCACTGTCAATTTACTGTTGGTAGAGGGCCTTCGCACACCACACATGGTCCATGAGGACCATTTGACCATAATTCGCCAGGCTGGTCAGACAACCGGTTGGTTAAAGTCATTTTTTGTGTTTTAAATCTCGATTGAAAACTAATTTCTTCAGAACTGATTTTTGGCGTGTGCTTAGTGTCCATCGTCCTTCTCCCGCACCTCCGACGATTAGCGCAGCCGGCTACGTACGGAGCCAAAGAAGTCCAACGTACCGCTGGTGCGAGAGCACCGTTAACCGAGCAGTTTTCCGCGTCGGCTCCCCCGGCGGCCGCAGGTTCTGGACCCACCATGACGAGCGTTTCCTCTACATGCTCATGGAGTTCGTGTCGGGCGGGGAGCTCTTCTCCTACCTGCGCACGGACGGGCGCTTCGCGGCGTCGCGCGCCGCTTTCTTCGCCGCCGAGATCACGTGCGCGCTCGCCTACCTGCACTCGCGCGCCGTCGTCTACCGCGACCTCAAGCCCGAAAACGTGCTGCTCGACCGCGACGGGCACGTCAAGCTCACCGACTTCGGCTTCGCCAAGATCCTCCAGGACAGGCGAGTGGCGTGGCGTGGCGTGGTGTGGCGTGGCTTGCCGTGGGGGCGACAGATTCGCGTGCGCGCGTGGACCGGGGGTTGGGGGGTGGGTGGGCAAAGCGGATTCATTGAATACTCCTTCATTTTACGTGGCTTGTAAATGCATTTCACGTAACTTCATTTTCACGCAACTTTGTTCCATGGGGCCCACGACTTTGTTTCATGCAACGTCGTTTCAGACGGCCTATGAATTAATTTCATACGACTTAACTTTCATGCAACTTCGTTTCATATGGATCATTAAATAATTGCATGCAACTCCATTTCATACAACCCACGACTTCATTTTATGCAACTTCACTTCATATGGCTCGTGAATTAATTCCATTCAACGTAATTTCATACAACCCACGACTTTGTATCATGCAACTTCATGTCATGCTGCCCACGACTTCACTGCTGAGATCCTTTGCTTCGAATCCAGGTTTCGGTTGCCCCGTGGATAAGCCAGATCCTCAAGCGTAGCGAGTGGATAGCCGCAACCCGGTCACCGACGACTGCACAAAAAATAAAGGTCACGCGAAAAAATGTGGCTTTGTCGCACAATTTGGCTTAAAGCGAGCTCTGAGAATCAAAAACCATTGGGTTGCCCAGCGTTGGCAAACCATGGTCAAATAATCCCCATGCACCGCACGTTGCTGACAAGGGCTACATCCTACCAGGGGATTGACAGAGGGCTGTACGTGTACGCAGGCCGATAGAATGTCAGCGTATGTCAATTAACTTTCTAGTTGACAGTGATAGCATAATAGGACCTTTGTAAAGTTGACAGAATAAGAGAATGTTGACACTTCCAGTTGACATCTACACTTAGACATCATTATTGTTTGCAGTGCGCTTGTCACGAACACACAGAATGCTAGTAGGTCAAACTAAGCAGGCGTGTGCATGTCCAGTCCTTTTATCAATCCGCTGCTGGATGAGGGCAACCCTACGCCATTATGAGGTTATCTTACATTGGTCAGTAAGGTTTTTTTAAAGACAGCCGTGGCGAGGGGGGGGTATATATATTGTATCGTAGTACTGTACAACAACGTACTGCCCGCTTCTGACCACAACATGAATCGTAATCAGAATGTCTATTGATACTAGAAGAATCCGATGAGCTATAAAGCTCTTTTCAAGAGCACCTGTTTCTATTTATGGTGGTCGCCCATCCTGGTGTTGAGTAGTTCTTGACGTACGTACTCGTGGACGGAGGTAAGTTAACGGCTTCCGCCAGGGTTTATTAAAGCTTATCAATAATACACAGCAGGGTACACAACTCCCAGGGGCTAGGGGGGTCCTACTCTGAGTCCGGGTCCCAGCCGGCCAGCTCCGGTCTCTCTCTCTCTCGTGTCGGATCGGGGACTCTGCCGACTCCACCGAGCGGAGGGAGAAGCACCTCTACGGCTACCACCGGCTTCTCCCCAGACTCCCTATTCGATCCCTCTCTCTACCCCTGGTTCCCTCTTCACCCTGCTTACTCTACCCGTTACCACAGTGACCCCGCTTACGTCACAGGGTATCCCTTAAGTACCCGAGGAGACGTGACGTCATGTGCTCTGTCCAGCACGCGTGACCCCACGTCCCGTGACGTCATCGCACTGGACAGTGCACACGACTCCACTACTCTCCTCTACTCCTCTACACTGGTACTAACCAGGATCAACTCTACTTGACTTTCAAGATCTCATAAATATTTGGTTGCTCTTCTTAGATGGCACATTGCGGTCTTGCGATGCCCTGTAACTGCCACCACTGCTGATGGCCTTGGGCTGTTGTCATCCTTGTAACGTAGACTAATTAGCTCAATGGCGCCTTACCTATTGAAATAAAGTCTTAAGTCGTAGATTGGGTATTTTACAGGTTAAATATAGGCTGAAATATTGTACATGTTCACAAGTCTGCGAATGGATTTTCAGAAGTATGCAGTGAACCCTCGGTTAATTTGTATTACCGACTGGCATTTTTCAAAGGAAATGCAACTTAATACACTAATTTGACAATATGCACTTGCTAATAATTTGGCAGTTTGTTGAATGCCATGGTTACACAAGTGGTGAATGTCTGTTTATTTTGCCGATGGGAAATGTCGCATGATGATGAAGGCTGTGTCAGCCAAAAGGTTACGTTTAAAAAAAAAAAAATGTTAACCCTTCTGTACGGAATTTGTTTGATCCATTGAAGCAGCAACGCATGCAGGGGCGGCCACTTCCGATTTGCACGGTTGGCTTCGTAGGGTGCGAAAGAAGTTCAACATACTCACGAAAAGAAAAAAATCTCAGATATTCATGTATGTTCAGGCCAGACCTACCAGACCTGAATGCCTAAACGACACGATGCGTAGATTCACGAATAAGAAATTGGTTATAATTTGCTCAGGAGACAGGCATGGTATCGTGTGCGAGACAACTCATTGCGCCTAATTTAGGCGAGTTGAGTTCAACGTTACATTTAGGTTAACGGAGCAAAAGGAAACTGTTGGAATGAGACATCAAATAAACGAGACACGCTACAAACAATATTAAAACAATTCTAACAGTAAGGCTAGGAAAATGTGTGCAAAACTCATGGATTTATGTAACGATTTCCAACGTGCCCAATTCAATTTAGCAGCATCTCACCTCCCTTCATCTGCCCCCCGCCGCCGCCACCCTGCGTGCCATACAGGACCTGGACGATGTGCGGCACCCCGGAGTACCTGGCCCCCGAGATCATTCAGAGCAAGGGCTACGGGAAGGGTGTGGACTGGTGGGCGCTTGGAGTGCTCATCTTCGAGATGCTGTGCGGGTGAGCGACCCCCCCCCCCCCACCCCCTCCCGACGGTGACATCCGTGCCCTGTTAATCGATTGTATAGAACAAGTCTCCGTGCTCTCAACTGGCTACCCATCGCCAGTAGGGTCACATACAAGACCGCCTGCCTCTGCCACAACGCCTTCATATCCGCCGGCCCGCCGTACCTTTCTTCATTATTGACAACTTGCAGCGCAGCACACGGCAGATGCCTGCGCAGCGCGACTCACGACCTCCTCTTGATACCAAGATCCAAGATGGTCATCGTGTCTATGCGCCGCTTCTCGGTGGCAGCCCCAACAGTCTGGAATGATATCCCTCTGCACATTCGCAGCATCACCTCAATCGCCTCTTTCAAGAGACACTTAAAAACTCACCTCTACAAACACGTGCTTTCGAGCGACTCTGAGCTTGGCTCCGCGCCTCTGAGTTGCGGCCACTACGTCCGCAAATTTGCGCGCGTTACAAATTGAACTATTATTATTACTATGATAGTGATAATAAAAATGATCAGTTTAACACGTAGACTTTCGCGACCAATATTATTCATAATAAAGGTTTTTGGGTGAGAAAGCGTTATTTATAAATGTGTCGCCACCCTCCACCACCCGACCTGGAGAAAAATTCACAGAGACGCATAGAGTCACGTAGAGTTGCATTAAGATACATGGAGTACACTGAGTTACATAAGGCCCACTGAGATAAGGAGGTATTTTTTATAAATAAACAGCCCAAGACTGTCGGCAGTGACTGCCATGTGCTCTATAAGAGCTCGGACTGACTTCAGGTCCTGAATAAGCTCCCTGCACGTGGAGCGAAACGTCGGGCAACACGCCGCGTGGAACGACTCCCAGACAACGCATAGGAGAGCGGTCACACATGGGGTTGTCTCGGGTCAGGTGCACGGCATCCGTTGCTCATCGCGCTAATGGCACTGTCGTAAATGGACACGCGCGCATCTGTGTTCGTTGCCGCGTGCATTTAAGAGGTCACTTTCTGTTGTGGCTTGGTCCAATCGAGAGCTATGAAGAGCCCCGTATCCCGCAGAGTGACCGCAGTCAGCTATTATGTGTTTCGTATACCCTAATCTTGATTCGAAGCTTTCGTGACTGCAGGAATCCATACTCTTTGGTTCTTTCGGTAAAGTCACGTAGGTATAAAATAAATTAAATCACGACGTTTCAGGCGCAACACAAGCGTCCGTCATGAGGTGGGAAAGCACGGTCTGCTGCTGAGGCAGACTGTTTTAAAAGGTTTGAAATGGATGTAGCTCAAGGGTTATAAAGAAGTGGCCGTGGCTAGTGATGTTAACGTGAGAGATTAGCATGTAACTGTAAGATAGTATACTCTACTTTAATGTATTATCTTTGTTGTGATTCTGCTTGTTTACCCAAGAAATCATAATTGGGTCTCAAGACTCCTTTGCAAGAGGGTCTTGCGAAGCTGTCGCACTCAGTCGATGATCGCTATGTTTCCCAATCAAGTGGGGGAGCCACGGTGGCGAGATGTTAACTACCTCGCCTGATATACGGGAGGTCGTGGGTTCGATCCCGACCATGACGCCTGCTGTATATTTGGACGTGTGCGTGTTTCTCTCTCTCACCGTAAGTCGCGTAGATTTTTCTTTGGTGGCCTCTGGTCTGTCCCCCCACAATTGGAATCAACATCACGCGTTCAGAGTTTCGCCGCAGTAACATTTCCACGTGACGATAAGCCACTTCGTTGAGCGATAATTTGTGGTCGCCAGGTCCCTTCTGAAAAAGAGCTACGTAGCTCAGTGGGGCTTTGATGGTCAAATACAAATTGTTAAGTTAAACTTACGCCGCCAAGAATTATCCAATCTCTGTGGGCCTACATTGGGATCTTTGGCGAACTGTATTAATAAGTGTTTAGGGGCCGTCCATAAATGACATCACACACCTAGGGGGGTGAGGGGGGTCAAACATTTGCGACGATGTGTGACGAGGGGGGAGGAGGGGTTTGAGAAATGTGACGTCACATCAAAATGCGCAACTTTAAATAAGCGATAGTTTGTGATCGCCAGGTCGTTTCTGAAAAAGAGCCACATAGCTCACTGGACCCTTGCCTGGTAAGAAAAAATAGTTTAGTTTAGACTTAAAACTTTCGTGACTGCAGGAATTAATATTCTTGGTCCTTTCGGTAAAGTCACGTCGATAGAAAATAAAACTCTAAACTAAAAGCAAAAAACCCACGTCGTTTCCATCGCAACACAAGCGGTCTTCTTCAGACGATCGAAACGTCGTGGGTTTTTTGCTTTGAATTTTGATTTTTGTTTTCGATCTACGTGACTTGACCGGAAGAACCAAGAATATTAACATTGTTTCGTGTTTTCATTTTAGAGTGCAGCCCTTGGTGACCGGGTTGGGGCCACAGTTTCACGACATTTGAAAAACCTCGTTTCAGCACAGGTTGAAAGGTTACATTGTTTTGAGGTTTAAATATTTGCTCGCGGCACTTTCAAATTGGTCCCGCGTGTGCTTTAGCCGAGGCCCATGTCCCCTGCGCGTGGCTGCGCCGGTGGGTGCCGTGTGACTCACCGCCAGAATGCAAGCGACAGTCGTAAGAAAACAGCTGACCTCCTAATGTTGACTCGGCAGTAACACCGGTGCAGCATAACACAGCGGTCCTCGTAAAACAGTCTGAAATTTTTTTTTTAATTGGCAAATATGTTTATTATTCTTAGATTGACTATCTATTGGAGGGTTTATTCAGTCGAGGGTGGGTTGCTAAAAAAAAGGTCGATATTGAATGTTGATTTGGGTCCGTTGATTCAGGGAACCGTCCACCATCAGCTCAGATGGTAGCATCACGACTGATGTGAGGTCACGAGTCAATGCGGCGTGGATGAAATGGAGGCAAGTCACCGGAGTCCTCTGTGATCGGAAAATGCCGGATAGGCTGAAGGGAAAAATTTACAAGACCATCGTCCGACCGGTGGCACTCTATGGATCCGAGTGCTGGCCAGCCACAACTGTACACGAACAAGCTCTCCACACCATGGAGATGAGGATGCTCAGATGGAGCCTCGGGCTCACTCGATGGGATCGTGTCAGGAACGAAGACGTTCGGAAGCGACTTGGTGTGGCCCCCATTGCGGACAAGATGCTTGAGGCAAGGCTTCGGTGGTACGGCCATGTGATGCGAAGTGAAGAGTCATCAGTGGCCAAGACTGCCGTGCGTATTGAGTCAGAGGGCCGCCGTCCACGCGGACGTCCGAAGAAGCGATGGATGGACCGAATAAAGGAAGACATGAAGACGGTCAACGCATCCCCTGAAGATGCCCTGGACCGAGCCAAATGGAGAAGACAATGCCGAAAAGCGGACCCTGCGCCACAGCGGGAACAACTCTAGGAAGAAGAAGATTCAGGGAACCGTCCCACCAAGTGAAAAGGCACGAGTCAAATCTGCGTTTGGAACATGGAGCCAACCAATCGCCATCCGGCTGGCTGCTATACAGCAACGGACTGTGAAGCTTCGTGTTTAGCTGCTCATAACATTCCCACTGCCTAGATATCACGAGAACCGACTTTGACGCACCGCCACCACGCTGCGAGATTTTCTGACCGGGTTTGCGAATAGTGGGAAAATAAATAATGATTGCGATTTTTATTTTATTTTTTATACCGCGCACAGGTTGTGCCGTAAATAAGTTCACACGTATTAACAAGTATAACCCGTAAAAACAAAGTTTATCACTATAAATCCTTTATATGCGTGGCGGCTAGAGTCCTCTCGTCCTCTGGCTTGAGATGGCTGCCACCTATGGGTCAGATGATTGTCTGCCAGTATTAAGCAATTGGTAATTAAATATTTAATTTGTTTTCCCTAAACAGTGTAACATTTTGGAAAAAAAATTTCACGAACATTAATTGTCTCGCACAACGAGTCTGTGTGCAAAATGTCAGCTCGATTGGATCACGGGAAGTGGGTTAAAAAACGACCGAAAGATTTGCACGGTCGTAAGCAAGCAAGCAAGCTCGCAAGCATGCAAGCAAGCAAGCAAACTTAATATAAAGGATTTAAAAAAACCTGCCTGCGCTGAAGCACGAGAGATTAAAATGTTTATTTGATGGCACCGTTTAATCGCCGCAGAAGGCTTGTGAACTGTGTGCGATGTTCACAAAGATCCCCCGTGTAATAGACTTCTTGGGGTAAGTGCCAATTTGCGAGCACCGATGAAGACCGGCACGGTTCATGAGTGGGGGCGGTGTGGTAAGCAGCACGGCCCGGCCAAATTTTGTCTCCCCAGTCAGAGGAGGCAGCTGCAGCTCCCACGTCCATCTCTGTCGTGGCTAAGTGTCCTTGTATCAGGGGGAGCCGGGTAGTTTCTCGGTTGGACAAGTCGGTGCTTGACTTCCATCTAGATTTGAAGCTTTCGTGACTGCAGGAATCCATACTCTTTGGTTCTTTCGGTAAAGTCACGTGGGTATAAAATAAAATAAATCACGACGTTTCGGGCGCAACACAAGCGTCACTTCCGTGCCCTCATCTAGGAGGCCACTTTGGATTGCACCACTCTTCGATTTCACATTAACATGCTAATCTCTCACATTAACATAGCCACTTCCGTGCCCTTGTCGAGGAGGCCGCTCTCCTCCTATCTTACAGTTGCATGCTAATCTCTCACATTAACATCATGCTAATCTCTCACATTAACATCATGCTAATCTCTCACATTAACATCACTAGCCCCGGCCACTTCTTTATGACCCTTGGGCTACACCCATATCAAACCTTTTTAAAACAGTCTGCATCAGCAGCAGACCATGCTGTCCCACCTGATGACGGACGCTTGTGTTGCGCCCGAAACGTCGTGATTTATTTTCTTTTATACTTTACTTCCATCACGGACATTGCAGGATGACCACGTATCCTCCGTCCATCGGCTCCCCGTGTCTTTTTTGGCTATAAAAAGTGTTGGAGGCATGCGCCTTCGAAAGGATTCCGAGACTTTAGGCGGCTGGGATAATGTGATAAAAGTGAATGCAGACTCCGGGATTTCATTCTCCCACGTGTTTTTTAACCCCAAACGACCGCTGTGCTTTTCAGCATTGATTATTCCGGGCGCGTGAGCAGAGATGATTTTTCTAATTGCCTCTCGGCCCACGGCCAAGTAATATTAATAATAATAAATAAATACATTTTTACCGTCATCTGTAACGCGCTGCGTAGTTTTCATTCACTCGCAGAGACGTAGAGCGAATGATTCAGAGACGTGGGAAACCACACACAGGCGGAAAAGGTGCTAACAATTGCCCAAGCTCTGTGATCCTCTATTAGGATGTTTGGCCAACTCCATTGATTAATTTTATATATGTGGGTGCATGCCAGGGTACCCGAATGAAAACACACGTGTGAGAGTGAGGAGGGGGAGGGCAGATTAACACTCGATCCCTGCACAGATGGAAATTAATTGACTGCAGTGTGCGTCAAAGTAATTGTACAAATGAGGCTGTGCCACCGAATCGGCGGCCGTCGAGTGTTGTACAAGATTTTCTCCGGCACGTGTCGTTGACGAGGTTACCGCAAGAAGCGACCGTGTCCGTCCAGTTGCTCGTCGAGCTGGATTGGCTTCGGGTTGCCGAACGAATGCGTTGCGAGGTCGCAACTCAATTGCACACAAAGTGCCTGCCACAAATGAACCCGAATACTTCGCCGATCCCGTCAAGGAGCATGAACCACCATTTGGCGAACTCCGGTCATCCTCGCAGTGGCTTTTCGCTAACCGTCGAATAAAGACGGTCACCGCATCGCGTGCTCTCAGATGCGCTTCTACGGCCGTCTGGAACGCTCTTCCTTCTGATATTAGGAACTCACTGAAAGCTGCGCACTTTTTAAAACACATTTTTTTCGAATTTCTTTTTAGTGTTTAGTTTGTGGTCATTCCTCCGATTCACGCGGTTGGCTACGTACGGTGCAAAAGAGGTTCGACATCATACACACATACACGAGGTCCAGCCCCAACCGCCGTAAACGTCCGCAGCTCTCGGGAAGCTCATCGCTGAGAGGCGAGCGTTGTTCGGGAGAGCGGTTTTTCACTTTCTTGGCACGCGTTCGAGGGGACGGGTCGACAAATTCCCTCGCTGCGTGTGAGCGCGGGCGCCCCGTGATGTTTGGGCACCTTGTGACGATTGGAGCTGGGGGGGGGGCACGTTGGAGGGTTCTGGCCCCATTTGGTAGAACTCAGCAGTGAACTTTTTGGGGGGCGGAGGAGGGCGACCCACCCCCTTCCGACAGGAAATCTTCGTCGGGATGACAGCGGCAGAGATACAGAGCAACAACTGCAATTTCACGTTTGGGTGGTCAATCCAGGCAACCGCGCTGAGAGTAGCGGAGTGCATCGGGGTGTAAAGATCGAGATGTAACGCGGTGAAAAGAGACCCAGACAAGGTGGAGGATGAGAGAGTTTGATTGGCTGTTGTGCTTTACGTTTCTCGTTGTGTTGATTAGATTCGAGTCCCAACTGATATTCGATGCACCCGTCGATTATTTATTGATTTTGTTGTGAAACCCTAGGGCCCCTTTGCTCTGCTCGGGGCCCAACGCATTCGCCTCGGTTTGCTCGGTTTTCTCGGTTCGCTCGGTTTTCTTATCCCTGGGTCCGCGGCCGTTGCTGGGCGAGTGCGCGTGAATATTCCGCGGCGATTAAGTGGCACTACGCTGCCAGATTTCGCAATGTTTGCCGCCCTCGCTAGGAAGGCGTAACAAAATATCTCGCGCAGGGAGATAAAGATGTTAATTTATTAGGTATAGCCCTGTGAGCCATTCGGCTCTTGAATCGGGTGCAACCGCAAAAAAAAGAAAGCAAAAACATGAACAAGAAAACATCTTAAATTGACTGTGCAAACAGAAAATCCAAGAAAAGACAGCAAAATATTGCAGAAAAAGCACCGTACACCAACGCTGTGTGCAAAAATCCCAGTGGGATGCAAGTCAAACAACAACAGCAACCACAAGACAACTTAGATTAAGGCCATCAGTCTAACTCTGTACTACAACAAACAAACATGGCCAAACCAAAAAACTTTTTGCGTCCGTGCGAGCACCATCCTTCGCCAGTTCGACGCGACATTGTACACGGCAACGCGCTTACTTTCAGATGCGCTTCTGCGGCCGTCTGGAACGCTCTTCCTTCCGATATTAGGAAGCCGCTGGAGCTATGCGCTTTCAAATCTAGATTGAAAACGCATTTTTTTTTTTTTTAGAACTGCTTTCGTGTTTAGTTTGTTGCCCTTCCCCCGCACCTCCGATTAGCGTGCTTGGCTTCCTGCGGTGCGAAAGAATTTCAACATACATGCATACGTACGTGACTTTGAGCGTCGTGAAGTATATAAATTGCGCGGACGGTTTGGCACTGCCTGAGCGAAACTAGACACCAGGCGCAGCACTTTCTTCCGTGTGCGATGAAAAAGTCGCCACCAGACTGGTGCGGGCGGGTCATCGCAGAGAGACTGGAAAACGAGCAGCGAGGGTAATACCAAAGAGCCCGTGCACAATCGCGCGACTGTGCACGGGCTCTCGGCACGTTCCAGCAACCCCCCCCCCCCCCCCCCCACGTGTGTAGCGGCGGCCATGTTTACAGGGTGCGGACCAAACAGCGCCCGAGCAAATAAACACAGCGCAGGGTCAACATCCCGCACCTGCGAACGCATAGGGACCCACTGCCCGCTTAACCCACATGTCCCGTGGCCTGTCTGTCTGTCTGGGGAGCTGGTTCGTGCAGCGGTTAGGCGAGCTGCACTGCCCACCGTCCTCCGTTCGACCGCCGCTCACGGCCAATGATCGTTGGCCAATGATCGTTTTGGCGAATATCTGAACCGCTCTTGGGCCGGCTCAGCCTGACGTGAGTGTTTCCTGGTGCCGTGTGCAAACATCTCGGCACTGGAGGGGAAAACAAAGGCGGCGGCCGTGCACGGTCCTGACGACACTGCACCCTCACGTTCAGTGTCGGCCTTCACAGGTGCTCCCTAGCAGTTGTGGAGGCTGATGCGGGGATCTTTGTCTTTGGGGAGCGGTAGCGAACCCCGGTGGCCCGAGTTTGATTCCCACTCACGGCCAACACCAGTGACGATTATCTGAACCGGTCATGGGCCTCCCCTAGGTCGACTCGGCCTCAAATGAGTACCTTGTGCGGTGTGTAAACATCGGCACTGGGGAGACAAAGGCGGCCGGGCGTGGTGCTTGCCACCCACCCCCAATCTTCATAGGAGTTACTCGCGAACAGCATTTGCCCCAACACTGTTACAGGCAATACGGGGAATATTTGTCTTTGTGTGGGGGCGATGGGCACCACAGATTGTTAGAATCAATCGGAATCTGTATTTAGACTGGATTCCATGAATCCGATGAGCTATGAAGCACTTTTTTATCTTTACAGACGTCCGGTGACGCAGGCAACCCCAAAGCGTCGCGACCTGAGCGGTTCCTCCGCCTGCTATCCCCCAAACCCCCAATGGCTAGACAACCTCCCCCCCCGACCCCCCGCTGTTCGAAAGCTTTTCATGCCATCGTTTGAAGTCTCGCCCAGCCGTCACCTGACGACCAGCCGGCCGCCCGTGCGTTCCTACAAAAAATCTATATTCCCGGGGTCAGAGCGGGCGGTTTTTGCTCATCCCGAAAAAGAATTCGAATCCAACAACAAAGTTAGTCGCTTAATACCGCCGCTTGTACGTCGACCCAAACCACTGGCCTGAAGATAATAAAAATATATATGTGTGGATATATGATATTTTGAGCTTAATGGGGTCTTCTTCATCGCAGCGATGGCCTTTGCAATTGCGGGGTTGAATGAAGCGCTTTTGAAATGTAATGTTTCGCACCTCCGATCAGCACGGTTTGGCTACGTACGGTGCAAAAAAAGAGTTCAACATACATGTGTTGCACACTCGAAATGAAGGACGTGGGCAGGTGCTCCAAATCGAGGGCAAGCACATTTATTGATTGTGGTTAATATTAATCTTGTGAAGAACAGCACCGTCACTCTGTAAAATGCAACAACACGTGTGTTACACGCAGCAATTCTTCCGAGACGCCATTAACCATGTGGCTGGTTTGATCCATTCCTAATGTGCCTCACATGCACGCATACAATGAACCAGAGTGTCAGGTGGACCAATTGGGATCCGTTGACAGCCCGTGTGTCAGCCCACTGCTGGACAAAGGCCCCTCCCCAAGCCGTGTGAAGCCGTGTGGGAGGAGTTTGCTTGAGATTACTTTGAGCCATGCGAGCCACTGCAGGTTGGTGATCAGAGTTCCAGGATCGGTTCCAGTGGCGCAGTAACGACATCATCAGCTCAGGGGGTGCGGCAATTGATCAGGTGGGGTCCCAACACCAGTGAGGGGGGGGATGGCACGTGCCCCCCCCCCCCCCCCAATGATCCGATCGAAATCCCTATTTTCGGTCGGATCATTGGGGTTTATATTAGACATAAATCGGCATTCGGCGACCCCCACTGCCATTGTGTAGGACAATAGTCTGAGTCCATAATTGGCAATAAGTAATGGCAAAGCAGTTCTAAGTGACTCACAGAATTGTGCGCAGTTTTGTATACAGCACACGACTTCCCTGAAGTGAGCGCGATGCCGATCACACAACGCGGTTCGAATTCGACCCTCGATCGATGGCTGCGCCTTCGCCGCACACGCGTCGAACAAAAAGCAAGGGACAAGTCCTCACTTACTAACAACTCCTCTATCATGTTTCATTGCTGGAGGGGTTGCCCTCCCCCCTTACCTGAAAATCCTGGCTCCGCAATTGGGTCCCAATGTTTGATTTGTTTCCCACGGTCGCACCTCGGCTGTTATATATCGTGGCTTCACTTGTCTAATCACATCATTAGGGGCCGTCCATAAATGACGTCACGCAGCCTGTGTAGACTAACGAGGAGGAATGTTTGTCCTCATTGGCGTGCGTGTACGTGCTTGGCAGGTACCCCCCGTTTTACGACGAGGTGCCCATCAACATCTACAAGAAGATCTTGGACGGCAAAGTGGAGTTCCCAAGACAGCCCCAGCTGGACCTTTTCTCGAAGTCAGTGCCTCCGCTCATTGCCACTCTCGGCCCCTCCTCTCCCCGAGTGCCACGTCCCTCGGGGTGGACAGCGGTGAAATTGGGGCGACTGCCCCGGGCCCCGCGCTTTGGTGGTGGGGGGGGGGGGACTCACGGGTCAATATCACGGTGTTAGATGTCCTACTTCTGGTTCAGTTTGAAGGCATCGGGCGAGGGTGGCTCACACGGTGTGATCTGCTCCGGTCCCCAGATACTGGCTCAGTGGACCTTACCTGGTAAGATAAAGAAAAATGTGTTTAGTTTTATTTGTATATACAGTATTTTTAAATGATTTGTTTACCTTTTCTATACTTTCCACTCCTATCGGGTATTTTTTTTACATATTGTGAGTTGTTGTAACGTTCTGACCCCGTGCCCCTACTGGACATCTGTGAAAGAAGAGCTTTATAGCTCATCGGATTCCTCCTGCAGTATAAATAAACATTATGATTCTAAACCTTTCCCTGCCCCCATGGACGGGGCCCTGGCTGTGTGTGCCGATAGTGGTAGTTGGGAGCTGTCCCAATAGTGATCAGATCCCTGTGGTCATTGGCTAGAATGCAAACAAGATCCGTCAAGTTCGCCCATCCACCCCCAACCACCCTTCTAACTTCCTTGCAGATAAAGACGAGTTCTCTTGTGCCGATGTAAATATAACATTACCCAACCACTGGCTATCACTGCTGAGCTTCACTGTGAGCGACGCTGCTGCTGCTGTGTACAGTATTCAAATGGTCCGTCTTCGGCGTAACCGGCATCCGCGTCTCCGTGTTGAAGAGAGGCAAGACGCACAATCCCAACAAAAAAAATATCCGCGTTTCGTTGTGGGTGTCTCTTGGCCTGAACGTCGCTGGTGGTGCCGGGACACCAGAGGTCGCAACCGGGTACCCGATACCCGTACCCTACCCGATACTCGGCTACCCGTACCTGGACAGGGTACGGGTACCCGTTTGCGACCCTGGTGCGTCCGGGTACGGCAACGGGTACCCATTTGCGACCCTTGTGCGGCCGGGTTCCGGGTACGGGTAAGGAATCAAAACCCGTTTGCGACCTCTGCGAGACACCCACGGCACCCGCAAGGGCCTCCATCCCTGGCCGATGGACGCAGCCTCGTCGCGGGCTGCCCGCCTGTTCCCACCCTGCTCGTGCGTCGCGCCTGCCTGTCCTTCGCTTGGCTGGCCCCAAGTGTACGGCCCATTTCCTTAGGGCCCCATCCTTTCCCTCGTTATTCGCGTCTCTTCCCAGAGTCATGGCTTCAGAAGCGGCCTCCTGTGGTGAATATCTGCAACACTGCCGGCAAAGGATGGAAGCGAGCAGAGGTGTTCCTGGGGGGGGGGGGGGTGGTGAGGTGTTAACTCCCTCACCTGATATGCAGGAGGTCGTGGGTTTGATCCCGACCCTGACACCTTTATATTTGGAGTTTGCGTCTCTCTCTCTCTCTCTCTCTCCCCGTGGTCGCGTGGATTTTTCTCTGGTTCCACCGGTTTTTTATTCCACATCTAGAATGAACGTGCGCGTCGAGTATTTTGCTGCTGTAAATGTCCACGTGACAAGCCACTTCAATGAGCTATCATTTGTGGCCAGGTCACTTCCTGAAACAGAACTATAGAGCTCGATGGACCTTGGCTGATAAAATACAAAATAAAAGTTTAGTTTAATCGTTTAGTTTTAAACTAATAAGGCATACAGTTTAGTCCACTGAAGAATACATTTGTTCGAGATTTGAAGCTTTCGTGACTGCAAGGATTCATACTCTTAAGTTTTTTCGGTAAAGTCACGTAAGTAAAAATAATAATAAAAATAATAATAATAAAAATAATAGAAATACATTTATTATTTCTATTATTTTTCATTTTTACCTACGTGACTTTACCGAAATAACCTAAGAGAACAAAGTTGTGTTTAAATTAAGATGAGGGAGGTGTTCATTCAGTCCTTCTGGCTTAAGATATTCAATTTAAATTAAACAAATAGCTGAAATAGTTGTAGCTTGAAAGTGGCGCTTTGAGAGCCAATCAACGGGCTGAGGTGGGAAGTGGGAGGCGAAACTCTGGAGGAGCAGTGAGGGCAGTCCTTTTTAAAATCCTTTATATTAAGTTCACTTGCGTGCTTGCTTGCTTGCTTACGACCGTGCAAATCTTTCGGTCGTTTTTTAACCCACTTCCCGTGATCCAATCGAGCTGACATTTTGCACACAGACTCGTTGTGCGTGACAATTAATTTTCCTGAAAAAAAATTTCCAAAATTTTCCACTTTATAGGAAAAAATAAATTATATTTAATTACCAATTGCTTAATGGTGGCAGGCAATCATCTGACCCATAGGTGGCAGCCATCTCAAGCCAGAGGACGAGAGGACTCTAGCCGCCACGCATATAAAGAATTTATAGTGAAAAACTTTGTTTTTACGGGTTAATTTTTTTCCCTTTGTCTCCCCGTGTGTTGAGCAAGGGAGGCTGTGAGTGTTGGCCCGCCGCTTGCCGAGACAGCCCACCGTACACTCTGGCACAGAGTGATGCTCCGCCGTCGTCATTCGCAAAGCCCGAGACTTTAAACAAATATATAGCACTGAAAAACCGCGCGGTAATAATAATATAATGTGCCATGGCAATTAATGCGTTCTTGTACATCAGGCAGCGATCACCGCGATTCACCCCCAGAGGGCTCTTGGCAATGCGCCAGCCATAGCAAGAAACATAATACCAACTTAAGTGGATGTTTGGACAGGGCGGTTTAAAAATAAAAATCATGAAAATTACTATAATAAATAATGCACGCGCGGGACGGTATGTTCCGCGGGGGGTGGGGGGGTGCTGACCTTCGCTACAAACTGAACGCGGGGGTGGAACCGTGCCCTCGTTTGCACACGGCGGATCGTTGACCAATGGTGGTTCGCTCTCTTGTGCCCCATGACCCAGGCGCTCTTCGTTGCAAGGCCACCTTGGGCCACGGGCAGCCGTTGGTGGCCTTCAGTGCGGCCCCTGACGTACGCCACCCCCCCCCCCCCCCCCATCATCATCATCGTCGTGATGTCAAACCCCCGCTGGTTTCAAATGCGTAGCGGCCCTCTCACTGATGATGTCTTATCGGCGAAAGTGACACCCCCCTCCTCCTCTGAAAATGAGTGATGAACAACTGCATTAGCCGATTTCTGTTCCATTACACCAGGGGGTCCATTGCCCAGTAACGAGATGGACATTACAAACGAGAGTGGTAACATTAAATAGACAAACAACACAAACGAGACGGACAATAGTGAATAGACGAGACAATACAAACGAGGCAGACAATAGAGCAATGAGGACGGAACAAACAAGATGAGCATTAGAAACGAGCCACGGGCTACTGCACAAGTCAAACAGAAGGAATTCGTGAATAATATCGCCCGCCCCCCACCCCCCGCCCCCCGCCAGCATTATGACGTCACTGCGAGGGGTGCACAGCTCGTGAGAAAACTGCCAAACACAAATCCCGCCTCCTCCCGCATGTGCCCGACAGATGTGCCCAACTCTCAAGAGAGATAGAGAGAGGCTCTGTGTATCGGTCTGAACTATGGGGGGGAAGGGGGGGGGTTTGGGGGGCATGTCTGAGTAGCGGCGTTTAACGCGCAACTGGACTGCACACCCGAGTACGATTCCCGCTCATGACCCCCAGTGACGAATATCTGAACCGGTCGTGGGCCTCCCCGAGGTCGACTCGGACTTAAATGAGTATATCCAGCGAGGCGTGTAAAGATCGGCACTGGGGGGGGGGGGGGGGGTGGGCGGGCAGGGCATCTTGCGGCCGACCCGAGTTCGCGTGCCAAAGTGCCGGGCTCTACCGGTGCTACTCGCTAACAGCACTTGCGCCCGGCAGGGCCGAGCATACGCACCTGACGAAAGCGGCCGGGCGTGGGTGACGTTGGCCCACCCGCCCGACCACCTGTGCCACAGTGCCATCACCCGGGCTCCGAGTCGTTGAGACGCGCGCGGCCATTGATGCCGTCGCACTCTTCGACGGCCAAACTGCCCGTCCATCACCGACGCAATGAGGCCACGGGAACGTTGGCACGGTCGCAACAGCGCCGGCTCCGTGTACGTGTCACGCTGACTTTGTTTGGTTTAATTCGATTGCCGTGGCGGCGTGGGTGGGTGGGTGGGTGCGGTGTGGTGGTGGTGGTGGCGGGGGGAGAGAAATTATATTTTAAACGATACAAGTTGGATGTAATCCATTAAAAAGTCTGAGTGATTTATTGGGGAGATATTCATCTCCTGCGTACAGCACTCCGCCCCCCCCGCCCTCCCCCTTGCTGAGCCGGTGGTGGAAATTCCACATTGCAGTCGTGGCGAGCGAGTCTATCCATAGGGCAACTTCTGTCAACTTCCCCGCAAACTGGTTCTCAAACAGGATTTGAACTCTCAACCCGTTCCATTGCTAGCCGCCCAATCTCCCACTGAGACACGTGACTGGTTTGGATGTTAGCTCAACTTGTATTTGCACAATTCTGACAGAAGCAGCATATGCTTACATTCCACTGGATTAATGATGAATTGACAATCGTGATGAGCATGATAGTTATGAGGATGATGCTGATGGATTGATGATAACGATGTTGATATGCCATAGATATAAATTATTATCATGAATAAGTACGGTGAATAGCATCATCCGGTAGTGCCGTGCAATTGCATCAAGGCCGTATTCATATTGAGACTCTGAAACGGTAAAAAAAAAATCAGAATTGCATTTCTGCTCTGAGCGCAGGCACACGGTGACAAATTATAAACGTTTTCAAGACGAAACGAAATAAAACAGTTCTGGTAGCTGCGTAATTCCCAGACGGGCGATAAAATATCTGTTTGTATTGCACGTGAACCACGGTGGCGCTCAACGTTACCGGCTGGCAACAGATTTACCGCATCATAAACCCCCGAGAAAGACCATGAAATGGATTTACTTATTTTCCACCTGAGGATAATATTAAACAGTCGCAGGCTGCAGCAGGTCAGGTATCCAGTTGAAAGCCATAAACTATCTTCTTGGTTCTTTCGGTGAAGTCACGTAGAAGGGAAATAATAAAATAATAAAAATAAAACATCATAAAATTAAATAATATTATGTTTTATTTTTATTATTTTATTATTTCCCTTCTACGTGACTTTACCGAAAGAACCAAGAAGATGAATTCCTGCAGTCACGAAAGCTTTAAATCGAAAAGCCATAAACTAAACAACGTTTTTGTATTTCAATTTAAAGCGTTCGTGACTGCAGGGATTCATGTTCTTGGTTCTTTCGGCAAAGTCACGTAGAAGGGAAGTAATAAAATAATAAAAATAAAACATAATAAAATAATTCTCACGACGTTTTGGCCACAACGCAAGCAGCCGTCCTCAGGTGAAAACCAGGACTTTACCGAAAGAACCAAGAAAAGTTTTTGTATTTTACCATGTCATGCTCACAGAGCTGTGTAACTGTTTCTCAGAAGCGACTTTGCTATCACAAATGATAGCCCAACGAAGTAGCTTATTATGTGGACATTTACAGCAGTCAATTGTGCGTATGCGTCTACGTACGCTGAACTTATTTCGCACCGTCGGTCGCTGCCGGCCGTGCCAATCGGATGTGCGAGTGTTGAATGTAAATGTGGAGAGAAAAACCGGAGGACCCAGAGAAAAATCCAGGCAGCTATGGGGAGAGAGAGAACACGCAAACTCCAAATGTGCAGGCGTCAGGATCGGGATCGAACCTACGAGCTACTGCATACTAGCCGAGGGAGGGAGTTGGCATCTCCCCACTGTTGCGAGATGTTAATGTTATAAAAAAAAACACCAGGCTACCACCATCACCACTGCTTCAGAAATGTTCATCACCTTCACATGGAATCATGCACAATTAATCCACCGCTGGATCAAGCACTTCCGAAGCAGTCAAAAACACCGATGGCCATCGTCCCCTAAAAAGCCCCCCCCCCCAAGCTCAACGTTAATTCAGAGTGATATTTGTAACCAGTCCTGAGAACCCCTCCGTCCCTTCACCGAACCCACACTGACCGTCGTGGTGAAGTATGGTCGAACAATTAAACGCGGAGTCTCTCGCGACCACCAGCATGATTTTTGGGTCGGATCGAGCGACTAAAAAAGTGTGGGGGAGGGGGGGTGGGTGCACGACACACATTTTTTGCTCGCGCAAAATCAGACTCGGAAATCAACGGAAATGATCACGGCCAGTAGGAGAGGGTGCGAAAGTTACAACAACAAATACTTAAACACGATCGGAGTGCAAACTAAAAGATATAAAAAATAACTTTTTATTTTTATTTTACCACGTAAAGCCCACTGGGCTAATAGCTTCTTTTTCAAAAGCCACCTGGACACAAATGATAGCTCCACGCGGCCGCGGGGAGAACACGCGAACTCCAGGTGGTATACAGCAGCAGGCGTCGGGGTTGGGATCGAACCCCTGACCTTTTGCATACCAGGCGAGGTAGAAAAAAAATCACGCCACCATGGCGCCCCTTAAATAAAAAGTATAAAAGTAAAAATTGCACAAGTACATTAATTCCCAAGCTTGTTTTATAGGGGGAGGAGAAGGGGGGCAGCCCTCATCCAGGGGTCGCACCGTGTGTGCGTGTACACGCGTACAGCAGCCGGAGCTGATCCGAGGCTACCCCGGACAAACACGCGGAGGAATGCGCGGCAGGGAGCGAGACCGCCCGTACACTGACCTGGCACGCACCGCCGTTTTGACTTTTACACCTCTTTCCCCCCCCCCCTCCTTCCACGTACACTCCCAACTCCCTGCGAAAATCACAGGGACCTGATTAAGAAGCTCCTGGCTTCGGACCGCACGAGACGACTGGGCAACATGAAGGTACGGTATGCGGCCGCATCGCAAAGTCAGCACAGGTGTGCGTGTGTGTGTGCCCGTGGACATGCGCCATCCGTGTGGGGTGGAGCGGTCGTGTAGTAGCGCTCAATGCGCTGTGCTACCAACCCCCGGCCGCACGAGTTCAATTCCCGCTCGCGGCCAACGCCAACCGCCGGTGATGATTATCTGAACTGGTCCTGGTCCTCCCCTAGGTCGGCTCGGCCTCAAATGAGTACCTGGTGTAGCGTGTAAAATCATTGCTGGTGGGGAGACGGCCACCCACCGCCTCGTGTGCCACAGTGCCGGCCTTCACAGGTGCTGCTATTCGCGAACAGCACTTGCCCCAAGTTAAGTTTAACACGAAGGCTTTCACAACCAATATCATCCATAATACAGGTGGTTTTTTTTAGGTTAGATCGCGTGAAAAGATTCCGTTAAGGCTACACGAGGGGGGATCTTTGTCTCTGTGGCGGATCTCGAACGCCGCCCCCGTTTCGGTTTCCAACCGCTCGGCTAATGTTGCAACCTCCGAGGTGTCAAAAAATCCAGGTGCCGGTTGGCTGAGCCGCGGTGCTGCTCGTCATCCTCCAGCGCCGTGGAGGAAGCGGCGAGGGTCGTAGTTAATCGTGGGCGCTCGTTCGTGAAACGCCCTCCCTCTATATCCACGGGACATTTAATTTTTTAGCAGCATAAAAATTATATAAAAAAAATGAATATGCTTGAACCTTGATGACAATAAAACAGGAGGTGTTCAGGTGTTCAAACGCCAAATGGATACCTATTGCAAGTCCGTCAAATCTGCATCAACCACACGTACTTGTGGTAAAACATGCAAGCAAACATGCTCTGATATGATAATTGTTTTTTTTTACCCTTTTATCTGGCAACAAAACTAACACCTTTTTTACAAGGAGTCATATTTGCATAGACCACAATACCTGCAGTCTGAATGCAAACAAAAAAACATAACTCTGATAATTTATGCACTGTCAGAGTTATATTTTTTTGTTTGCATTCCGACTGCAGGTATTGTGATCTATGCAAACATGACTCCTTGTAAAAAAAAGGTGTCAGTTTTGTTGCCAGAAAAAAGGGTAAAAAAAAAACAATTATCATATTTTTCTACTGGCAAATGAGGTTCCAATGATGTTCTGATATTATGTGCCTTTGAAACTGATTGGCCTATACCAGAGACAACCTTACCCTAAGCCACCCCCTGGCTTATCGAGAGGTCACGGTGGTAGTGCAGCAAGTGGGTTGGTTTCCGTCTGTAAGGGGATCGAGTGTTCCTACCCTGCCTTGGCACGCGTGGGGTTTTTTTCTGCCAGGCACTCCTCCCACATGAACAAAGATCAGTTGATGGAGTTGGTGAAAGAAATACAAATGTAGGACCACAGCTCTTGGGCAATTATTGGCGCAGGGTCTGGCTGTTGTTCCTGCTTGTCTGTGATTTCCCAAACCTCTGATTCAATTCTCTCTCTCTCTCTGCTGTGAGAGCGAATGAAAAACTGTGCATATAACATTTGTATTTATTTGTTATTCTACTTTAATTGAGAAAAAAGGAGAGCACACCTCACAATACCGGAAGAGGGGAGATCTGCATCGAATTTTATTGTATTGAATTGAGAAGCGTATTGTTACACAGCAGACAAAAACCAGGACTGTTAATGTCCCAGGAAGAATTTAAACTAAACTATTATAAAACTAAATGTTATTCTACCAGGTAAAGCCTACTGAGCTGTTTAGCTCTTTTTCATACAGTGAGGGAAAAAAATTAACCCGTAAAAACAAAGTTTTTCACTATAAATCCTTTATATGCGTGGCATCGGTTTGATTTTATTATTCATTTCTGTTTTTCTTGAGTAAGAGTTTCATTTTTATCACATTGGTATTTTAAATTAAATATGAAATTTTTTTTCCTAAAAAGTGGAAAATTTTGGAAACATTTTTTCACGAAAATAAATTGTCACGCACAACGAGTCTGTGTGCAAAATGTCAGCTCGATTGGATCACGGGGAGCGAGTTAAAAAACGACCGAAAGATTTGCACGGTCATAAGCGCGCAAGCAAGCAAGCGAACTTAATATAAAGGATTTAAAAAGTATTTGATCCCCTGCTGATTTTGTACGTTTGCCCACTGACAAAGAAATAATCAGTCTATAATTTTAATGGTAGGTTTATTTTAACAGTGAGAGACAGAATAACAACAACAAAATCCAGAAAAACGCATGTCAAAAATGTTATAAATTGATTTGCATTTAAAGAGGGAAATAAGTATTTGACCCCTCTGCAAAACATGACTTAGTACTTGGTGGCACAACCCTTGTTGGCAATCACAGAGGTCAGACGTTTCTTGTAGTTGGCCACCAGGTTTGCACACATCTCAGGAGGGATTTTGTCCCACTCCTCTTTGCAGATCTTAAGTGACCTGGCCACAAATAATAGCTCGGCCAAGTGGCTTGTCATCGCGTGGACATTCATAGCAGCCAAATACTCCAAACGCGTGATGTTGATTCTAAATGTGAGGATAAAAACCGGAGGACCTGGAGGAAAATCCACGGGACCACGCGGGGAGACAGACAAGCAAACTCCAAATATATAGGCATCGGCGTCGGGATCGAACCCACGACCTTCTGTATTCCAGGCGAGGCAGTTAATATCTCACACGTTTCTGAGGACAGCTACATCAACAATGTTTCCTGGTATAAGCAGGACAGGTGGCAACCAGACCCTGGGCAAAGGTGTAGACATCAACGGATCCTCAAAGCACCAAAGGCTACCAAATATCTGGGAGGCTCAACTGAGATAGATGGTCAACTGGCATCATCCCGATCAGCCGACCCCATCATTTATTTCCCCAATTTTATATGAAGTGTAAAAAATATAGTCTTATCCGCATTGGTATCATTTGTGTTCTTAAGCGATAGCTTTGCACATAGATACTGTTCTGTTTCGATTTAAAGCTTTCGTGACTGCAGGGATTCATCTTCTTGGTTCTTTCGGTAAAGTCACGTAGAATGGCCGTCCTCAGGTGAAGAATAGGCCTGTTCTTCACCGGAGGACGGCTGCTTGCGTTGTGGCCGAAACGTCGTGAGAATTATTTTATTATGTTTTATTTTTATAATTTTTTTATTTCCATTCTACGTGACTTTACCGAAAGAACCAAGAAGACTGTTATGATTGTTTTTTAGAAAATGTATTTTTGAAAGAGATTTAATGGCACTCGTGTCTATGCGCCGCTTCTCGGTGGCAGCCCCAACAGTCTGGAACGATATCCCTCTGCACATTCGCAGCATCACCTCAATCGCCTCCTTCAAGAGACACTTAAAAACTCACCTCTACAATCATGCTTTTGAGCGACTCTGAGCTTGGCTCCGCGCCTCTGAGTTGCGGCCACTACGTCTGCAAATTTGCGCGCGTTACAAATTGAACTATTATTATTATTATTAAAGACGACACCGCTCTGGGCATTGACAATGGGAAGTTGGGGGGCAAGTGTGACTGCGATTGGTTGTCGATATTTTGTAGCGTGTTTGTTTCTTCGCGAAAAACTTGTAAGGTTTCCTTCGAAATTCATTTTTTGCAGACGTAGCAACCGTGTAACCTATCGGCTCCCATAAAAAAAAAACTTGGACGATTTCCTTCATTGGAGTGGTCATTTATTGCTCCGTGGCAAAAAATGGATTTGCGATTGATATGGAGGAGCCATGTGCGGTGTGGTTTGGTTATTCAGGATGGGGCGGAAGATGTTAAGAGGCACCGGTGGTTTAAACACATCGACTGGGCGCTGGTTCCACAGCGCAAGCTGAAGGTAAGACTGTCTCCTAACGCGATCTCCCATCACAATCTCCCATTGTAATCTCCCAGCGTAATCTCCAATCACAATCTCCCATCACAATCTCCCATTGTAATCTCCAATCACAATCTCCCAGCGTAATCTCCAATCACAATCTCCCATTGTAATCGCCCATCATTATCTCCCATCACGATTTCCCATCTAAATCTCCCATCGGGATCTCCCATCACAATCTCCCAAATAATCCAACAAACACCAATAGTTTTGGTGAACGTCAGGAATAACGTTCTTAAGGTCCCTTCTTCCTCTGGCAGTCTGCACTGCCCATTTGTCAAGGGCGGAGGAAAGAAAAGAGCCAGGAGTGGAGCGTGAAGAAGTCACGCCCCGAATATCTTTCAGCAACGCCCGTCTACGCTGGTGGCCCCAGGGCCGCAGCCAGTGAAGGAAATTCCCCGTTGCTTGCAGCAGCGTGGACACGCGCGGTCTCTCTGCGCGCAGACACACCGCTAGACACAGACAAGCACCCGAACTGTGTGGCATAATGAACACGCGCAGTTGGAATGCTCGCACGATGTGTTTTTTTTTGTACCCGCTCGACTTGCTCCCGTTTCCTCTCGCGCGCCTCGTGCCACGTGTGTGCGTGTGTGTGCGCATCTGCGCGAGGAGGCTTACACGCTCGGAGGTTCGGAGAGCCGTAAGGCGCTGCAATGATGGGTGGTGGTCTTGGGTTGCTGAGGAGATGGAGTCTGCCTCAGTGGCCCGCGATCACAAATCACTATATAACTCCATCACAAAAGTAACCTGCAGCGCCACACCTATTACCATCATTAGGGGAAAAAACGGTGATCCGATCTCCGACCCCCAGGAAGAGGTTTGCAGATTTGCTGAGCATTTCTGTGAGGTCCTGGGGGAGGGGAAATCCCTCAGCCAGGAAAACATCATGACACAAAGTGGGGATGACCCTGCTGAGGCTGCGGTGCCTCAAATATTGGAAGAAGTCACCCCCTGTGAGTGGCTGGCTGAGGTGCCATCTGTTGAGGAAGTATTGAAGGTGATCCAGAGTCTGAGACCAGGAAAGGCACCGGGCAGAGATGATCTCCCAAGCGAAATGCTGAGGGAGGGTGGCGTTTGTGCACAAACTGCCCTATATGACATCATAACAACAGTTTGGACCACTGGACGGATTCTGCAGGATTGGAAGGATGCCCTGGTGGTCCCCTTCTCAAATGAGTACCTGGTGTGATGTGTAAACATCAGTCAGCCTTCGCTCAGTGGGAAGTCCCTCATTCCTCTATGCTGCCCTGAAACTCCCTTCTCCCAACCCCTCGGCGCTGTCAACTCTTAAGTCCTGGATCTTTGTTTCTCCACCCGCACCTCCGATCAGCACGGTTGGCTACGTACGGTGAAAAAGAAGTTCAACATACATACAACGGCGGCCGGGCATGGGGCTGGCCACCCCACCCCCCTCGTGTGCCGTGCCGGCCTTCGTAGGTGCTGCTCGCTGAACGGCACTTTCCCCAACGGAGGAATCTTCGTTTGATTTTTATTTATATTTGCATTGTGTGTGCCTGTTGTCGTCTGTTGTCTGTCGTCCGTCGAAGCCTCCCATAATCCCCAAGGTGTCGCACGCCGGGGACATTTCCAACTTCGAGTCGTACCCCGAGGAGGACTGGAAGGACGCCGCCGTCATCCCGGCGAAGGACAGAGAGCCGTTCCGCGACTTCTGACAACGCTCGCCGCCGTCTCTTTTGGGATTTTACTTTTTTTCTTTCGCCCGACGCGGTTTTCGAACGGCGGTCGAAATCAACGTGCGGCGAAACGTCGCGTATATATGATGTCCGACTGGCAATGTGACTGCGGTACAGCATGTTCAAACGGCCGGATGTGTGCACATCCACGGAAAATGACGGTTACCGTCAAGCAGGGGGTGCCACGGTGGCGAGATGTTAACTACCTCGCCTGGTATACTGGACGTCGTGTGTTGAATCCTGACCACCGACACCTGTATATTTGGAGTTTGCATGTTCTCCCTCCTCGTGGTCACGGGGATTTTTCTCCGGGTCCTCCGGTTTTTCAACGTGCGTTTCGAGTATTTGGCTGCTGTACATTTCCATGTGATAAGCCACTTCGTTGGGCTATCGTTTGTGGCCACGGTGCTTCTGAAAAAGAGCTTCATAGCTCAGTGGGCCTTACCTGCTAAAACAAAAATACCAGCTTGAGCTAAGGTCCTAATCGGCACGAACAGCTCATGAATCTAAAACAGCACCACCAAATGTCACTTAAACGATCAACTTGCCTACCAACTTAATTATTTTACACAGCCATGAAACACAACACCATTTACATCTGTCTATATAGCGTCTAAATGCAACCGTCTATCTCCAGAAGCTCCAACGCACGTGCAAACAAATTGAGTGGGAAATCTTAAGTCTTGACTCGAACAAGGGCAGCAGCAGCTGAGTCTCGCGAAGGCGATTTCAAGACACGGAGAGCATTCCAGACGGCCGCCTGAAGTGGTGCAGCCGAGAACGGAGGCGACCTCCTCACCCACGTGGCAACGACGAAGGTCGATGGCGCGTGGGAGGCGTTGTCGGATGGAGGAGGCCCTCCTCGTGCGCAGAGTGAAGTGAGACGTCAATAGGTGCCGTCGCTTGTGTGGCATTACAACATTGGGGTTGTCAGTGTGGATGCCACCCACAGCTGTGTTGCGGTCAGGCGGCCCTCCACCCGAATGGGCTGGCACTCTACCGCAGCATGTGACGCACTACTTTTATCGTGGGTTAAATTCAGGTGCACACTGGACTTTGGAGGCAACACTATTTATTAGCTAACACAACAGGTCACACTTAACATAACGACTTAAGGGGGTAGCCACCGTTCCTAACTTAGCTAACCTACGGGGGGAACTACATCACTGGACCAGGACAGCCCAACACGCTGCCTGGTCCACTAGCGGAGACCAGAGAGCTTCATCACAGAGATGACCCAGCAGAACAGCCCAGCACAGCCCAGAACAGCCCCGCTCTACGTCCACGCCCTGCTCATGACCACTCCGGCGTGGCTCCGCGCCAGGCCCCGCTCCCGATCCTTAGATCAGGAAGGCCCGAACCCCAACCACGTGACCCCCCCTGGGGCCCCTGGCCCCCCTTTATCCGGTCACGTATCCTGTTGGGTTCACGTAAAGTGTCACGGCCTGACACGACCCCCGTGACACCTGCCTACAAGCCCCCATATCGAACCAATAGAGTCGTGTCGTTCTGCTACACTACACTTATAGTAATAGGTTTTTACCTATATTACTATATTTTGCCACTGGTAAAGGAGATGTCTCATAGTGTAAATGCTTACCTTTACCAGTGGCAAAATATAGTAATAAGGTTTTTACCTATATTACTATATTTTGCCACTGGTAAAGGAGATGTCTCAGTGTAAATGCTTACCCAGAGCTCTCAATACTGTGATAGTGCACTGTTTTTGAGTTGTACGCCTTTTTGGCGTCATCTGGTCCAACACCAATGGAGACTAGGCTCTAAGAAAAGCTGTCTCGGGTGTGGACCAATCAACTTCAAATACAGTGCATATCATTATCATTATCAGAGTTGTTTCTTTTTGTTTGCATTTTGACTGCTTGTGTTGTGGTTATTGCAAACATGATGCCTTGTATAAAGGTGTCAGTTTTTGTACCAGTTGAAAGGGTTAAACCCTATTACTATATTTTGCCACTGGTAAAGGAGATGTCTCATAGTACACTACACTTTCTTCCGAAATGTATGTACATGTATGTTGTACTTCTTGGGCTTGGCACCGTACGTAGTCAACTGTGCTAATCGGGGCCAGGACAACAAACCAGACGCACGAAAAGCAGCGCTAAAGAAATGAGCTGACGTATGTTGAACTTCTTTCGCACAGCACACAGCCAACTGTGCTCATCGGAAAGTGCGCGGGGGAAGGACGGCAAACGAAACGCACGCGACAAAAAAAGCATTTCTACAGAAACGAGTTGATGCACGTATGTTGAACTTCTTTGGCACTGTACTCGTTCGGAGGTGCGGGGGAAGGACGGCAAACTAAACACACGCACGCACTAAAAATGTTCCATCAACGACAGCTGCCAAAGACTCGCAACACAGTGGGTGCAGTGTGCGCCGCTGTACTTTGACTTGGTCGACTACCAGGGATACATTACAGAGAAGGGGGGGGGGGGTTTCGGTTATACGGCGTAAATATAAAAGCGTCGCTAAACCCGCCACTACCTGACACGGCAAGTTAGTAAAGGTTTGTCACGTAAACAGAACGTGCCAATTCTTGTTACTAATACAATACATGGTTAAATTTCGATTTAAAGCTTTCGTGACTGCAGGGATTCGTCTTCTTGGTTCTTTCGGTGAAGTCACGTAGAAGGGAAATAATAAAATAATGAAACATAATAAAATAATTCTCACGACGTTTCGGCCACAACAGCGTCTTTCCGACAGACCTGTTCTTCACCTGAGGACGGCTGCTTGCATTGTGGCCGAAACGTCGTGAGAAATATTTTATTATGTTTTATTTTTGTTATTTTATTATTTCCCTTCTACGTGACTTTACCGAAAGAACCAAGAAGAACAATACATGGTTGTTGTGGATTTGACAAACCTTACTAGTTGGCTGTGTCGGGTGGTGGCGGGTTTAACGACACATTTATATTTACGCGATCTAACCCCCCCAAAAAAACCTGTTATGGGTGATATTGGTCGCTACAGCCTACATGTTAAACGTACCAGGGATACATTATCCACCTACGTTTTGACACATTGTTAATATTTTAACAAATAGGTGCTCCTATGTAATCGTTTTTTCCCTCCTCCTTGTCAAGATCTGTGGGTATTTAATTTTTCTGTATTATTATTTTCCATGATGTAACTCTCAACGTGGAAACGTTTCAAGTGCTGATTGCAGTGCGCAGTGCGCGGCGCTTGGAGTGTACTGCTGCGTCGAAGGCCCTCCCCATGCCGTGCCAGTCGTGGGGGAGTATTTGAGCATACTTCACCATGCTGGCCCGTGTGTGATGGTGTGATGGTGTCGTGGCGGAGGCAGGGAGGGTGGTGACTGGCGGGAATCAAACTCTCATGCCGCCGAGTTCAGACCGCCAGGCGCGAACCACCAACTCGCCAAATAGAAAAATCATACTGGGCGTCATTCACAAACTCAGAGTTATTAATGTAGCGGGCCTTAGAATCATTATTCCAGTCTCAAAGTAGGCTTGACCTCCCATGCAATGTTGCTGTCATGTCCGAATACCGCTGATTTATAACAGTATTTGAACGTAATGTGTTCATTGACCTCCATTTTATTAATCGCGTGCTCGTATTTTCCACGTTTCTTTTATTTATTTTTTTGTAAGGCTAATAAATCTTCGCGCGGCACGGCGAATATTTCTCGCACATTTCAAGAAACACGCGCGCGCGCGCGCGAGGCTTCGAGCAAAGATGCCTTTGTGTTTGCGGCTGCTTATTTAATTCCCTGTGGCCTGGAGACGTGTTTAACGTCAACGTCCAGCACAAACTGAGACTATTCTCTGTTGGTTTTTTTTGCTTTAACAGGGTCCTGAATGATGATGGTTCTCGACCGCACAGCCTCTTGAGTTTTCAACTCTCGCAGAGCTCCTTTACGGCGCACAATTGGTCAACGTCGCATGCATTGTGACGTTTTGGCACGGAGGGTTTTGTCGCGACATTTCTCCTCGATCGACCCGGGACAGCCCCCCGCCTCTGAGTCTAGGTCACTGATGTTCAGGAGTTGTCCTGCAAAGTTGTTTTTTTTTGTTTTTTGACAGAAGGAGACGACGATCGAGATGTTTTGTTTGTTTTCTAAACTCTGATTATACGTGGTGCTTCAAAAACATGGTAACACTTACATGGGACTGTCGTTTTTAATGGAAAAAGAACGGATAATACAACGCTGTAACACGATAACAAAAGTATGTTAATAGCTTCAAAAAGTCTAAGAGTCTCCACTTGTTCGCCATCGTTGTCAACGCGTGCCTGGAATCTTCTCCAGGTGGTCTACAGAGCCCGGAGGCACATTTCTTTTGTGGGTATTGTTGAAAATTCTAAGAAGCGTTAACATTTTTTTGAAGCACGCCGTATTTGGGCGGTGGCCCTACTCTTGCGTGTCATGTCCCTGGAGCTTTTCTTAGAGCCTAGTCTCACATGGTATTGGACCAGATGACGCCAAAATGCGCCTTTTGGCGAAAAGCTGTCTCAGGTGTGGACCAATCAATTTCAAACACAGTGCATACATTATCAGAGTTGTGTTTATTGTTTGCATTCCGACCGCAGGTATTGTGGTCAATGCAAACATGACTCCTTGTAAAAAAAAAGGCGTCAGTTTTGTTGGCAGATAAAAGGGTAAAAAAACAATTATCATGCAGTTGAGAACTTTATTTGTACTTTAAGTACATCGAAACACAAAAGCAATACAACAACAATAACAATTCCGAAAACAATAATGCAGACTTATGGGTAAATTATATCGCGATAATCGCTGTATCATTATATCGTAAAAAACGTTATAACGCGGATACCCTTCGTGCCATATCGCTTGAGCCCACACACACAAATTAAATAAATTTTACGTTGTAAATTAATTATGCGCATGTGTTATTGTACAGCATCGCATTGCAAAGGTCTGTGGGTTCGTGCTCACGAGACAATGCCTGTCGCGTTGATAACGAGCGAATATGTTTACAGACATCACCATTGTCGCCTGGTTTGTGCCGTGTGCTTACATGCCTTGCTAGAAATGAACAATAAAATACTTTTGATAAATTCCACCCCAGTTGTCATTTTATTTAGAAAAGGATTGATGGCGAGCTCCGGGCAGAACGCGTTGCTTGAATGGACAATGAGCAGCTTGTGTCGAGACTAGCGACGGAGTGGCAGCCGAAGGAGGGAGCATTCCTCGAGAGGGCATCCAGTGCGGAGATGGAGCGATGGACGCAGCGTGTGGCATCGCAGGACCGTGTGAGATGGTGACGGCGTGGCTCAGCCTTCGTCCAGCAGTGGATTGATCAATGGCTTACGATGACGTTGAAGGTGGTGAAGATCCAGTTAGTGGGGGGTATTGGTGGGTTTGTAAGTGGGGGGTGAGTAATGGGGGGTATCGGTGGGTTTGTGAGTGGGGGGGGTAGTGAAGGTATCGGTGGGTTTGTGAGTGGGGGGGGGGGGTAGTGGGGGTATCGGTGGGTTTGTGAGTGGGGGGGGGGGTAGTGGGGGTATCGGTGGGTTTGTGAGTGGGGGGGGGGTAGTGGGGGTATCGGTGGGTTTGTGAGTGGGGGGGGGGGTAGTGGGGGTATCGGTGGGTTTGTGAGTGGGGGGGGGTAGTGGGGGTATCGGTGGGTTTGTGAGTGGGGGGGGGGGGGTAGTGGGGGTATCGGTGGGTTTGTGAGTGGGGGGGGGGTAGTGGGGGTAATGGTGGGTTTGTGAGTGGGGGGGGGGGGGTAGTGGGGGTATCGGTGGGTTTGTGAGTGGGGGGGGGTAGTGGGGGTATCGGTGGGTTTGTGAGTGGGGGGGGGGTAGTGGGGGTATCGGTGGGTTTGTGAGTGGGGGGGGGGGGGTAGTGGGGGTATCGGTGGATTTGTGAGTGGGGGGGGGGTAGTGGGGGTATTGGTGGGTTTGTGAGTGGGGGGGGGGGTAGTGGGGGGGGTAGTGGGGTATCGGTGGGTTTGTGAGTGGGGGGGGGTAGTGGGGGTATCGGTGGGTTTGTGAGTGGGGGGGGGGGGGTGGTAGTGGGGGTATCGGTGGGTTTGTGAGTGGGGGGGGGTAGTGGGGGTATCGGTGGGTTTGTGAGTGGGGGGGGGTAGTGGGGGTATCGGTGGGTTTGTGAGTGGGGGGGGGGTAGTGGGGGTATCGGTGGGTTTGTGAGTGGGGGGGGGTAATGGGGGTATCGGTGGATTTGTGAGTGGGGGGGGGGTAGTGGGGGGGGTTGGTGGGTTTGTGAGTGGGGGGGGGGGTAGTGGGGGTATCGGTGGGTTTGTGAGTGGGGGGGGGGTAGTGGGGGTATCGGTGGGTTTGTGAGTGGGGGGGGGGTAGTGGGGGTATCGGTGGGTTTGTGAGTGGGGGGGGGGGTAGTGGGGGTATCGGTGGGTTTGTGAGTGGGGGGGGGGTAGTGGGGGTATCGGTGGATTTGTGAGTGGGGGGGGGGGGGTAGTGGGGGGTATTGGTGGGTTTGTGAGTGGGGGGGGGGTAGTGGGGGTATCGGTGGGTTTGTGAGTGGGGGGGGGGTAGTGGGGGTATCGGTGGGTTTGTGAGTGGGGGGGGGTAGTGGGGGGTATTGGTGGGTTTGTGAGTGGGGGGGGTAGTGGGGGTATCGGTGGATTTGTGAGTGGGGGGGGGGGGGTAGTGGGGTTATCGGTAAATGAGAATAACTTTGATTTGAACATGGGTCACCGCATACAGAAAGCTAGAACCAAATCGCCACATATGTGCCTGATCTCGTCAGATCTTAGAATCTAAGCAAAGTTGAGCCTGGTGAGTGCTTGGATAAGTGACCACCACCAGGGCTTGCCAGGTGGTGTAGGTGTTGAACAGGGAGGTATTGCCAGGAGGCGGCAGTTAGTCGGTGTCATCCTGTAAGTTGGCAAGGTGAAGTTTTCTCCGGGTTCTACGACTTGAACGACTTTTTATTTTAGCAGGTAAGGCCAAGGGCTATGCAGCTCTTTTTTAGAAGCGACCTGGCGACGAATGATAGCTCAATGAAGTGGCTTATGATATTATTAAAGCAGCCAAATACGTTAAACGCGTGTTTTTAAATGTGGAGGGGAAAAACCGGAGGACCTGCAGAAAAAATCCACGCCACCACGGGGAGAGCGAACATACAAACTCCAAATATGCGGGCGTCGGGGTCAGGATCGAACCCACGATCCTCCTGCATACTAGACGAGGCAGTGAACATCTGCTAGCCACCGTGGATCATAATCCACGTGGGAAATTTATCGCGAGGCCTGAGACTATTTCACCGCCGTGCCAAAACTGCGGCAACGCATCCCCCGAAGATGCCCTGGACCGAGCCAAATTGAGAAGACAATGCCGAAAAGCGGACCCTGTGTCACAGCGGGAACAACGCTAGGAATAAGAAGAAGCCCAAACAGCAGCAACAGCCACGTCGCTTCCGTGCGGACGCTATTTATACATTTGGAACGATTTGTCGAACGCGCTGCCAGAGAGAGGAGTGAGTGAGAGTGGATGAGCCGAGACGTTTGCCAAACGCCCACTTTTGACGGCTGCGAAGTGCGCGCGGAGGTGGGCCAAGACATTTCATCCGCTTATTTGGCACGACGAGAAGGTGGTGGTGGTTGTGGTGGTGGTTGTGGTGGGGAGGGGAGGCACCACGTGTGATCCCGACAGGCGCGTGTAAACATTCGACATCTCACTCCTTTTACGAGGATTACGAGTCCGTTTCACTTTGGCGGCCGTAACGTTCTGCGGCTTCCGTCTGTGGTGTACAACGACCCCGTTGCAGCGGACCGCGAAGCGACGTTATATAACTGGGAGTGAACAGAGTCGGATTAGCTGTGAGGGGGAGGGGAGGGGAGGGGGAGGGGAGGGGGAGGGGGAGGGGAGGGGGAGGGGAGGGGAGGGGGAGGGGAGGGGGAGGGGGCCCAGGGCTATTATTGTTTTTTTGGTGAGCCCTCAATTCTCTTTGGTTTTTTCGGTAAAGTCACGTAGGTAAAAAAATAAAATAAAAATGAATTAAATCACGATGTTTCTTGATACAGTAATTTTGCTGTGATGGCTCCACCTGAAGACGGAAGCTTGTGTTGCCTCCGTCACTCATGGAGTGACAGAGTGGGTGAGTGGGCGAGGGAGTTTGGTGAGTGGATAGCTAGGTAGGTGGGTGAGTGAGGGAGTGGTTTGGTGATTGAGTGCGTGGGTGCGTGGGTGGGAGAGAGAGTATGTGATTGAGAGATTGGTGGGTGGGTGAGTAAAAAAGTCGGTGAGGGAGTTCGTGAGTGAGTTGTTGGGTGAGTAGGTGGGTGAGTGATTCATTGATTTAAAGAGTGGGTGAGAGAGCAAGTGAGTGGTTCGTGGGCTAGTGAGTTAAAGAGTGGGTGAGGAAGGAGGTGATTGAGTGGGTCGGTAGGTTATTGAGTGGGTGAGTGGTGTTATAGTGGGGAGCGGTAGTGTAGCGGTTAGCGCACTGCGCTACGAAACCGGCGTTCCGAGTTAATTTCCTGATCACGGCCAACGCCAGTGACGATTATTTGAACTGGTCCTGGGCTTCCCCTAGGTCGACTCAGCATCAAGTGAGTACCTGGTGCGGTGTGTAAACATCGCCACTGGGGAGACAAAGGCGGCCGGGCGTAGTGCTGGTTCACCCACCCCCTCGTGTGCTGTGCCGGCCTTCATCGATGCTGAACGCTAAACAGCACTTGCCCCAAGGCCGTAGCCATGAAATCAACATTGGGGGGGACCAAATCTTCCAGGGGGTCTGGGGTCCCCCCCAGAAAAAAAAACTAAATTTTAAAACTCATTCCCTGCCTAAAATATAAAAAAATGCACTAACACATAGGATGGACTTTTTATTTAAAAAAAAATACAACGTCTCATAGGGTATTGTATTACATTGCTCTGTTTTTTTCTTTTGTACCTTTTCTTGTTTCATTGTATATAACGGCAGAGATTAGGGATTAATAAAGTACAACCATAACCACAATCATATAAACATAAATCTATTTTATAGCAATATATTGGGGGGGGGGGGGGCATTTTGAGCATATTTGAATATTGGGGGGGATGTGTGTCCCCAAATTTATATTATAATTACGGCCTTGACTTGTCCCCAATAGTGCATTGAGGCTATACGGGGGATCTTTGTCTTTGTACGTCCCTGAAGGAAATGAATTCAACGCTTCCACTGAATGTCTGTTGCCCTCTTGGCGAGGTCACACCGCAGTGCGCCACCACGAACCCGGGCAAGGGCCCAGTTACATTCCTGTTCACGGCCAACAACGGTGGCAGCGAATATTGGTACCCGTTGCTGGGCCTCCCCTAGGTCGACTCGGACTTAAATGAGTACCCGGCGGCGAGGCGTGTGAACATCGCCACTGGGGATACAAAGGTGGCCGGGCGTGGCGAGGGCCATGCACTCCCTTCGCGTGCCGTGCCGCCCTTTCGAGGTGCTACAGCACTTGTCCCCAACACGGCTGAGCACACACACGTACGACTCACAAGCACACCGATACCCCCCACTACCCCCCCTCCCCAAGAGGTCGCAATCGGGTACCCGATACCCGTACCCTACCCGATACCCGGGTACGGGTACCCGTTTGCTACCCTGGTGCGGCCGGGTACGGGTAGGCCGTGAGTCACTGGTGAGTAACTGTTTGTCACTCATTTCCCAACGTCTTGTCTCTTCTCACAATTCAAGTTCCTAGAATCAACCCACCCGCTCCTGCAACATGGTTTCATCCCAGAGTTCGCAATCGGGTACCCGATACCCGTACCCAACCCGATACCCGGGTACGGGTACCCGTTTGCTACCCTGGTGCGGCCGGGTACGGGTAGGCCGTGAGTCACTGGTGAGTAACTGTTTGTCACTCATTTCCCAACGTCTTGTCTCTTCTCACAATTCAAGTTCCTAGAATCAACCCACCCGCGCTTGCAACATGGCTTTATCCCAGAGGTCGCAATCGGGTACCCGTACCCGTACCCTACCCGATACCCGGCCGGGTACGGGTAGGGTACGGGTATCGGGTAAGGTACGGGTACCCGATTGCGACCCTGGTGCGGCCGGGTACGGGTAAGGAATCAAAACCCGTTTGCGACCTCTGCCCCCCCCCCCATTCACAAATCCACCCGATACCCCCCCTCCACTATCCCCCCCTCCCCCCACCAAATAGACCCCCCCCCCCCTCCAACCTCCATACCCCAAAACCCCCCACTCACACACACACAAGCTCACCCTGTGAGCTCACCCCCCCCCCCCCACCCACCCCCACCAGCTTCCCTCTCGCTCTGCCCTCTGCACGCCGCTCACGCCGACTTCACGGATCGGCTGGGAGGGTTCCGAGCGAGCAACTTTGCTGACGTGTGTTTGGGAATAGCGCACACACTTATATACATACACGCGCGTACACACACACACGCGCGCGCGCACAGACACACACACACACGTGCACAGACACACATACGCGCACACACTTACAAACACACACGCGCGTACACACACACGCGCGCGCGCACAGACACACACACACACGTGCACAGACACACATACGCACGTGCGCACAGACACAAACGCACACACAGACACACACACACGTGCACAGAGACACACACGCGCGCACAGAATAAACACACATGCGGACACACACGTGTGCACAGACACACATACACACGCGCGCACAGACACACACGCTCACGGAGACACGCGCGCGCGCACACGCAGGCGCACACACACACACATCTACTTGTGCACACACACACACATCTACTTGCGCACAGACACACACGCGCGCGCGCAGGCATAACCACGCGAAATCTCGACAACATTCCCGTGGATACTCTGCAAAGCGTCGGCCTTTCGTTTAAAAGAGGCGAGTGGACAAACAAACAAGAAAATAAGCGAATTGGACATCGGCCGTCATGAAAAGGTAAATTAAGAGAGCTCGACAAGGCATTTCAAATAGCTTGTAGAATGAGCAGAAGTCTGGATGCGTTCACGCGAGCGGATGAGAAAGGTGCTCTGTGAGTCTCGGTCGACAGGAGGCTGGTGTCGCGTTCAACCAAGTCCTCTCTGTGAGTCTATGGGTCTCTGTGTGAGTGTATATGGGTCACGGTGTGAGTCTATGGGTTTCGGTGTATGTCTATGGGTATCTGTGTGAGTCTATGGGTCTCGGTGTGAGTCTATGTGTATCTGTGTGAGTCTATGGGTCTCTGTGTGAGTCTATGGGTCTCGGTGTGAGTCTATGGGTCTCTGTGTGAGTCTATGGGTCTCTGTGTGAGCCTATGGGTCTCTGTGTGAATCTATGGGTCTCTGTGTGAGTCTATGGGTCTCTGTGTGAGTCTATGGGTCTCTGTGTGAGTCTATAGGTCTCTTTGTGAGTCTATGGGTCTCTGTGTGAGTATATGGGTCTCTGTGTGAGTCTATGGGTCTCTGTGTGAGTATATGGGTCTCTGTGTGAGTCTATGGGTCTCTGTGTGAGTCTATGAGTCTCTGTGTGAGTCTATGGGTCTGTGTAAGTTTATGGATCTCTGTGTGAACCTATGAGTCTGTGTGAGTCGATGGGTCTCTGTGTGAGGAGTCTATGTGTCTTTTGTGAGTCTATGTGTCTTTTGTGAGTCCATGGGTCTCTGTGTGAGTCTATGTAGGTATGTATGTTGAACTTCTTTCGCACCAGTACTTAGCCAAGCGTACTCAAACAGAGGTGCGATTGGATTCGTGTCTAAAAGAAACCGAACGCTGCTTTGGAACAGACACGTGGATGTATACGCTCGAGACTTTATGGAATTTCATGAGCAACGGATTGGTCAGACGGTCGCTCTTCTCAAACCACAGACGACCACGTTTGATACAGTTGTATGTCTGTTGCTAGCCAGCACCATAAATTCTGTAAATTATTGAACACTCATTGAGTCGTCATGCCTGGATACAGATTTCAACGTGAACGTTAAAACTTGAACTTATTTCGCACCGTACGGAGCCAACCGTGCTAACCGGAGGTGCGGGGGAAGGACAACAAACTACATGTCTGTGTGAGTCTATGGGTCTCTGTATGAGTCTATAAGTCTCTGTGTGAGTCTATAGGTCTCTGTGTGAGTCTATAGGTCTCTGTGTGAGTCTGTGGGTCTCTGTGTGAGTCTATGGGTCTCTGTGTGAGTCTATGGGTCTCTGTGTGAGTCTATGGGTCTCTGTGTGAGCCTATGGGTATCTGTGTGAGTCTGTGGGTCTCTGTGTGAGTCTATGGGTCTCTGTGTGAGTCTATGGGTCTCTGTGTGAGTCTATGGGTCTCTGTGTGAGCCTATGGGTATCTGTGTAAGTCATTGGGTCTCTGTGTGAGTCTATGCGTCTCTGTGTGAGTCTATCGGTATCTCTGTGAGTTTATGGGTCTGTGTAAGTTTATGGGTCTCTGTGTGAGCCTATGGGTATCTCTGTGAGTCTATGGGTATGTGTAAGTGTATAGGTCTCTGTGTAAGCCTATGGGTCTCTGTGTGAGCCTATGGGTCTCTGTGTGAGTCTACGGGTCTGTGTGAGTCTATGGGTCTCTGTGTGAGTCTATGGGTCTGTGTAAGTTTATGGGTCTCTCTGTGAAGAGTCTATGGATCTGTGTGAGTATACGAGTCTCTTTGTGAGTCTATATGTCTCTGTGTGAGTATATGGGTCTCTGTGTGAATCTATGTATGTTTAACTTCTTTCGCACCGTACGTAGCCAACCGTGCTAACCGGAGATGGGGGAAGGGGACAGGACAACAAACTAAACACAAAGAGCAGTTCTAAAGAAATTATTTTCAATCTGAAAGATTTAAAAGTGCATATAGCTCCCATTGGCTTCCGAACATCGGAAGGAGGAGCGTTCCAGACGGCCACAGAAGCGCGTCTGTGATCGTCTTCGTTTGATGGCCAGCCATCAAACAACAGCCGCGGTGAGTACACATCGCAATGAGTATCGATGATCACACGGTATCGTCTAATAATGAATCGAAGTGTTGTACTTGAACCGTGCGAGATCCCAGCGAGAAATGCATTGCGCGAGTTGGCAGTGAGTCTATTGTACAGAGGTGTGTCATTGTCAGTGGAACAAAGACAAAGGAGCCGTCCATAATTGACGTCACGCACCTGGGGGGGGGGGGGGGGTCAGACATTTGTAACGATGTGTGACGAGGGGGGGGGGGGTTTGAGAAATGTGACGTGACATCAAAATGCGCAATTTTAAATAAATATAGACAACGCGTTCTACTTAATTAAATATACTTTTTAATAAATGTTTTCCTCTACAACATCAAAGTGCAGCGCCACATTAAATACGCACTATAATGACAATAGTTTAAAGCGATTTGGAGCATGTTTTATTTGGGGGGGGGGGGGGCAGAGCTTTATGACGTCATTTTTGAGGGGGGGGGGGTCTGACTTTTTGTGACGCCGTTTGACGAGGGGGGGGGGGAGTCAAAAATCGTCCAAAATTGCGTGACATCATTTATGGACGGCCACAAAGATCCCCCATGTAGCCTTAACAGTGCTGTTAGCGAGTAGGACCAATGAAGGCCGGCACGGTACACGAGGGGGTGGGTGGCCAGAACCACGCCCGACCGCCTTTGTCTCCCTAGTGGCGATGTTTTTACACACCGCACTGAGTCGACCTAGGGGAGGCCCAGGACCGGTTCAGATCGCCACTGGTGTTGGCCGTGAGCGGGAATCGAACCCGGGTCGCTGGGTTCGGAGGGCGGTGCGCTAACCGCTACCTCACCGCTCCCCATGTAAGTGTAACACAACACACAATCAGTGTCACAGGAACGCACTCACATAGTGGTGTCAGTTCAGAGACAACCTCGCACAAGCATGTCAATGTCATGGCACGGGTACACACAAGTGTGCCAATGCTTGTGTGTGCCACCACAAAGACGAAGATCCCCCGTATAGCCTTAGCAGACTGTAGGGGCAAGTGCTGTTAGCGAGCACCTATGAAGGCCGACACGGCACACGAGGGGGTGGGTGGCCAGCACCACGTCCGGCCGCCTTTGCCTCCCCAGTGGCGATGTTTGCAGTTTGCACACCGCACCAGGTACTCATTTGAGGCTGAGTCGACCTAGGCGAGGCCCAGAACCGGTTCAGACAATCGCTACCGGTGTTTGCAATGCGCGGCAATCGAACTCGGCTCTCCGGGTTTCGTAGCGCAGCCCGCTAACCGCAACGCCACCGCTCCCCACATGCACCTAACATGTGCCACACACGCACACACGCACGCACACACACGCACACACACACGCACACACACGCACGCACACACACGCACACACACACGCACACACACGCACGCACACACACGCACACACACACGCATACACGCACACGCACGCACACACACGCACACACACACGCACGCACACACGCACACACACACGCATACACGCACACGCACGCACACACACGCACACGCTATCACAGGAGCTCGCCAGCACGGGCCGCTGTGTAAGAGGGCCGGCCTCCTCTCCTCGCGATGGCTGGACTCACGCAACGTGTCTCCCTCTCTGGAGCAACGATACTCCACCTCCACCACCACCTCGTCCACCACCTCCTCCTCCTCCTGCTGCTGCTCCTGCTGCCCTTCCCGCTGCCCGGCAGTGGCGGCGGCGTCGCCTCTGCGCAGCGAGCGGGGAGGGACTGCCCGCGGGCGTGCACCTGCTACCACCGTGAAGAGGTGCACTGCACCTTCCGCTACCTGAACGCCGTGCCGGCCGGGCTGCCGCGAGACGCGCTGCGAATCAACATGGGGTGGGTGCGTGGCGTGAGTTGCGTGAGTTTGCGTGGGTTGCGTGCGTTGCGTGGGTTGAATCTTGATTTGAAGTTTGCGTGGGTTGCGTTGCGTGCGCGCGCGCCAGCTCCGAGGGCACGGCAGCTCCTCGCTGCTTTCATGATGATCGTCGAGATGATGATGATGATTATTGATGATGATTATTGTTGATGATGATGATTATTGATGATGATTATTGTTGATGATGATGATTATTGATGATGATTATTGATGATGCTTATTGTTGATGATGAGTATTGATGATTATTGTTGATGATGATTATTGATGATGATGATGATTATTGTTGATGATCAGTATCGTAACGAGCGTGAGCTATTCGGCAGGATTGTCCGACGTTTCGTTCCACGCGTGTTGGAAGCTTCTTCAGGAACAACATTTTGTTTGCATTCAGTTCCTTGGGGGCCGTCCATAAATGACGTCACGCACCTGGGGGGGGGGTCAGACATTTGTGACGATGTGTGACGAGGGGGGGGGGGGTGTTTGAGAAATGTGACGTCACATCAAAATGCGAAACTTAAAATAAATATAGAATTGTTATAACAACACTAATTGTTATAACAACACTCCTACAACACACATTAAATACGCACTACAATGACAATAATTTAAAGCGATTTGAAGCATCTTTTATTTTCAAAATGGAAAAATGGTTTTGGGGGGGGGAGGGCAGAGATTCGTGACGTCATATTTGAGGGGAGGTCTGATTATTTGTGACGCCGTGTGACGAGGGGGGGGGGTAAAAAATCTTCCAAAATCGCGTGACGTCATTTATGTACGGCCCCTTGAGAGCTCAGTTCCTGGGAGTTTCTTCATGAACCAAATTCATCATTGGAACCTCATTTGCCAGTAAAAATATGATAACAGTTTTTTTACCCTTTTATCTGGCAACAAAACTGACACCTTTTTTTACAAGGAGTCATGTTTGCATAGACCACGATACCTGCAGCCATAATGCAAACAAAGACTAGGCTCTAAGGAAAGCTGTCTCGGGTGTGGACCAATCAACTTCAAGGACAGTGCATATATTATCAGAGTTATGTGTTTTGTTTGCATTATGGCTGCAGGTATTGTAATCTATGCAAACATGACTCCTTGTAAAAAAGGTGTCAGTTTTGTTGCCAGATAGAAGTGTAAAAAAACAATTATCGAACCAAATTCAGTTTGCATTCAGTTCCTGCAGAGTTCAGTTCCTGAAGAAGCTCTCAGAACGTCGACACATGGGACGGGACGTTGGGCATCACGACGCTTCACGCGCTGGGAGCTTCTGCAGCGCATCCGTCCCCTGTCTTGTTCGACACGATGTTGCGACGTTTCGCTCCACGTGCCCGAGTGAGAGCTTTCTTCAAAAGCGAATTCTCTCTCGGCACCAGGACCCACGCCACTCTGGATTCAGTTTACCCGAAGAAGTTCCCCCTACCCCCCAACCCCTCCCGCCCGCACGCACGCGAGACTAAATATCGGACATCGCGAGGAACGACACGGGGCACGAACCGCGAAAACACGTGCTCTCAGAAACCGCGTTCGTCTGAGAGTCAGCCCAGCCACAGCACTCGCTTGGGTGATGATCATCGTACGGTGATCATCGTCTAAAAGTCAGCTCAGCCATAGCACTCGTTTGGGTGATGATCATCATACGGTGATCATCGTCTGAGAGTCAGCCCAGCCACAGCACTCGCTTGCGTGATGATCATCGTACGGTGATCATCGTCTGAGAGTCAGCCCAGCCACAGCCCTCGCTCGCTTGGGTGATGATCATCGTCCGGTGTTGAGTCCTTCTTTTCGGCTGTCCATCGCGAACGATGATGGTTGTGGAGAACAGCAAGCAGCAGCATTTTCCTGAACGCCGGTGGGATGAAAGGCACCAGCCCCTTGAGCGAAAGCATCGTCCGCACTGTGGGCAAAAGTTGTTGGTCGTCTGCTGGATGGAATTCGTGTTTTTGTACCGCTGCTGTTGATTCTGATAAAAAAAAAAAGTTTCTTCAAGCCTCTTGACCGAGTCGGCTGCAGCAGCAGCCGCTCCTCCACCGCTTTACGAATGATCCTGACATCTTCCTCCCACGTGTTCCACATTGAGATTGGCCGTCGAGAGGGGTCTCTCAAGGGCGTCTTGATGATGATCTGGTGGCATTGCGTGGTTGGCAATGAGCCCTGGCGCAAGTAATAAAAAGCCTTCCAACCCTCCACCCCACCCCTCAGCGCCTTCGCACCCCCTCTCCGGATGAACCCACCCAAGACAGTGGACCAATCAACTTCAAGGACACTGCATATCATTATCATTATCAGAGTTGTTTCTTTTTTTTTTTGCATTTTGACTGCTTGTGTTGTGGTTATCGCAAACATGATGCCTTGTACAAAGGTGTCAGTTTTGTACCAGTTGAAAGGGTAAAAACCTATTACGATATTTTGCCACTGGTAAATGAGGTCTCAATAGTGTTGACGAGAATGTTTGTTAAAGTACCATGGGCGATGCTGGGGTGGAGGGGGGGGGTATCAGGAGATGGTGGGAAGGGGGGTAACCAGTGAACGTCATTGGTGGGGGGGGGTAGCTAGAAAGGTGGGGGGCACCGGTTGAGAAGCGTCGACGGAGCGGCGACTTTGTCGTCTCGCCCACGACGTCGCGTGACCGCCGTTGCTTGCGTCTTGCTGTGTGCGCGCCAGGTACAACAGCCTGACGGCGCTAGACGAGGGATCGTTCGCCGACCTGGCGAAGCTGGAAATCCTCATGCTGCACGGTAACGAGATGCGATTCCTGCCAGACGGCGTGTTCGGCCAACTGCGGGCGCTGCAGGTGCGCGACACGGTGACCCTCCGTGACCCCCCCATTGCGAGCACCTCGGTCACTCGACGCGAGCACGGGAGTTTATGTGTGTTGTTGTTGTTGTTTAAAGCCTCGTGTCCCATCGCGAACAAGTGATGGCGTGAATGAACGACGCTTCGCGGCGCGGCGCTGATGTCCCCCCCCCACCGCCTCTGTTTTGTCGACGCTGAAAAAAAATGCGGCTCATTCAACGCGACAAACTTGTCTTCTTGGTTCTTTCGGTAAAGTCACGTAGAAGGGAAATAATAAAATAATAAAAATAAAACGTAACAAAATATTATGTTTCATTAAAATATAATGTTTTATTTTTATTATTTTATTATTTCCCTTCTACGTGACTTTCCCGAAAGAACCAAGAAGATTAATCCCCGCAGTCACGAAAGCTTTAAAGCGACAAACTTGGTTTGGTCACGGGCGGCCGCCCCAGTTTCGAACCCAGCATCTCATCGGTGGTGGACAGCGGCGTTTCGACGCGGCCCACCATTTGACATCGACAAACCCGGTCGCGCGTATCAGAAGCGGCGTTCACTACGTAGCTCCAGGCTGCCACAACGGTGACACCTCTATCGCGCCGCGTGCCCTCCGTCCAGGTGCTGAAGCTCAGCTACAACAAGCTGCGCTCGCTGCGAAGGCCGGCGCTGAGGGGCCTGCGCTCGCTCGAGCGGCTGCACCTCGACCGCAACCTCCTGGAGCGCCTCGACCCGGATGCCTTCGTGGGCCTCACGTCGCTGCGGCTCCTCCAGCTCGAGGGCAACCAGCTGCGCTCGCTGCACGCCGACGCGTTCGCCACGGCGTTCGTGGCGCGGGGCGCAGTCGTGTCGACGCTGGCACACCTCTCGCTCGCCGACAACCGCCTCCGCTCGCTGCCGCCCTCCCTGCTGACCTCCATGCCGGCGCTGGAGAGCCTCACGCTGCAGGGAAACCCCTGGGCGTGCGACTGCGCGCTGAGGCCCTTGCGCGAGTGGGCCGCGGGGAATGCCGCCGGTGAGTCCGCGCCCCTTGGCTCGGAGTCGCCGTGGGATTACTTTTTTGTTTGGGATTTTCGAGATGTCGTGCGGAGGCTTTTTCGCGTGATCGAGATTACACTGGTCAAAAGAAAAATCTGCCCTGGACTTTTGCAGCTGTTTTAGACTAATTTCAGGGTGCTGATTCCAAATCTGATTTGCTCTATCACATCTCATTTTATGCTATCGGCATACCCCATTTTCATTGATTTTACCCGAAATTAACTGTCACTCATGATTGCAAGTTGTTGTGAGTCAGTGACTGCTTTAGTGTTAAAACATGGTGCTCTATTTTTAGGATAGTGTGTTCATAATATCATTTTATGTAGATATCCACATTTATTTAATATTTTTCTTGTGCAGTTTTTATTGAAAATGCAATATTTGATATCTCAAGAACCTGATGTGATATACAAAAACTGATGCCAGATTTGGAATTACCTTAAAACCGTTGGAATACCTTATGCCAGAAAAAAGTATGTTGACCAGTGTTTTTCACGGTTTTTGTGTTTCGGGTTTGATCACGCGAAGTTAGGCGAGGTTAGTTAACATCTCGGCACGGTGGCGAGATGTTAATTACCTCACCTGATGTGTGATTGAGGATCTTCATTTAGACTGCAGGAGGACTCCGATGAGCTGGACAAACTGTTCAGCTCACAGTGGCCCACTGGGATGGAAACTTCTAATCACATCGCAGAGATCGCACGGGGTTGTATGCGTGTTGCTCTACATTCGCATTGAGCCCGTGTTACACCTGAACCTGTGTTAGACCCGAGCACGTGTTAGACCCGAGCCCGTGTTAGACCCGAGCCCGTGTTATGCATGAGCCTGTGTTATGCCTGAGTCTGTGTTCCACTTGCTTGCTTGACTGCATTTGTAACCCATATCTCCCTTTAACAATTACGCTCTTTGGTTGAGCGACCTCTCGCCTGCGTTTAAATGAAGGTGATAATCTAGATCTCATGTTGGAGAAGGCACAAGTCACACGACTGGCTCAAGGCCAACCAATAGAGAAGAGCGCTACGCACCGTTCATCTATACAGAGGCACAATTTTTTTTACTTGTGAGCACATTTTTTTCATTTTCATGCATGTGCATGTCTACTGGCCCTTTTTAGCCTCAACGGTCCCTGCCGTGGTGTGACGGTCAGAACGCTGTGACCTGCAATACAGGGGTCACCGCTTCGATTCGATCTCCCGGCGCGGCGGATGAAACAACGGGGCTAGTTTATTAAATCCACGCCCTGGCCTCGGCAGTCTCTTTGGGTACAACCGCAGGTCGCGTGTGGTGGGGTAAAATATGGGTACTGCCATCTCTTCCAAGACATCTCGCCAGTGCGGACGAGTAGGCCAAACACCCGCTAGAGCTCCCGCCAGAGGAGGGCCCTTCCGCTAGCAGTGGCGCAAGCGACCGGCTCAACGGGGCCTGCGCCTTCACCCGTTACCTCTCCGTGTGCGTCTCCCCTCGCGCCGCAGACGTTCTCAAGTGCACGGCGGTGGAAGGAGGGAGCCGAGACGGAGACTCGCGGTGTCCCCGCTGCGCGAGCCCCGCGCGCTACAAGGGGCGCCACCTGCTCTCCATCCCCGCACGGCGGCTCGCCTGCACCGCGCCGTCCGTCGCCGCTCCCGGGACGCCGAGGAAACCCGACGACGATGACGGCACCGGCGAGCTGCCCCTGCGGCACCTCCTGCGGGCGCGCGCGTCGTGGGCCACGCTCGGCCTCAACCTGACGGCCGGGCCGGGGCGGGCCGCGATGCTGCGGTACCGCGTGGGCGCACCGCGCGCCACCACGCCGGTCGCCGTGCGGCGGCTGGATGACGGGACAGTGCTCGTGGACGGCGCGTTCGAGACGCGCCTGGCGTGCGACTCGAGCCTCGGAGACGGCCGGCGGCAGCTGCTGAGCGCGATGGGCGGGGAGGCGGCGGCGAGGGTGGGCGGCGACGCGGCGGGGGGAGGCGGCCCGCGGCAGCGCGAGCTCCGCTTGACGAGGCTGCCCGAGGTTCACGGCGAGGCGAGCGCTAGCCTCTACACCGTCGTGGCGGAGCGGGGGGAGCCGTCGAGCGACGGCGCGGCCCTCGTGGCGAGCGTCTCCACGGAGGCCGACTGGCTCCTGCAGCCGACGATCGGCGTCTCGCTGAGCGGCGGCATCGGCCCCCCTGGCGCGGAGGACGGCCTGGACCTGACGCTCACCACGGCGATGTCAGGGTACCGTGGAGCCGGGGACCACGGCACCTCCGAGTGGGTGCTCATCCGTGGCGGTGGCAACGACGGTGACGGCGACGCACGGCTCAACCAGGCGGTGGTGGAGGGGGCACCCGTCCAGATGCTGTGCGGCGTCGATGCCGCCCCGGGGGCGCCGGCCGCGCTCCACTGGACCCTCGCCGATGGCACGCGGGTGCGGGAGCCCTACGAGAGCACCGACAACCGCGTGACAGCAGCCCGCGGCGGGCAGCTGCTCATCAAGTCGGCGCAGGTGGCAGACTCGGGCGTGTACGCGTGCGTCGCTTCGACGAGAGACGACGCGGATGCGATGGAGTTCAGGCTCGAGGTGCTGCCGGCAATCGCGGAGGGGGCAGCGGGCAAGGATTTGTCAGTGCTGGTTGGCGGAGACCTGGGGCTCCCCTGCAGGGCGCTTGGCTCGCCGGACCCATCAGTGGTCTGGGTCTTCCCCGACGGCTCGGTCTCCGTGGACCTGCCTTCACGTGGGGAACGTTCGGCCACCGTGAATGGCACTCTGAACATAAAGGGCATCGGCGCTGGGGACGGCGGCCTCTACAGGTGCGTGGCCATGAATCGGCTCGGAGCCAAGGTGCTGTCCGTGAACGTCACCGTCGCGTCGCCGGACGCCAATGGTGGCGACGCGAGTGGAGGGTGGAGGCCGAGCTCCCAGCCAAACAATGAGAATTCGTATTTCCCCTCGGGAAACGACGGACTGCCCCGCGTGGACCTTTACAACGCCACGCGAAACGATTCCTCCTTGACGCGTCCCCCAAGCGCGAAGCAGCACGGGAACAGCGTGGCGGGCGAGGCCAGAGTGGTGACGGAGAAGGATGAGAAGCAAGAGGAGGAAGATGAGGAGGAGGAGGAGGACGACGAGGAGGGTGAGGAAAGCGGGCATGCTCTGAAGAGTGGGCCACACGGGAGAAGGCCCGCTGGACCTGCGGGCCCACGCAGGATCGACAATGTGTCGGTGAAAGAGCGCGACCCTCAGCGGTGGGCCCAAGTGCTGGAGGAGGTGAGGCGGCGGCACAGAGAGTGGAGCCGCCGGGGGGGCCACAATGACAGCCTCGCCGTCACGGCAGCGGCCGCGACTCCGGCCGGACATGACCTCGCCCCTTCGCCCGGGGCATCGGCTGCTGGCGAGACTGAGACAAGCGCTGAAGGGAGCGCCGTGAGCCGCGGGGTCACCGTGGGGTATTCTGGTGGCCGTGATCTGGAGTGGGCGAGCACATTTTCCGGTGGGTTGGTGGAGCTCTCCGACGACCACTCCGCCATCGTGGAAACGGTCTCCTCCGACGAGCGCATGACGCCGGCGTATGAGGCCGCGTACACCGAGACGTACACGCTCGGCACGCGGGCGGCCGTTCACACGAGCATGGCAGACACCGACTACGGAGTTTCGGAAACGATCCTGAGCCCTTTCCCCACCACGTCGGCGACAACCGAGAAATCGGACGTCGCCTTGACTCGACGGACTTCGGCGGCGGGAGACCGCGCGGGGGCGCTTCCCGCGAACGCGGACCCAGAGCACTCAGGTTGGGGTCCCGACAACTCCTTCACGAGGCTGCCATCGCGCCCGCAGGTGCAGGAGCACGCAAGAGAAGCGCAGCGTTCCTGGCACCGGATATCCAGCACGACGACCGTGCCCAGCGCTCTCCTCCCTCCGAGTCCTCCGCGAAGCACGTACGGACGCTGGCACGAGAAGTTGCAGTGGGCCTCGGCCGTGGGCACTCCGGCCGCAAGCCTCTTGCCTTTCCTCCAGCCCGAGGCGCTCCTTCCGGTCACGTGGGGGAAATTCCACACCACGGACGGGGACCCGACGGTGCGGGCGGCCGTCTCCGCCACCGCCGACCCGGAGCTGGAGTCGCAGGTTCAAACGCCGACGGGGCCCGCGCATGGGTCGTCGTCGACGTCGTCCTCAGAGGGCTCCGAGCGACCCCGCAGCATGACGAGGCGTCCCTCAGGCGTGACGGACCAGAGGGAAGGGGCCACGTCCACATCGAGAGCAGCCCGGGCACAATCGCGCTCGGCTACGGGATCCGACACGGCGGCTGGTTCGCCTCCGTCTCATTGGCAGAACACGTTCACCGGACCGCCGGTGACGGAGGGATACGAAGCGCCACTTCCCTGGGATGGGTTGCAACGTCCCGCCGTGTCCGACACAAGGTTAGTCCCAAAGGGCGCCCACTCGACCAAGACACGGCCGTTGCCCACGGCTCCGACCACACGCAACGTCAAGAGAGCGTTTCCCAACAGGGCGGCGGCGGCGGCGATGACGGCCCCAACGACCGTGCTGCAAACGGATCAGGCTCACGACCGACAGGGGGAAGCTTCGGCAGAATCTGCCGAGGGGCCTCCACCGAAAAACCAGCACAACCACGGTGACGAGAAGACCACCACGTGGAGGGAAGAGAGCGGCTCGGATTCGTCCAACGCCGTGCGGCCCCACGGCGATGCCGACGAAGATAGCCTGCGTGGCGCGCCGGTGATCGTGGACAAGGCGAGCACGATGATCGCGATCGTGGCCGACTCGGACGTCGCAATACATTGCCCTGCGATTGGCAATCCTCCGCCAACCATCAGCTGGACGAAAGTGGCCACAGGTGACATTTTGCAGAATTCACGTGCTTGTTTTGTTGTACGGACAGCCAATTATTTCCATAAACTAATACATTTTACCAGGTAAGGCCCACTGAGCCATATATGTCTATTTCAAAAGTGACTTGGCTATCACAAATGATAGCTCAGCAAATTGGCTTATCACGTGGAAACTGCTGTGCCAGGAGATCGAGTTGATCTGGAGGCCTCTGGTTGGAAAGTACAGTGTGCTATCCATCACAACACGGCAGCATCCCTTGTTTAGTGGATAAACACGTTGCAAACAAGAATCACTCGTCCAGTGCTAATGAACAGCTGCGGCTTTGGTTTTCCCAGGCGCCACCATCAGGGCTGGCTCCAGACTGGGCAGCCGGTTCGAGGTGCTGCCCAACGGCACTTTCCTCGTCCGCAGTGGCCACCTGCAGGACCGCGGGCAGTACCTGTGCACGGCCGCGAATGACCGGGGCTCCGACCACTACACCGTGACTCTCACGGTCCTCGCCTACCGGCCACGGGTGCGCCAGCCGCGCTTCCAGAACCTCACGGCACACCAAGGCGAGCCGGTGGAGCTGCGCTGCCCGGCCGAGGGGCGGCCCAAGCCGCAGGTGTCGTGGCTGCTGCCGGACCGCTCGTTCCTGCGTACGGCCAGCCTGGGCGAGGGCCGGGTGACGCTGGCGCCCGACGGGACCCTGCACATCCGGCGGGTGGCGGCGTCCGACCGCGGCAGCTACAAGTGCATCGCGAGCAACCCCGCCGGGACGGACACGGTCGGCTTTCAGCTCGACGTGATCTCCGCGCCGCCCGAGATTGCGCAGCAAAAGACAGAGGATCTCCCTGGCATCGTGGGCCAGAGCCTCGTGATCCACTGCAGCGCCGGCGGCTTTCCAACACCGAGCGTCCGCTGGTTGCTGTCCGACGGGTCGGTTGTGAGGCCGTCGCAGTTTCTCAAGGGCAAGCTGTTCGTCTTCCCCAACGGCACGCTCCACATCGCCCGGCTGGCGACGGCCGACAGCGGCAGCTATGAGTGCGTTGCGACCAACGCCATGGGCGTGGACAGGAGGGTGGTCAGCCTCAGCGTGAGCAGCCCCCTCTCGCCGGCCAAGATCGCCCGCAACAAGCAGCGGGCCGCGGTGGACGTGCGGTACGGCGAGGTCGCGCTCCTGAACTGCGTGTCCTCCGGTGACCCCCAGCCGAAAGTCATTTGGAGGCTGCCCTCCAAGATCGTGATCGATACTCTGTACAGGTGAACAAAGAGATTCATGCTGCCATTCACGTTCCAAGACTGGTACATGCGTGAGTCTATTGGTCTCTGTGTGAGTCTATTGGTCTCTGTGTGATGAGTCAATGGGTGTCTATGTGAGCCCATGAGTCGCTGTGTGAGTCTATGGGTCTCTGTGTGAGTCTATGGGTCTCTGTGTGAGTCTATGGGTCTCTGTGTGAGTCTATTGGTCTCTGTGTGAGTCTATTGGTCTCTGTGTGAGTCCATGGCTCTGTGTGATGAGTCGATGGGTGTCTATGTGAGTCCATGAGTCTATGTGTGAGTCTATGGGTCTCTGTGTGAGTCTATTGGTCTCTGTGTGAGTCCATGGGTGTCTGTGTGATCTATGGGTCTCTGTGTGAGTCTATGGGTCTCTGTGTGACTCTATGGGTCTCTGTGCGAGTGTATTGGTGTGAGTCTGTGTATGTATGTTGAAATTATTTTGCACCATATGTAGCCAACCGGAGGTTTGGGGGAAGGACAACAAACGAAACAAAGCAATTCTAAAGAAGTGACTTCAATTTAGTGTGCGAGTCCAAATGTATGAATAAACCCAGCCTCCACGCAGTACTGTGCAAAACAGTTACCATTCGTTGACTGAAGCCAATGCTCAACCAGGAATGGACCGAGTTCGTTACGTTCTGCCGATCCATACCTCCGCTTACGTGCTGAGATCACGTCTGGTTAGGTCGTAAAACAATGATTTTTTAAATATTTCTAGCACCTAAATCGGTGGGTTCTCAATCTTTTTTGTTTGGTGGCTCCTAAATCAACTGCAACCTCATCTCAATTAGCCTCGACAAAAGTGAAGAGCTGCATTCGGGTAGAAGGAGGGTAGAGGAATGTGCGAGAGCAGGGGAGGCAAAGGTGTCCGGAAAACTCAAAAGGCCTGAGTTGGCACCGCTGAGATCTTGAGTTGGTATCCTGGAAGCTGCCCGAGAGTAAACTGGCTTCTCAATTGCAGTGAGCTGATGGTCTCAGTCTCATCACCAGTGACGACACGAAAAGAAAAACGTGACGGTAAACTTTTTTCCTCTTAACCCTCTCCCCATTCTGATGACGTGCGCGTGTACGTCATCGGTTTTTCTTCCGGTTCTGTTGCAATCACGTACAATTACGTTGTCGGTACCGAGGCACCCACAAGGCTATGCGGGATGCACGCGTTTTCCTTTTCACTGCAGAAGCAGGGCCGTGCCGTGAATGCTGACGTCACACGCGTTGATGCGGCAGAGGTCGCAAACGGGTTTTGATTCCTTACCCGTACCCGGTCGCACCAGGGTCGCAAACGGGTACCCGTACCCGTACCCGGCCGTACCCATACTCTACCCGTACCCGGCCGGGTATCGGGTAGGGTACGGGTATCAGGTACCTGATTGCGACCTCTGGGATGAAGCCATGTTGCAGGCGCGGGTGGGTTGATTCTAGGAACTTGAATTGTGAGAAGAGACAAGACGTTGGGAAATGAGTGACAAACAGTTACTCACCAGTGACTCACGGCCTACCCGTACCCGGCTGCACCAGTGTCGCAAACGGGTACGCGTACCAGGCCGGGTACGGGTAGCCAGGTATCGGGTAGGGTACGGGTATCGGGTACCCGGTTGCGACCTCTGTGATGCGGTGACAACCGGATCTCGAGGTGCACCGCCTGATGTCACACGCAATGTGCACGTCGGTGGCCCATCGGATTCAGATGTCGTGTGGGGTCGGCACCTCAGGAACATTGCTCGACTGCGAGGCAAGGTTTGCCGCCAGCTATCGTAGAGTGGCGGCGATCGTGTCACCGCGGTTCTCTGTGGCGTGTAACGACGTCTTTTAAAACAATGGCGCTACGCCGCTCGTGCGTTCCGAGATTCCGCGGTGAACGGGAACCCCCACACCCTGCGACTTGTAGGCGAATCGGAACGGGAAAGAGTTAATTGAAAATAGCAGTTTGACCGTCATGTGACAAAGAACTGTTTTAAATGTAATTATTGCCTTCCGCGAGCTGCCCTCTGCAACGAAGGGCTGCAACCGCTTCGCGATGAGAGTTGTGAATGAGTTCTTCGTCTGATGACAATGACGCACGATCAGGACGACGTTGGAGAAGCGGCATACGCCAGTGGGCATCCGTTTCAGACAAAAAAATAAACAAGCGAGAATGACGTGCCACCCCATGTGACACCTTGAAACGTCAAGTGAACCACAACACCTTGCTGCTGATCTCGTCAAGGTGCATAAACCACCATGTGAACTCCAGTCACGCTCGCATCAGCAGCTTTTGGTGAGCAATCGAACAAAGATGGTCACCACGTCGCGCGCTTTCAGATGCACTTCTGCGGCCATCTGGAATGCTTCCGATATTAGGAGACCACTGGAGCTCTGCACTTTAAAATCATCTAGATTTTCTTTAGAACTGACTTTTGTGTTTAGTTGCTTGTCCTTCCCCCGCACCTTCGATTCGCACGGTTGGCTACGTACGGTGAGAAAGAAGGTCAACATACTTTCGAATATCAACCGCCGTGGTGGTGATTTATTTCATTTCCCCCCCCCCCCCCCCCCATCATGCACTTGCAGCCCCGACAACCGAGTCTCGGTGCACGAAAACGGCTCATTGAGCGTGGGCACGGTAATCGAGGGCGACGCGGGCGACTACCTGTGCGTGGCGCGCAACAGCCTCGGCTACGACATGCAGGGGGTCACAATGAACGTGACCCTGGAGGCGGCGAGGATCGATAAGCGCGCGGCGGGCGCGAGCGGGACGGACCTCGTCGTCAGCGCCGGCGGCACGGCGTGGCTCGACTGCGTCGCCTCGGGCCTCCCGCGGCCTGACGTCTCGTGGAGCCTGCCCGACGGCACGACGGCGGACGGCGATGGCGAGCAGAAGGACGGCGGGCGGCGCGCCGTCCTCAGGAACGGCACGCTGCTCGTGCGGAACGTGGCGCGGGGGGACGAGGGCGTCTACACGTGCGTGGCACGCAATGCGGCCGGAGGCGACGAGGCGACGGTGCGCCTGAGCGTGCCGCCGAGGGCGAGGCCGCCCAAGATCGAGGGCCACGCCAGGAAGGCCGCCGCCGCCGTGCCCCTGCAGGTCCGGGGCGGCGACGCGGCCCGGCTCAGCTGCGACGCTGCCGGCGAGCCGAAGCCAAGCGTCGCGTGGGTGCTGCCGTCTACGCGGGCCCCGCTCACGTCTGCGGACGGGCCGCGCGTCCAGAGGGACGGCTCGCTGATCATAGAGCGCGTCGGGAAGGCCGACGCCGGCGTCTATACCTGCATCGCCCGTAACGCACTCGGGGAAGACTCGAAGGCGATCAGCCTCGAGGTGGTGCTCGTCAAGCCCGTCATAAACGGGAATCCAGGACAGGCACGTGGTCACCGGCGACTCGGCCGTCAAGTTCTCGCGCAAGCGGATCAACTGCAGGGCGGACGGCTTGCCCCAGCCGCGGGTGGCATGGGTCATGCCCGGCAACGTCGTGCTGACGACGCCCTACGAGGGCAGCCGGATATCCGTGCTCGAGAACGGGACGCTGGAAATCAAAAACGTGCGGCGCTCGGACGCTGGGGAGTTCCTGTGCGTCGCTCGCAGCGAAGCAGGAGAGGCGACGCTGCGCGTGAAGCTGGTCGTGACAGACACGTTGGAAAAGCCGGTTTTAAAGAACCCAAAAAACGAGAAAATCATCACCAAAGAAGGCAGGGCGGTCACGCTGAATTGCTCGGCAACCGGTGTGCCGACGCCAGAAACAACTTGGCTGTTCCCGAACGGAACCCTCGTCACCAAGTGGCAGAAGATGGAAAACTTCCGGCACGGCAAGGACGGCGCCCTGGTGATCCTCCGTCCTGCGCAGCGGGACGCCGGCACCTACCGATGCACGGCCAAGAACGCCGTGGGCTTCGTGGAGAAAGCGGTGACGCTGGAGGTCGGCCAGAAGCCCGTGATCGCGCTGCGCCACAGGGGCCTGGTGCGCAGCACCAGCGGCGAGCCGCTTTTCCTGCACTGCGTCGTCAGCGGTAACCCCAAGCCCACGGTCCGCTGGGTGCTGCCCAACGGCGCGAGCGTCGACGGCGCGTCCCGCGCCTCTGCCGCCGCCGGCGGGCGTGCGACACTGCTAGCCAATGGCACGCTGGCGCTGAGCGCGGCGACCCCGCACGACCGCGGCATGTACGTGTGCCACGCCGAGAACACAGCCGGGCACGCGTCGGCGGCCGTGCCCGTCATCGTGGTGGCGTACCCGCCGCGAATCACGCGGGGCCCGCCCCGGACCGTGCTGGCGCAGCGCGGCGCCAGGCTGCGGCTGCGATGCGCCGCCATCGGCGTGCCCAAGGCCGACGTGGCGTGGGAGCTGCCGAGCGGCGCCAAGCTGTCGACGGCGAGCGCTGGAGCGCACGCGGCCGGCGGCGGCGGTGGTGTCTACTTGCACCCCGCAGGGACGCTGTACGTTCAGACGTCCGGGTACGAGCAATCGGGCTTCTACAAGTGCGTCGCCAGCAACGCGCTGGGAAGCGACGTCGTGTCCACCTACGTGCGGTTTTATTGATGGGTCAGTTGTGTTTGTTAGTAATGGGTCCATTGGGTTTTTTTTTGACTGAGGGGGGGAGGGGAATTGTCGAGCAATTGGCCTAAAAGTGGCTTTTGCTTTCAAGGTTGACACGTGCGGCCACCGCAGCAGCGCTTTGCAAGCGCAATGGTCTCTGTTGAACTGCACCAGCTGAGCATCGTACGGCAGATGCTGTGCCTGTATCCCGCACTAGCCCAGGGAACGACTTATGGGCGGCAATCTCAAAATCAAGGAGCAGACAGTTAATGCCACTGGCTGCGTCGATCATTCGCCTACAGATGTTCAGATATTCGCCGTGTGTGTGCGTGTGAACCTATGGATCTCTCTGTGAGTCTATGGGTATCTATGTAAGTACAGTATGTATGTATGTATGTTCAACTTCTTTCGCACAGTACCTCCGACTAGTCAACCGTGTTAATCGGAGGTGCAGCGGAAGGACAACAAAGCAAACGCAAAAAGTAGTTCTTATAAAATTAGTTTTCAATCTAGATTTAAAAGTGCATAGCTCCAGTGGCTTCCTCACATCAGAAGCAAGAACCTTCCAGACGTCCACAGAAGCGCATCTGAAAGTGCGTAATGCGGTGACTGCCGTTTTTGTTCGATGGCCGCCGCTTCTGCGATGATGAGCGGAGTTCGCGTGATGATGGTTCATGCTCCTTGACGCCGGGTCTCCATCGTGTGTCAAATCGTCACCACGTGGCTTCTCCTGAAGACGGCCACTGGCTCACTCGGCAACCTCGACATGAGCACACGAACATTGGATGATCAACTGCCCGCAAATGAAAGTCTACGAAGATCTAAATGTGCCCACCAGAATGTGCCAAAGACTGAAAAGTGGCATTAGAAATCAATAGGTATAGAAAAATGCTTTTATATTTTATTGCTGATTATAACCAATTTAGATTTTTATACGTTCTATTTTTAATGCATTTAGTGTTTTGGTTAATTTTACAACTACCTCTGCTGACAATGTTACCACAACTCTATGCAAAATGAATGGCGATCCATTTATAGATACCCCACCAAAACACACGCACACTGCATTCAATATTTCAACGCTCTCCTCCGTGAGATATGGATCCGTCGCTTTCACAGCATTCAAACAGCTGTTGAGAAGAATTGAGATGCCCATTTTCAATCAGTGGGGTATCTAAATATAGATTACCCTGTGCTAAAGCGCCTCCTTAGAAACGCGTGGATTACAGTGTACTTTGATCTCAATTATGACAATTTTATGCAATCTTCATCATCAGCATTGCCTTCATTAACCTCTCAACTTCACCCGTCACAGATCGTACTTCCTCGGTTCACCCCCTGATACCCCTTTTCCACTCGCACATCCGGTCCGTGCCAGCACGTGGCCGGCACACACGTATGCCCCACGGTGGCTATTCCCGAACGGAACCTCGTCTTGTATGCAGGAGGTCGTAGGTTCGATCCCGACCCTGACGCCTGCTTATATTTGGAGTTTGCATGTTCTCCCCGTTGTCGCGCGGACTTTTCTCCGGGTTCAACAATTTTTCCCCCCACATTTTGGAATCAACGTCATGCGTTCAGAGTATTTGGCTACTATAAGTTCTCCCATGATAAGCCACTGTCGCTAGGTCGCGTCTGAAAAAGAGCTATGTAGCTCAGTAGGACTTTACCTGGTACAATAAAAAATAGTTAATAGTTTTACCAAGGCTCGCCATGGTAAAAATGCCAGTTTTTACCTGGCATTTTACCATGGCGAGCTTGGAAGCGAACCATGGTTTACCGGCCCCACAAGACATCTGAATCCGACTCGGGTCCAAGCCGCGTCAGCGCTCACGGAACGGCCCCGGCTTGAGTAGTGGAAACAAAACAAAAACCCGTGGATCCTGACGGGTGCTTCACATGGCCCCGGCACAGTTCGGATGTGCAAATTGAAATGAAAAGAGGTATCGGAGGCCAAGCAAAAGACTTTATTTCACGACTACTACTGCTGCTGCGTAGGTTTATGGCGGTCGTGCTTTGTGGCTCTCTGGGATGTTCGTCGGCAATTGTGTCCGACGTTTCGCTCCATGTGCCGTTTATAACCTGAAAGGACATTCGCGATTAAATAAATTGCTATTATTTTGTTTTCTGCATCTGCCACGTTCATTGTGACCCCCTGCATGAGTAAAAAAAAGCATTACAGAAGAACCCCTCTTAATGACCACCCCTGTTAACGATTATTCGCTTAACAACGGGCCTCCAGAGAGCCCATTGTGTAGTGTATAGTAGTGTAGTGTATAGTGTAGTGTATAGTAGTGTAGTGTATAGTGTAGTGTATGGTAGTGTAGTGTATAGCAGTGTAGTCTATAGTGTAGTGTATAGTAGTGTAGTGTATAGTGTAGTGATAAGTAGTGTAGTGTATAGTAGTGTAGTCTATAGTGTAGTGTATAGTAGTGTAGTGTATAGTAGTGTAGTCTATAGTGTAGTGTATAGTAGTGTAGTGTATAGTAGTGTAGTGTATAGTAGTGTAGTGTATAGAGTAGTGTATAGTAGTGCAGTGTATAGTAGTGTAGTCTATAGCGTAGTGTATAGCAGTGTATAGTGGTGCTGTGCCTCCATAGAGCCCAATATGTTCGCTTACCGACTATTCCCCTGTTAACGATGGGCTGTTGTAGGTACACTAAATATTAATGAATGCATTGATTAACCATGTTAATTGTGATGTTATTTTTATAATGTTGTTAGTATATTTATGTATTAATATCCATTGTTAAAATATTATAAAGTACGTTTTTGGGGGAGAAAAAGGTAACTTTTGATGCTACCGTGTGTTTCCTAGACTCGCTTGATGACCAAATCACTTGACGATCGGTTTCGTGGAACCAATTACCGTCGTTAAGAGGGCTTCTCTCGTACTCGCTGTGATTATGATGATACTCATTGTTTATTTCGGTAAAGTCACGTAAAGAAGTTGTTTCTTGCTGTGGTTGTCCCACCTGATGACGATTGCTTGTGTTGCGATCGAAACGTCGTCATCTATTATTGTTTCTACCCACGTGGCTTCACCGAAAGAACCGAAGAGTATGGATGCCTGCAGTCACGAAAGCTTCAAATAAATATTGATTACACTGGTCAACACACTTTTTCTGGCATAAGATATTCCAACGGGTTTAATGTAATTTTGGGGTGCTGATTCCAAATCTGGCATCAGTTTTTGTCTATCACATCAGGTTTTTGAGATATCAAATATTGCATTTTCAATAAAAACTGCAGAAGAAAAATATTAAATAAATGTGGATATCTACATTAAATGATATTATAAACACACTATCCTTAAAATACAGCACCATATTTTAACACTAAAGCAGTCACTGACTCGCAACAACTTGCAATCATAAGTGACAGAGTTAATTTCGGGTAAAATCAATGAAAATGGGGTATGCCGATAGCATAAAAATGATGTGATAGAGCAAATCTGAGATCAGATTTGGAATCAGTACCCTGAAATTAGTCTAGAACAGCTGCAAAAGTCCAGGCCAGAATTTTTTTTTTTTGTTGACCAGTGTTATTATAATGTTTTAGCTTGTAACATGCTGCGCGGTATTCGTCCACTCTCCAATGATTCAGGAAAATTATTCAGAGGCGCAGGGAACCACAGACAAGCGGGAAGGCAGCCACACGATGAGCCAGCGCCAACAAGTTCCCAAGCTCTGCGGTCCTCTATATATGAAGTGTGTTTATATAGGGGAGTAAACTATTTGTTTGTATTTTACCAGGTAAGGCCCGCTGAGTTAAATGGCTTTTTCTCGGAAGAAACCTGGCTATCACAAATGAAAGCTCAACGAAGTGGCTCATCGTGTGGAAATGTAGAGCAGGCAAATACTCTAAATTTAGAGTGAAAAACCGGAGAAAAATCCACGCGACCACGGGGAGAGAGACACGCAAACTCCGAATATACAGCAGGCGTCAGGGTTCGAGATCGAACCCACGAATCTTCTGTATACCAGGCAGGGGAGTTAACATCTCCTAGCCCAGAGGCAACCCGCACATGCGAGGGGGTAACACTATATCCCATACTGACGGAACAGGTGGAGTCCAAATTTAGACTTCAAACTTTCGTGACTGCAGGAATTCAAATTCTTGGTTCTTTCGCTAAAGTCACGTAGATAGAAAACAAAAATCTAAATTAAAAGCAAAAAAACACACGACGTTTCGATCCCAACACAAGCGGTCTTGTGATCGAAACGTCGTGGGGTTTTTTGCTTTGAATTTAGATTTTTCTTTTCTATCTACGTGACGTTACTGAAAGAACCAGGAATAAGGTGGAGTCCACATTTCCGCCGTACCGCCTTATCCTGGTGAGCACAGCGTATTTCTCCTCCTCAATATCCACGGGTTTACACACCATCTGTGCGGTGATCCAGCAACCATCACCTCCAGCGCTGGGTTACAGGCGTGCACCAACCACCACCGCCTAAATTGTATGCGTCGCACGAGCCTCTCTTAGATTCTCAGAGAACCTTTAAGAAACCTTCGTACGAGAAGTAACATTTTATGAGATAAGGAGTGATGACGTTTTCTGAAATAAAAGGTATCGATTGTATCGTAACCTGGCAGCTTATTTACTGTTGTGATTAGATCATGATGTGCAGCCCCCTGTCAATCCACCGCTGGATGAAGGCCTCCCCATGACAATATCAATCTTGGAGTTCATAGACTCACACAGAAACCCATAGACTCACACAGAGTCCCATACACTCACACAGAGACCCATAGAATCGCACAGAGACCCATATATTCTCACAGATACCAATAGACTCACACAGAGACCCATAGAATCACACAAAGACCCATAGACTCACAAAGAGACCCATAGACTCACACAGAGACCCATACACTCACACAGAGACCCAAAGACTCACACAGATACCCATACACTCCCACAGAGACCCATAGACTCACACAGAGACCCATAGACTGACACAGAGACCCATAGGCTCACACAGAGATCCATAGACTCACACAAAGACACAGAGAATCACACAGAGACCCATAGACTCACACAGAGACCCATAGACTCACACAGAGACCCATAGAATCACACAAAGACCCATAGACTCACAAAGAGACCCATAGACTCACACAGAGACCCATACACTCACACAGAGACCCAAAGACTCACACAGATACCCATACACTCCCACAGAGACCCATAGACTCACACAGAGACCCATAGACTGACACAGAGACCCATAGGCTCACACAGAGATCCATAGACTCACACAAAGACACAGAGAATCACACAGAGACCCATAGACTCACACAGAGACCCATAGACTCACACAGAGACCCATAGACTCACACAGAGACCCATAGACTCGCACAGAGACCCATAGAATCACACAGAGACCCATAGAATCACACAGAGACCCATAGACTCACACAGAGCCCCATAGACTGACACAGAGACCCATAGACTCACACAGAGACCCATCGACTCACACAGAGACCCATATAATCACACAAAGACCCATAGACTCACACAGAGACCCATAGACTCACACAGATACCCATATACTCACACAGAGACCCATAGACTCACACAGAGACCCATAGACTCACACAGATACCCATAGACTCACACAGAGACCCATAGACTCACACAGATACCCATAGACTCACACAGAGACCCATAGACTCACACAGATACCCATAGACTCACACAGAGACCCATAGACTCACACAGATACCCATAGACTCACACAGAGACCAATAGACTCACACAGAGACCCATTGTTGTCTTCCCCCTCCGCATCTCCGATTAGCACGGTTGGCTACTTACGGTGTGAAAGAAGTTCAACATACACACACATGTGGCCACTACTTGAGCATATTGGCACAAAACAGAAGGAAGTGGAAACAAATTGACTACACGTGCAGTGGTCACCTACGGGCTATCTTGCCCATGTATCGTGATAGTGATGGTGACAGTTAATTTGTAGGTGCAGAACATGCTGATAATAACACACATTTTAACGCGCGCATGTCACATGAAGCTGACGCAATTGTTCGATTGAAAACTCGGGAGGCGGGGAGCCAGACAAAGCTCAAAGTCCCTCGTATGCCGGCATGAACAGCTGAGAGAATGAACAGGTGAGAGCCTCAACAGGTGAAGGCCTGAATAAGATGACAGCCTGAACCCGGTGAGAGTTTGAACCAGGTGAGAGTCTGAACCAGGTGAGAGTCTGAACCAGGTGAGAGCCTGAACCAGGTGAGATCCTCGACCAGGTGAGAGTCTAGACCAGGTGAGAGTCTAGACCAGGTGAAAACCTCGACCAGGTCAAAGCCTGGACCAGGTGAGAACCTGGGCTAGGTCAGAGTCTGAACCAGGTGATATCCTCAACCAGGTGAGAGCCTCAAGCAGGTAGGAGCTGGACCAGATGAGAGGCTGGATGGGTGACGCATTGAACGGGCGAGAGCCTTGAGCTGCTGCTTGGAGGGTGGATGATGGTGCTTTGGATGCTGCTGCTGCTTCGCGTGTTCTGCAGTGGTCGAGAGAGAGAGATACACGTGTCTGCTAGGAGGGTGAATGATGGTGCTTTGGATGCTGCTGCTGCTAACACTATATCCCATACTGACGGAACAGGTGGAGTCCAAATTTTGACTTAAAACTTTCGTGACTGCAGGAATTCATATTCTTGGTTCTTTCGGTAAAGTCACGTAGATAGAAAACTAAAATCTAAATTAAAAGCAAAAAAACACACGAAACGTCGTACACGTGTGTGTGTGTGTACGTATTGTAGCAGTTAGCGCGCTGCGCTACGAAACCGGCGGCCCGAGTTCGATTCCCGCTCACGGCCAACACAAGTGACGATTATCTGAACCGGTCCTGGGCCTCTCCTAGGTAGACTCCGCCTCAAATGAATAGCTGGTGTGGTGTGTAAACATCGCCACTGGGGAGACAAAGGCGGTCGGGCGTCATGCTGTCCACCCACCCCCTCGTGTGCCGTGCTGGCCTTCATACGCCCTGTTAAAGGCTACACGGGGGGTCGTATCGTTGGGGTGAGTGTCTGCCTGTGTATGTGTGTGTGCGTGTCCCGTGTGTGTGTCCGTGTGTGTGCAATTGCAGTGACTCATTACCCCCTTTCCGCCTACAAACTATCATCAGAGTTCAAGGTAAGTGAAAATGTAAGTTTTTTTTTACTATTTGTTACTTTCTTTTATTTACTATGGAGTATTTTTTGACAGTGTTACATGTAAATGCCCAATATTTATTCTTATTTATGAGTTTAACATTGCTTCCCTTTTTGTTGAACCGTAACACATTTCATAATACCGACCGTATATGGCCATTTAAACACGGTGAACTATTGTGTTCCGAATTACGATCCCGTTCGACTTACGAACGCGTCTCGGGAACGAATTCGGCTCGTAACCCGAGGACTGCCCGTAAATACAAAAACAAATGTCTCCTCTTGTTACTTTTGTTTGCCGGCCCCTGGCCTCGCTCTCACACAACAATGTCATCAGGGCCGCGTACGTGGAAAGTTGTCACTGGCTCCCTGTGTCTCCTTCCCTCGTCTCTGAAACACGAGACCTATCTTCTTGGTTCTTTCGGTAAAGTCACGTAGAAGGGAAATAATAAAATAATAACAATTAAACATAATTAAATACAATTGTCACCACGTTTCGGCTATAACGCAAGCAGCCGTCCTCAGATGAAGAACAGGTCTGTCGGAAAGACAGCGTCTGAACGCTGTTCAGACAGCGTTGTGGCCGAAACGTCGTGAGAATTCATTCTAGATTTGAAGCTTTCGTGACTGCAAGGATTCATACTCTTATTTCTTTCGGTAAAGTCACGTAGGTAAAAATGAAATTAAAATTAATAAAAATTGTATTTTATTGTGTTTTATTTTAATTATTGTATCATTTCCCTTCTACGTGACTTTACCGAAAGAACCAAGAAGATGAATCCCTGTAGTCACGAAAGCTTTAAATCGACACGAGACCTATTTAAAACAAAACTTGTTTCTTTATTAGCAGGTAAGGCCCCACTGAGCTGTATCTCTATTTCTGAAGCGACCTGGTGCAATTAGGTGGCTTATCACGTGGAAATTTTGTAGCAGACGAGTATGTTGCAAACGCACGTTGATTCCAAATTGTGGAGGGGAAATAATCGGAGGACCCGGAGAAAAACCCACGCGACCTCGGAGGGAGAACGTGCAAACGCCAAAACTACAGCAGGCTTCGTCTTCTTGGTTCTTTCGGTAAAGTCACGTAGAAGGGAAGTAATAGAATAATAAAAATAAAACATAATAAAATAATTCTCACGACGTTTCGGCCACAACGCAAGCAGCCGTCCTGATGACTTTTATGTTTTATTTTTATTATTTTATTATTTCCCTTCTACGTGACTTTACCGAAAGAACCAAGAAGATGAATCCCTGCAGTCACGAAAGCTTTAAATCGAAACTACAGCAGGCGTCAGGGTCGAGATGAAACCCAGAACCTCCTGTATACTAGGCAAGGTAATTAACATCTCGCCACCGCAGCGCTTTGCTGGGTGGCGTAAGGAAGCAGTTATTCCTCGTCTTGCCACCTGCAGTCGTTTTCCCAGGAGTGTCCGCTGTTTAAGTCAGTCTTCCTGGGACATGAGGGTGTCTTTTGAAGGCTGCAGTTGTTACTGATGAACGTGTTGAGTTTTTGTCAACAGTGACCATGTGTACAGTGTTAACATTTTAATTTATTTAGTCAGCGACCAACGTTGGGAATCGATCCAATGATGTTATTCCTCATTTACGACTACTATTTTGTTTAGACCTGCAAACGAACATCTTCAGATGTCACTCTCCGCTGGTATTAGCCACTGCCGATAATAATCCAACTCGATCGATGACGCAGTGCGCTGACCACCGTGCCACCCGCTGCACCGCCTCTGCTGCGATCCATCTCCACGAAACGGTGAATCGATGAGCAACAATCGACGATATCTCGGGATAAAACGACCAGGCGCACGGTAAAAACACACACATGCGAAAAATATCCCTTACCGCTGCCGAGAATTCTGACAGCGAATGTTGATGAAGTGGGCCAAGTGACATGGGCCAGGTGACTTAACACTGCAGGATGATCTCACCAGCTATGCGTGTCGGCGAGCCTTCTCGTGTTTAAGCGTCTCGGTCCAAAAATGTATCCAATTAACATAAGCGTCTGTCAAAGAAATTAGCAATAAACCGGTTACATAAAACTCTGGCAGCAGCAGCAGCAGCAGCCGGGCAGGGAGGTATGCATCTCAATTTGGCTCTGCGCTCGTTCTCATCGCGAAGACAGAATACCAATTAGTTTCTTTCGTGCGTTTTCTTTAAAAGCTCGCTCGTCGAGATTACAAAACCAAGGACGACTAAATCGTCGACGTTCAAACCCTGTGGTGGGACAGCCACGCCGCTCGGAGACACCGCGGCTACTCCGTGAATCAATTGCGACGGCGCTGGACGAGAAATACGAGTTTTTTGTCGAAGTGTGGCACGCGTGTATTTATACGACAGAATGCGCCCCGAGGGGGCCCCGGCTGGATTCTGACCGGTGACTCGACGTACATCACCGACCCCCCCCCCCCCCCGCCGAAACCTCACCGCCTCCATCACACTAAGAAGAAGAAGGACTGCGGTCAAACCCAACGCGGGGAGCTCGCTGAACGGGGGACGCTGTCCGACGGGAGATCGTCCGGTCGAGAACGGGTGCGCGTGCTGGCACGGGGGGAGGGGGGGTGGGTGGCAGCGGCGGCTCCCCCTCCTGAGCAGGTAGGAGCCGATGGGCCCATTGTGGTAACGTAGCCACGTGAAGGCAACACCGCAGCAGCAGCAGCAGCGGCAGCGGCGGTGTGTCTCGAAGTCTTCGCGAAACAAAAACGGTGGTAAGAGATGGGTTTTTTTTCGCTTCATTCTACTTTGCCGCTGTCTGGTGAAGGGGGGGGGGGTTCTTCACCGAAACATCGGCTGTGTCTTAGATCGATTGGAGAATTCAGATCCGTTAAGTGGCGTCACGATGGGTCTGCTGTGAAGGTTGTTTGTATTGTGTGGGCTATGTGTTGCAAGCGTCGACTAATGTACTCTCTTGGGTATGGAAAATAAGAATAGGTTTTTACCCTTTCTGGCAATACAACATGTGTTAAGATGTTCAAAGTCTGCATTAATCACACGTACTTGTGGTGAACCTGCAAACATAAATGCTCTGCTAATATACGCTAAGTAATCAATCCACTGTTGGATGAAGGCCTCTCCAATCCGCCGTCCGCTTTCATGATCTTGCAACGTAGCAATCGACCTGGCACCTCAAAAAGGTGCCGATTTCATGGCTCCATCTCTGCATTGCCACCTTCGGTTGCCACTGGCTTTTCCTTGTCACCATTGTCCCTTGTGGAGACGTGTTATGCTCACTCCCATTTACTTATTTTTCACAGTCGTATTCCTGCGTGTTGAACTTCTTTTGCGCCGTACGTAGCCAACCGTGCCAATCGGAAATGCGGGTGGAAGGACAACAACCTCAACACAAAAAAACAGTTCTGGCGAAATCGCCCGATGATGCTGGATGTAATTACCAGCGAAATGTCACGGTACTCGAATTGTAAATGTTGTGGATTTACTCTCCAACACACCGGTGGGCGGAAGTAGTAAATTCTAGATTTGAAGCTTTCGTGACTGCAAGGATTCATACTCTTAGGTTTTTTCGGTAATGTCACGTAGGTAAAATAAAATAATATAAATAGTAGAAACAATAATAGAAATAAAATAATAAATCACGACGTTTCGGAGACAACACAAGTCTCCGTCATCAGGTGGGACCGTCACAGCTAAATTTACTGTATCAATTTACTGTATAAAGTGGCAATAATTATTATGTATTTTTACCTACGTGACTTTACCGAAAAAACCTAAGAGTATGAAGTAGTAAACTCATTGGTGCACGTTTTGCTTACGTGACAAACCTTAGCGCGATCAAACCCAAAAAAACTTTCATAGTGAACTGGACTCCCACGGCCAGGGATGGGCAAAAAAAATGAACAAGAAGAACCACGTTTTATTTTATTTCAAGCGCTGCACCGTAGCCCTTTAAAGAGCCACCGCATGCGGCAGACCTCCGCCCTGTGAATTATTTTGTAAACTTTAGAACTTTGGAGCATCAGCGACAGCGTCCTCGTCCATGAAATTGCAGGTGGTGCATGGTCATGACAACAACAAAACATCTGTATTCCTAAGACAAATTGGCACGCTGATTCGCATTGACAAAAGTCACTTTTTCCAAAAGAGGTTCTTCAAACCACTCTAAGACATCTTTATTACCTCTTGATTTATTACCATCCTCATCTTGTTTCCGAACTCTCCTTCCGAAATTTCGATTTAAAGCTTTCGTGACTGCAGGGGTTCATATTCATAAGTCACGTAGAAGGGAAATAGTAAAATAATAAAAATAAAACAGAATATAATAAAATTCTCACGACGTTTCGGCCACAACGCAAGCAATGAAATTCATTAAGACGCTGTCTTTCCAACAGCTCAAGTTTCTTCACCTGAGGACGGCTGCTTGCGTTGTGGCCGAAACGTCGTGAAAATTGTATTATATTACGTTTTATTTGTATTATTTTATAATTTCTCTCCTTCCGAAGTTTAACACGTGGACTTTCGCGACCAATATTATCCACAATGTGTCCTTCCGAAATATCCTCTGCTGTGTCTTCCAGTTGCGTCTCTCTGCCAGACATCTCTGGCTTGCTTGTGCGCAAAGCCCGTTCGTATATTTCGCCTTTGGCTCCATATTTATGTTTAAGCGCAACGCTGCGGCCGTATTTACTGCGTTAATCTCTCCTGGCGTTTTCTGTGCCGCACTTTGCTCCCCGTTGGACGTTCCAATAACTTTTGTACATTTTTTTGCTTTCGGTAAAGTCTGCAGAGCGTTACACTACTGCGTCGTCAATGTCGCGCAAAATTTGCTCGGAGCTCCGCCGGTTAACTCACAATCCGCCAGACCCCCGTTAGCGTCGACGCAATCGGAGCATGAACCTAACACTTTCTTGATGTTGTTTTGTTGTTTACTAATGATTTGGTGGTCCGTGCAATAGGCACCGGTGCACAAGCATAAATAACAACAATATTCAATCCATTCGTCGATAACACACTGCGCCACAAAAAGGGAAATATATGCACGGTATAATAAGGCAATGATGACCTTTCGTGGTGAATATGAAGAAGCCATCGAAGCGATGCGCTCCAAAGTATAACGGTAGGCTTTGCTCTACACCCACATCAGCCACACGAATAATAAGAATAAGAGATATTTCTTTCCGCCTGCGATCGAAACGTCGTGGGTGTTTTGCTTTTATTATTTTAAAACAAATTACGCTTTTTTTATTGTGTTTTTTTGCTTTTATTATTTAAAAATATATATTATTAAAAATTTACATTTTTATTTTTTATATCTACATGACTTTACCGAAATAACCAAGAATAAGAGCTATTGCTCTCCTATTATTGACACATGCTGTGAAGGGCCATTGACTGAAACGTCACCTATTATATGTGAGTATATATGTTCTCTTTCAAGGCCGCGGAATGGTAGGTAGTGGTTAGCACACTGCGCTATGACGATTATCTGAACCGGTCCTTGGCCTCCTCCCCTAGGTTGACTCAGCCTCAAATGAGTACCTGGTGCGGTGTGTAAATATCTGGGGAGACCAAGGCGGTCGGGCGTGGTGCTGACCACCCACCCCTCGTGTACCGTGCCGGCCTTCATAGGTGCGACTCGCTAACAGCACTTGCCCCAACTGTCTGTTAAGGCTATACGGGGGATTTTTGTCTTTCAAGGCCACGGTGGAGTTGAAGCATTAAGGCAGGCAGGTGTTTAACAAGGACGACCACATGCCACGACCATGGGGAGTGTTGGCAGTTGCAGGAGATCGCAGTTACATCGAATTACATCGAGACCCATGAAGTTACATTGAGACCCATAGCGTTATGTAGAGATGCATAGAGTTCATATTAGACGTTTTTGGGTTGAATCGCGTAAATATATAAATGTGTCGTTAAAACCCACCACCATCCGACACAGCCAACTAGTAAGGGTTGTCACGTTAACAGAACGTGCCAATTCGTCACGAGTACAGCACACCGGTGTGTTAGAGAGCCAAACCACAACAGTTACAATCTGAGTAGGACGTTTCGCCAGTAGTTACAACCAGCTTCATCAGGTGACAGCCAGATTTGTGGAGAGGGGAATTACTGGGGCAACGTAAATTTGCATGTGCATTATGCAGGCACTTTTAACTTTTCCTTCCTGTCTATTGTGTTTATTAAAATAGCCCTACCAACGGCAATCCATATTGAAGTGCGCTGCCCTTTGTAGGCATGCATTTAAATAATGTATTAGTTGATGATTCGCTTCCACGCAGCACTAAGGCGGTAGCTATCTGAACAGTTAAAGTTATTTTTATTTCGATTTTAAGCTTTCGTGACTGCAGGGATTCATCCTCTTGGTTCTTTCGGTAAAGTCACGTAGAAGGGAAATAATAAAATAATAAACAATAAAACATAATAAAATAATTCTCACGACGTCTCGGCCACAACGCACGCAAGCCGTCCTCAGGTCAAGAACAGGTCTGTCAATTTCGATAGATTCTCGAATTAGTCTTGGCCAGTCGTAGCTAGTTTTGCACAACACTTCAACATTATCAAAATCAATTGAGCGTCCTTGTTGGAACGTAAAACAACGCCAATCATTGCCAAGTCATCAATTCCCAAGGAAGAGCAATACCTGATCAAACCAAGGGCATCACAACCACCAAGACTTTATGGGCAACCAAAAATTCACAAACCTGATGTACGTTGCCTCAGTAATCCCCCCCCCTCCCCCCACATTGTGCAAGAGCGCAGAAGCGTGGTCACCACATCTACGCCTCTATATAAGGAACGAAACAGGTAGACTTCTCCATAAATCTGGCTATCACCTGATGAAGCAAGTTGTAACTACTGGCGAAACGTCGTACTCAGATTGTTAATGTTGTGGCTTGGCTCTCCAACACACCGGTGTTGCTGTACTCGTGACGAATTGGCCACGTTCTCTTTACATGACAACCCTTACTAGTTAGCTGTGTCGGGTGGTGGCGGGTTTTAACGACACATTTATATATTTACGCGATCTAACCCAAAAACCTCTGTTATGGATGATATTGGTCGCGAAAGCCTACTTGCTAGAATGCATAGAGTTACACAGTGACACATATTTCTGTAGAAATCCATAGAGTTACATAGAGATGAATAGAGCAACATCGATAGAGTTCCTATAGAGACCCATAGAGTTACACAGTGACACATAGTTCTGTAGAGATCCATAGAGTTACATAGAGATGAATAGAGCAACATCGCCATCGATAGAGTTCCATAGAGACCCATAGAGTTGCACAGTGACTCAGAGACTCACAGCCCAAGACCATGGGCAGCTGCATGACATCAAAGGGTGGGAATGTGCAAACTTATCAGAGCAGCAATCACAACAATGATTAACACGTTCCCACGCCAGAACGTATTGCCAACAGGGAGAATGATATTTTTTATAAATAAGTGTTAAATACAAAAAAAAACGGTATAACTGCCTCGCCTAGTACGCAGGAGGTCGTGGGTTCGATCCCGACCCTGACGCTTGCTGTATATTTGGAGTTTGCGTGTCTCTCTCCCCGTGGTCGTGTGGATGTTTCTTTCGGGTCTTCCGGTTTTTCCCTCCACATTGTTTGGCTGCGATACATTTCCACGCGATAAGCCACTTCGTTGAGCTGTCATTTGTGGCCAGGTCGCTTCTGGAAAAGAGCTCGACACGCTCAGTGGGCCTTAGCTGGAAAAATAAAAAAACAAGTTTCGTTTATCTTCT